GCTGGCACCAGATACTGCTCGCCGCGGCTCACTCGCGTGACGCGCGCGATCAAATGGCTCGGGTGACACGCCCGCGTTCGCTGACCGGCAAAGCGCGGTGTTGATCGGGCAATTACTAGCCATATTATTCAGCCGCGGCAAGAAAGTTTAACCGAGTTGATTGTCGCCGCGGCGACCCACGCGCTCGAGCGCAGCCGGAGCTTCCGACGGGTCGTCGGCGCGAGCTTCCCCCGTTTGCGCGCTTTACGCGGCTAACTTATTCGCTAGTTGCAGCCGGAGTTTACGAGAGAGAGGAAGGAGATGCGCTTTATTGACAGAGACCTGTCAGCCCAAATGAAGCCGGCATCGACGCGCTTCTACATATGTAAATTCAGCCGCCAGCAACTCTCTACGGCTACGCGTTTGCGACAACTTTCCTCAATGGACACTTGCATTTGCATTTTCAAACGCCCACTCAGCCCAGCGAATCATTTGAAAGTTTCGCCGATTCCCGCGCTCATGCTTCTTAGGTTATTTCTACCAAATCTCCGAGTGCTGAAACGAGTTTTTCTCCAACCCTTTGTCAAGTCGTCTAACGTCGAGTCAAATGATTTTATGTACGAGTGGCGCGTATACATGATAAAATTCAGATTTCAGCGTGCGTGTTGAATACTTATTGTAACGACTAAAATTATGCAAATACAATCTAAGCTATAAATTATGTAAAAATTTTCTAAGCTCTTTAATAGAGAATAATACATGTATATATTGCAGCAGCGTATTCATATTTCAGTTAACAACATTTTGAGACATTTATAAAACTTTAAAATACTAAATATACTTAATTTTGAATGGTTATTTTGATATGTATACAGAACAAAAAATCATCTGCATATTCGCTTTGAAATTTTTACAGAAGACATCCTTACATTATACTTATTCTCATTTTACAGCAAAAAATGATCACACGTATTTCCAATTTTCTGCCGGAATAAGAATTTAAAGGGAATTTAGCGTCGCTATCAATTACAGTGGCTTACTAGAATAGATTTAAAAGGCTCACGTAAGACGATTACATCGCTTGTTTTTTATTAATCTAACTTAGCTCAAGCTCTGTAGCTTAGATGAGCTTTAGATTACACGTATTTTTAACTTGCGAGTTTCGCGCATGCACTGAATGGTAAATATTTGAAGCTTATATCTGTTACAACATGAGTTTAATATCGCTCGATGACATTATTTTGCAATATGTAGAATATGATTGCCAACAGAATATTGGGAGCTAGATGTTAAGTTCAAAATCACAGTCACATTCAACATTGAAACTACAATATATTATTTACTTATAGGAATTTTACATTCTACTGATTGTTGATCTGACATGTTTAAATTGAATACAGCGTTATATATATATATATATACAATTGCTTAATAACATGTTTTCCAGAATTCGCAATTTGAACGACATGATTTGTCCAATCACGTTATATAAGTGCTTTCAGAAAAATGATTCTCTAGGAATTTTCTTTTTTTTCATTTTATGCTGCAGGACCTTGAAAAAATTTCCACAAATACTAAAATATTTAGTTTTACTTGCCACATTTTTTTATCAGGTTACGAGACAAATGTTTCTTTAAGCATTGAAATTGCTGATACGATGGAAAAGTTGAAAACGTTATAAAGCTTTAATAATCGTCCCGCATCCTGCATGTTATTCAGTGACAAAATGGAGAATCGCTTATGTGAAATCAATAGTTCAATTGGTGTATATTCGTGAATGATAATAATTTACATATTTATGTTACTACGAAATATTTCAGCAGTTATGACATTCGATATGAATATAAAATCCGTGTCGTAAATGTCAATATAATCGACACGTTTAATCAAAGTGTACACATACAGTGACTGATTAACTTGAAGAAGGTATCCAATTTATTCCAACACGCCAAAGCTGTATAAGAGATAAACATATTTGAAGAAAGATGAAATCTTCTTGATTCGGTCGACCGAAAATGAAGCCAAGGAATATACACAGCATTCGTTCTTGTGTCGGTTCTGTCGACATTCCATTGTACAGTATTATAAGCTTTTACGAAGCCACGAAACCCGCCAGGTCACGTATCTAGCATTTATATATGCGCGCGTCTTCACGTACACAGCATTCTTCTTTATCGCGATTTATCTGCTCCTGGGTTCCGCGGATGATATCGCCTCATCTCCAAAGTTCACCTCAATTTAATGCTGCAATTAAACTCCCCATATATGTTTGCCAATGGATCGAGCAATTCTCGTGCACTTCTCTCATCATTTCTTTAAAGGATAAATAGATGTTTGCGGCGTGATGACTGTATCTCGTATTACATTATGTCCTTTCTCTGTTATTCTATTGCTCTGTTGATTATCAATAACTTCTGTATTCAATTATGACGCGCACGTACTAAATGTTCTGACAGCTCAATCAATTTGAATGTATGAATGATTAATCAGATAATTTGAAAGTTTAAGCTGCTACAATGATGTAAATTAATAATTTATATGATAATAGTATTGATTAATGGTATAATGTAGGGTACTAAATTAAGTGGTTACTGTCAAAATTGACGCTTTGTAGTTCATAATATTTCACGCAAACTAAAATGAATAAAGGGTTTGACAAAAATGAACAAATTGAGCTTACATGCGATAATTTATCTTTATGCCAGATTTTATTATAATAAAAACCGCAGTATACTTTTTATTCCACAAAAAAATGCCATGAAAATGAAGACAGCTCTAACCATACATCTTTACGAGTGCACGATTTACACTGAATCGTTTATCTTTTTGTAATTCACAGGATAGAGCATCAATCACAGAATGCCCTACACTATTTTTCTTGTCAAATGAGAAAATTAAGTGTCTGGATACACGACCACCAGTTATTGTCAACTTTAAAGTACTTTTGATTTCTAGTGAATGCCAAATAAATATTACTTATATTCTTTGGGTTCGGTTAATTTTCTAATCATCTTGGAATATAATTAAAACTACGTGAATTCATGTTTTTTAGCAATCAAAGGAATATTCATGTATAAAATCCAGTGTGAAAACGACCTATTTTAAAAATAGAAGGAAGTAACATATACGCATATGATTACAGCAATTTTGGTGGCAAATGATTTTTATATCCGTTGTATTATTTCGTTTTGACTGTTACGTATAATATATAGAAAGTTTTATTAGGTCGGGATTTTCGCCATAGGTTGTTTTTCTACCAAAACGTTCTAACAATATTATTAATGGAATTCATTTTCTGCTTAGTTTATGAAATCATGAAATATTGTTATTGACAATTTAATTTTCAGAGATAAACTTCTCTAGAGCTAAAATTAAAATGACTATACGAGAAATTCAATGATAGTTATACGAAGTTCTTGAACACATTTCAAAATTTAGAAGATTTTGTAGTAAACTTTATATAGTTTTACGGCGCTTGCAATTACTAAAATTGTTCGTATTGCTAAAAAAGTTTTTAATTAATTGCAGAGCTACCTTTTTCTCCTCTACTGATACGAATTAGATTTTCCAGCAATTAAACCAAAGTAATTTTGAAGTTAGCACATTGAGTTATACATTGTTTAGGGGCATAAACACTAAAAGTGCAGGACATATACTTTTTAAATAGAATTCAAATAAATTTAATGAACAAAGTATTTTGTAATAGAATCTGTATTTCTGGATTCTGAATGCTAAGTGATTCTGATTGTAAAGTTTTTGAGTACTTAGCTACATTATTATATTAGCTCTTAAAAACAAAAAGCAGAAACTTGAAGGATTCTTAAAAGCAGGTTTATCCTTGAAACGAGCTCTAATTTATCAATGCTTTATTCACTTGGTCTTCCAAGAGTGAATGGTTTGTTGGAAAAAGCCTTGTTTTTTCAACTACAAAGTAAAGTTAATGCTAATTTTGAGAGTTTTATGTTGTACTATATAATAGTATATTATATATTGCTTTTTTTTTTGTCCATCGTATTTATACTGCAAATCAATTTCAGTGTTGTTTATTAATTTGTATTATTATGCAAAGAAACAATGACATTCATATTAATAATTAGAAAAAATAACAACATATCTCTATATACATATTAATAATATACAACTACCACAATAACAATAAAAATTATTTGTAGCGCAAACAAGGTGTTATTATAAAAAAATTAGTCAAAATAGAATTAAATTAATTATTTCATTGAATTCATTCATGGAATATTCCTAAATTTTTTAGAAGTTAATGAAAATATACTAAATACTTGAAGTTGCGAAGACTCGGATGCTCGAGATTGCAGAGTATTATGAAACAATTTATCGTGCAAACTTGCTTGCATTGAAGCAAGTAATTCGAAGGTGAATAAATGAATTTCAGATAGATATAATCCATCTACACACACACGCGCACACACACACACAATACATAAAAAATTGTATCAGTTTCGATCTTATTTGTTAATTATGTGTAACATAAATGTTAACGAATTGATTAGTTCTTTTTAGTTGTTTTTATACAAAGAATCACGTTAAAATATATCAAAAGACTTCATAAATTCTAAATACCAGGAATTTTTCAGAAATCAGCGATTATCTATTTATAAATAAACTGAAATAAATATTTCGGGTTAATTAATAATTATTCGCAGAAGTGTCATAACTAGTTTGAAAATATCTAATTTTTTGATGATGAATTAAAGTGATTCTTTGTTACCTGAAAAATATTGAGATACAAGGCTTTGAGTATCTATACAAATGATGTACTTTGTCAATAGTTGAGCGATAGAAGACATGAGCGGTTGAGAAACGAAGTCATTTATAAACCTTCTTCTTACACGTGTATATCACGTAAGATTGCACATCCAACAAAAGCATTATTTTGTTGACGAAGTAGAGCAAAAATTTTCGACATTGAAAAACAATATATAAAAATGTGATTGTTATTAACTTTTACATATTGCTCTAAAAATAATAAAAAATATTTGATGTTTCAGATGTACAACTTCACTTGGCAAGTAAATGACTCGATATCAACGGCATTCGGTTTGGAAGAGGAAGATGAAGACGACGAATATATTCCATACGTGCAGCGGCCAGAGACGTACATCGTACCCATCGTTTTTCTGCTGATTTTAGTTGTTGGCGTTGCTGGCAACGGAGTATTGGTTTTCACTCTGCTACGGCATGCAAACATGAGAAATATTCCAAACATATATGTACTTTCTTTAGCTTTGGGCGATCTTCTGGTAAGGTTTCATGATAATTCACGCTGAATAAATTTAACATACTACATTTGAAATTTTCATTATGATAACTAAAACACAGCGGATAAAGAATGTTATCTCAAATATCCTTTATACAAACAAGTGTACTGTACAATCGTTTATTGAATCGCTGTGGAAATAATCATTCCTCGAAAAAATCTATCTTTTATGTCTTCGTATCAACAAACGAATAAATAAATCTTCATAATTACGGAGAAATAATTTATCAAGTTAAAATACACTAATTTAATCGTTGAATAACGTTAGATGATAGAAAAACTTGAAAGCACATGATCTATATGTCCGATCTCTATGCCAACGCATTAAGTCCCCCTCGTTTCTATCCTCTGAAAAGCTCTTTCCAAACAGTGGGTGTAGTTCTTAAAGTATCAGATACTTTTTCCTATTGACTGTGTTCACTTAACTGCTAATACATTGGAACTGACAAACTTGTTTGAAAAGTTTTCTATATAGAAAGCTAATTTGTATAATCTTACTCTTATATCTCATAATTTGGAATTTTATATAAAATGAATTAATGAGCGAACTATGAGAAGTTTGCAAGTCAGTGAATATTTACTCCGCACAATAAGGTCATAATAGTTAGAAGAAATTTGCGGTAGACAATTTAATGTACGAAATTTCCAATTCTAGAGCGTTCATAAGAATTATTAGTACGTTTATTATACAAACAATAACGTGAATATATAAGAGTAGCGTTGTATTTCTTGTGCTCGAACTATTTATTTAATAGAACATAAAATTTCATTTCTTTCGTCGTACAATGAAAAATTAAGTTGTAATAATGAAGTTTTTATTTAATTGAAATTGTTTCTACTGATCTTATCAGAGTTTAACGAAAATTTTACGTACAAATATTAAATCAATCAATGTAATGTATTTTGTAAGATGTATTATATAAAAAAATTTTTTTTTTTTACAATAACTGTCTAAAACCACTTTGCAGCAATATATCTTGTTGTCAACAAATTTACGACCACACTTGCCCCCTAACGTATGCCATTATAGTATACTCGTGTAAGTACCGCGCGTTTGCGGGAAAGCGCTTACTGAATTCTGTGTGAAATTTTTTTAAATTAACAAAATTCAATCAATTTCTAAGGATGTTTACATGCTGATGTCTTCATATTATCGTAAATCCATGACGAATAGTATGTAAAGTAGAAATTTTATGAAATAAAAATGTATCAAGGAGGAAAATTCAACCGGTATTCGCTTATACTGCTTGAAAAGTATTATTTTCCATCATCAATGAAAAACCTTTAAACTAATAGGTGAAACTAGAAATGTATTGCTTACAAAATTTACATTCACTAAGCGAATGGAGAACTCTTCATTTGATAAACTATACATAATATTTTTATGGACTATGAAAATTCCGTTCAAAAGAACATCAATAAACAAGTATTCTTATACGGTTTTCTAATTGATCTTTGTTATTCTATTGTTAAAGCATATACACACGTATAGTAATAAATTGGCGCGATCCTTGATACACTATGCGGTTGAATTTAGAATTCGTGATAGTTCGGATAGTAATTAAAACATACATTGCGAAATGGAACGCCAAATGAAAACATCATGCTAAATCCAAATTTCGATAATCATGACAATGAGGTTTTGTTCATTATTGAATCCCATCGGAGTCCACATCAGAATTATCTATAAATATAAAAGTAAGAAGACACGTTTTTCATACAAGTTTAGCAATTGACTTACTAACAACTTTCAAGTTGGTTGAATATTCAATGAAGTTGAAAGTCGTTATTTTCGGCTATTAAGCCGGAATCAAATATTCTATGAAATTAAATTGAACGTCATTATTTTTATGAATAAGTAAAAAGTATTTTGAACATAATAAAAAAAATACAAGTTATTTATAACACTGTACAGTTGAGTTAGTGATTGCGATAGGATTTTACAATTAATAAATTTATGTGAACCTGTCCCTCGATGAATTTTGTTTTAACAAATTTTTATAATTTATTTTGTTCTATCTTTCTGTAGGACGTAACGATCGGTACGTAATTCATGTTCTAAAAATTGCGCTTTTCTTTTTCTAATAGCTTTATGACCGTATATAAATATAGAAGTTCCCATTGCAGTTATATTTGTTCAGCCAATTATACACACGAAAACATTTATCGAACGGAGAGTAGCCAACTCGGAAGGAACTCGAAGGTTCGCGACGATGAAAAATGAGTGTGCACCTCGATAAATAAACAGATTGAATATAAAGCAATGGAGCTCTATGAGTATGTAAATCAAAAACTGAGCGTCCAATGAGATCGATCAACTGGTGTTCGAGGCCTAGTCGTACAGATTCGAACGCACTTGGCCAATAGCCAAAGCTGCCCGACACAGATTTATTATCGTGCAAGTGCAGCCAAATCGAATGCGTAATATTTCAATTTGTCGGCGTTCGTAGTGGCATTGGCAATTATGAGGGTGAGGAGGTCAACTCTCACGGGAGGACAAGACAACGTGCGCGGCGCGCGCGAGCAGGAGTGGAAGTGGACGTTGCGAACATCAGCAGGAAGTCATTCGGAAAATTAGGCCGGCGGCGTTGCTTACGTGATTCGATTCGAGACAGTTGATTAATGCATGCTCGCATATATGTACACGAGTCAGCGGCTTATACACACTACGCATCTTAGCACCTCTAATCATCGGATGTGACATGTATGTATGTATTGATTGCAACAGGTTATCGTGACTTGCGTCCCCTTCACTTCGATCCTTTACACCATCGAGTCTTGGCCCTGGGGTCTCGCCGTTTGTAAGCTCTCCGAGTACGCCAAGGACATCTCGATTGGCGTCTCTGTCTTCACTCTTACTGCTCTCGCAGCTGAAAGGTACAGCTTTTTTACTACTTTTTTACCATCTCTTTAGCTTTTTTCTTTCTTTTTCTCTCAGTTATACGAGAAATTTCACATAAAAAAATTAATTTTCCGGCCAATCAAACCATTCATACTACCATAAAAAATACAAATCTAAATCAAAATTCAAATTCATACTTTACAGGTTTAAATACTTTGGAAACCATATCTTGATTTATTTTCTGCTAGAAAATGTGGCCTTCGTAGGATTTGGATAACGTAAATCCTGTTGTAAAATTGTCGATTAGACATTTTCGTTAACGACAATAAGTTTTTTTGTCGTGCTAAATATAATAAATATGCTAAATATAATAATATAATAAATTTTTTCATTAATTTCAAGTAGAAATTAATGAAAGATGTGATTTTTAAAGTATTTAAAGCCATGTAAATCGAATTGCTATTGAGAGTTATACCTTTTTTCGATTTTTATTAAGTTTCAAAAAACCATTCAAAACCATAAAATTTACGTTTTCGCGTTGACCGATGTTAACGTTTCTATAGATAAATTCAGTGTCACGGTTGTACTACGTAATGCTACCAAATATTATTGCGTAGGTCACGTTCCATAAAACGATGATATAGAAACATTAAGATTATGCATCCTTAAAATGTTATGAGAACGCTATTGGAACATATCCAAAGAAACGATGCCGAAATGATGGATTTTTTATATGGAATTGCTTACGTAACTTCTTGAATGATGTATTATTTGATCCAATTTGACTGCCATGGCAACTTGTACAACTGTCAAATTTACTACTACGCGAGGAAAAGTTCGGTAATTCACGAATGTCTTTAATTGATCAAAACATTCCTTAGGACAGGAAATTTTCGTAGTTGTAAACAGCAAATTGTACACGCAATAATTTTATTCAGTGAACATTATAATTTGATTCATGTTATATCTCTTCAATTAAAGTCGTAATTCATGATTTTCTTTATTATGAAAGTTGTAATAGACAGTCAATTGCAATGTATGAAAACAATAGTTACAAGTAGGCAATATTATTACGCTTATTTCTCGTCGCTCGAAAAAGAAGAACGACTTCCGAGTGGAGTGCGTGGGCGCTATTAACAGTGTCACATATTGCTTTCCGACTGTATTCGCCAAGAAAGTTTTGACGATCACAAATGATGGTGTCCTTTCGAAGGTTATCCGAAAAAAAAACTCTTCTAATGATTTGTGCTCGATAAATTAAACTTAAAAAAAATTAATTCATACAAAATAGGATAACGAGTAAACAGACATTTTTCTTTTCTTTATTCCCTAAGCCAAGGCTTTGACCATGAATTGATGAGCGCGATTAAAAGGGAAGAAAAAAGGCAGGACGTACTTAATAGCTGGTCGGAAAAAATCCAATTAAAAAAGAATCGCTGGGATTTTTGCGCGATAGCACATCAGAGGCTGTCATTTTCATCAGTCTCTTGCGGCCAAATAGATTAAATTCTGGGTTCACAAAAGGCACTCTCGGACAGACTTAGGGCTGAGCGCCAAGAACGCAAGAAAAAAAAAGCAAAAAGGCGGGGGAAGAAATTAAAAACGGAGGGGTTGCGTAATCAGTGCTAAGCTGACAAAGCGTGCAGTTCGATAGGCTTTGTCGCGCGGCCTCGAATGGGAGGGTAGTGAAAAAAAGGACGAGTAAAAGAAGCGGACAGCTAGTGAGAGCGAGCTTTTTGCAGGTACTATGCGATCGTGAATCCGATCCGACGGCATGTCGCTGGATTGTCGGCCAAGCCGTTGACCATCATGACCGTCAGCTTAATCTGGGTGCTGGCGAGTATACTCGCCCTGCCCGCGGCACTGTTCTCTCATGTGCCGAGGGAACCCCTCAAGGGCAACCACAGCATCGCGATCTGCAGCCCCTTCCCCAAAGAATTCGGTAACTTCCCACCTCCTACCCTCTTTCTCTCTCTCTCTCTCTCTCTCTCTCTCTCTCTCGTGATGTGTTTTCACCGGCAACGCAACTCTGCAACGCTTCATCCTTCCTCGCGGGTTTCTGTGCGTGCTTGTACGTAGTTATATGTGCAACCTTCTGACCTTTTTTCGCCTGGTCTTCTCCTTACTGTCCATTATATTTAGTTATCCCCGCAACGTCTCGCCATTCTCATGTCTTACGTCGACGTGCTCATCCCTTTACCTACCGTTTTAATCGTCCTTTCTCTCTCTCTCCCTCTCTCTTACTCTCCAATCTCGCGAGGGTGGCTTTATTGGAAATCCTCTGAAAATTCAGAATGATGTCCAAATCGGTAAAAAGCAAAGCCTCGGCTTATTTTGAGTATAGGACACTTTCACTCGGCTTTGCCATGCTGCTCTCCACTTTCTTAGGTTCAGCTTATGGTATTATAGACTTGACTTTGTGCCTTTCGTATTTTTCGTTATAATGCGTTTGTGATTTATTGCTGGCTTTATAATTTATTTCTAGATGTGTGCATGCTCGTTTAGATAAATAATAGTTGCTATAATGCTGAATGGCGACAACGATTATTTATACACTGTTTAACAAATGATTATTCTAGTTATTTATTTTAGACGAATGCTAATACTAATGTACTGCACGATTGTACATTAGAAACTGAAATAATATTTTCTTTTATAACTAATGAAATAATTTGTGAACATTTTTAAAAGTGAATACACCAATTTATTAAAGAACATCACTGTAAAAAAATAACTTATCCAGCTGTTTTAGAAAACCACTATTTTGTATGCTTTAAATGTTGAAAACCATGAGAAATGATAGTTATGAATGACGCAATTGACGTGAGCCTTAAAGCTTAGTTCGCGACGGTTGGGTTGAATCTCAACGCATATTGCAAATGTTGTTAGCCTAAATAGAAATTGCCGAAAATGAAGCTCTGAAAACTGGCAGATCAGCAATTTCTAGCAATCGTATTGAATTTTTTTGAAAGACAAATTACAGTTCTTTGAAGCTTCGTGCGGTGTCATTCTATCGTACAACTTTATTTTTTAATTTATAATGGGAATAACTTTGACCGCACTCAAATAGTTATATGCCACATCTAACTTTCGTTAGAGCCGGAAGTTGGAGATGGTAGAGAGAAAGATTGTAAATCTTACGAGGGAAACACTTCAAACTTGAACAAGTTTTCTCTCCAGTTATTACTGTGGTCCGCAAAAAAGCAGAATAAAATTAGGACTTACTTATTTTTATCTCTTGAGTTTCTAGATTCACACGACTTGATGTTTTTTGTAATTAAAAGTATTTATATTATAATTTCGCATCGATTTTGTCATTTGCGTTTGTTTGTGTGTGCGTAGGTGACGGCTACGAGAAAACCATGGTGCTATTTAAATTTCTCGTCTACTACGCGATCCCTCTGCTTATCATATCGGGATTTTACCTGGGGATGGCTCGTCACTTAGAACTCTCAACAAGAAATATGCCCGGGGAGCAACAGGGAGCTCCTCACCATCGCGAGCAAATAAAGGCGAGGAAAAAGGTCTGTGCCGCAAAAATATACATATTGCTTATATATATATATATATATATATATATATATATATATATATATGCCATGTGCCACTCCGGGAGGATCGCTTTGCTCGCAAGACGCGTCGCTGGTACTACTTTCGCGACGCGACTTATTATGCCGAGGGATGCTCTATGCATTTTTACTATGATATGAAAGGTAATCGCATAGTTTCAGACGCTTCGTTTGGCATCTTCATTCGTATTCTCTTCCAAGCTCTGCCATCGAGATCTGCTTCGCTTTGCGGGCTTTACGTTTCTCCGATTCCGCGCACAAGCTCCCGGGAGCGCTGCAGCATCGGTGCAGAGAGCTTTGACAAATCGTCGAGTTGCCATTTCTGCAATTCAATCTGCATTTACATCAAAGCGATAAGCCTGCTAATTATGCCGTTTAATGAGCCGTATGCTCCTAGCGACTTCGCGGCGACTGCCAAGAGTCATTTTCAAAGCCACGCTTGGACTTTTACGGCTTGCAATGGAATTAATTGCGACAGTGAATTCAATCGCGACGTCGCGACGAGCTTTGTATGGTGAATAATCGAATGCCTTTGCAGCTATGTCTGAGGGACCAATCTCATTTCCGTTTTTGCAGGTCGGCAAGATGGTGGTATCGTTTGTAGTCATATTTTTCCTGTGTTTCCTTCCTTACCACGCCTTCATGCTGTGGTTCCACTTTTACCCGTCATCTCGAGAAGTTTTCGATGAATTCTGGCACGCGTTCCGAATCATAGGATTCTGCTTGAGCTTCATCAACAGCTGCGTCAATCCCATTGCATTATATTTTGTCAGTGGAACTTTCCGGAAAAGGTGAGTTATTCTTATATAAATGCATTTTTATCGATACTCTTTTATCATTACGGGTACATATTATTGCCAGCCTGTTGAATTCCGCAGTTTGCATAATTACGCTCGATGAACAATGAGATAAAATGAGAGAATCTGAACTAATTGTCGACCTAAAGTGCAATTTGCAAATTTAATGTGGAAAAAGTAATTATTTTTCAATCCGTCGAAGATGAGGCAAACCCATTCCCGACAAACGTTATATTTTTTTGATTGATCGGTATTGCTTGGGAAATCAATTGGTGCATTGTAGAGTATGCTTAACTGAGTTTTCTTTTGTCGCGGATATTTCGAACGAGATTGCGTGGTAATTTTGGGCCACTTTTTTCAGATTTGACTATTACGTCGAATTTTAAGAAAGCGTACATTGACGTAAACCGCCGGCTCGGTTCGTCGACAGATCGAGGAAATTGCTTCGTCAGAGTGTTCAGAAATGAAAGAGGAAGATAAATATGGCACCCAATCAAATACGCGCGGTAATATGAAGCCTGTTTCTCCTCTATTAGTTAGCAAGTTGCGAAAGAATAGAAGGAACTAGCAGCCGTAAGGGTGGTCGCGCCGTTTTATTACACGAGTGAGAGAAAGAGGAGGCTTTATATAAAAATATAGGTTACGCGAGCTGGCAGATATTAAAATGAAATAAACGGGCGTCGTTGCTGGCGCGGCTGTGCGCAGGTTCAACGAATACTTGTGCTGCTGTATACCCAGCGTGAGGAGGGCGGCAAACGCCCAGGGACGATTTCCGCGGACGAGGGGCGAGGCCAGCACGCTCTACGAGACGAGCTTCAATTCGACCTACAGACGGCACACGCAGGAGCTGAACTCCAGCACGCTCCTGAATTTCACCGGGGAGATCAGCAAATCCACTTGAGGCCAACTTCTCTAGCGGGAGTCGATCTTGTAACTCCGATCGACTCTTGCCGCCTTCCAAGACTGCGCGCCCAAACCGATCGACTTTCAAGTACAGCCCGCGCAAGCTCCTGACGCATCGCTGTATTACGCGCGCATCTGGACGACACTGCATTATACATCTTGAATTTGACCGCGTCAATTGGAATATGAGTACTCTACATGTGGATATTATGACCGTGTACGCAATTGAAACACTCGACGCGGATATCAATGTAACTTCTCGAGTTATTAATAATGACTGCATCATTCGGGACCATTTGCCATGATCGATTTTGGGTTGCTATCGCGTAGTTTTTTTAGACATTCAAGGCGCCACGCTTGCATTTACGATGATTTCACAAAATCTCGCTATTACGACATACTAATCGTTGCATGGCACCAGTCGCTATCACGATAAGCATTGTCATAATTCTAACCAAAGTTGCTCAGTATCCGACAAATAATATTTTATCTCACATAAAACAGTTTGAATCTTTCAAAGTAGGTTGTGGTTGTAGTTGTAGTGTACACCTGTTGCGACCCTTCTACAAACGATGATTTCTGTGAAGTGTCAGTTGGCTTTATGAATTGTTAATGTACTGGGCGATGTATTCATAAAGTGAGAGACTGTCGATCGCGAATTTGGCAACTTTATTGACATGATAAAATTGAAAATTCAGACTTATTTATTTGTCATCATGAGAATTGAATTTCAGTCATCGCGGTATCTAGTATCAAAGTGTCACGTCAATATACACGTATATTTCACACAAAAGAGAATTCGTTTTTTAATCAAGCTACTGTGTGAAAAACTTCTTTGGAAATTAATAACGATAAACTCGTTATACCCTAAAAGAAAATTCTAGGTAGAATTTTAAAACGAACGAAAGTTGAAAAACTATAAAAGAGTATATTGCGAGAGTCTATAAAATATTTTTTCAAACTATGAAATATATTTACTCACTAAATCTAATGTCGAGTACACGTCACTCAGTTTGGTAACACGTGTGAATATATGATGACGACCATGTTGACTTTACCGTGTATCTCTATTGAACTCTAATGCACCTCATCTAGTCATATTAACGATAATTATATCTAAATAGAAATATAAATAGTTACATTTGATATGAATTTTATTTAAGAAATAATTTCTGTTTTTGTTGTGATAGTTTTATTTTGTGATTGGTTTAATTGTTAATGGACACAAAACTGATGGATGCAATAATTTAAATGTCCAATTTATATTCAATATATGTATATATGAATTTATTAACTTTAAAGTCGTGCTGTAATAGATAAGTCTTTGCCGCGTATTAAAAATGTTCCCATCACATTTTGCGAATGCTATAGTTCAATAATACACTATATAAATATATAGAATTCCTTTGTATGATATTATATATATGAATGGCAGATATATATTAAAGAAATAATGTTACGTCGCATGAAATCGTAAATGTTCCTTGTTAATATAAAAATTATATTTTTTATTTCTAGGTGCACATCTATATTAATACGCCAATAAAACTGTGAATAACATTCCAAAACTTTTTTACTAACACAAGATGATCACAAATGGGGAAAATACTGCTTATTGCGTTACATGATAGAATATTTAACTGACTAATAAATACGTCATTCGATATGCAACGTTGTCTCATAGATGTATTAGTGATAGGTTCCGTGGCGGCTATGTAATAATAAAAAAAATAAAAATCTTGCTTTGAAAAATATGACGCGAACTTGTAATCTTCTGAGTCCCAAGATAATCATAGATAATCGTCGGAATAACCAATAAGAAAGTGTCAAGTGCAATTGATTTAGTTACTATCCCAAAACGAAGGTGACGGAAGCTGGAAATGCTTCCAAGGTATTTTTGAAGAAAAGAAGCGAGTTTGGAAGGAACACAGAGAGAGAGAGAGAGAGAGAGAGAGAGAGTCAGTAGCAGCCGGATCCACGGCGCGCGGCAGCAGCGTATATATGACGAAATGAAAGGAGGCGTGCGCGCCTGCTCGGTATATGGCAGATGTTCAGCGGATTCTGATAATCTTTGGCGGCATAAAGAGGCTATATAGAGGCGGCTGCTGCTGGCGGGCAGGTACACGGCACACGGGCGCGCACGTGTGCGTGCGGCGACGGCCACGTTCTCGAGGAGCTCGCCAGCAGCAGATTGCGGTGGCGGCTGCACGCCGCGCCTGCCCTCGTCGTCGCCGCCGCCGCCGCGACTTGCAGCTGCCGTTGCGGCGCAGACTTGTATACGGCGCGCGTAGTGGGGACTGCAGCCACGCGACCTGCCAGCAGTCTACTCCGCAGCCGGGCAAGCTGCACCCCCGTTCGCGCATTCGTTTTTTTTTTCTCGGCCTGGCAATCACGCCGCCAGCTCCGCTCCCAGCTAACCGTCGCCTCTGCCGATTTGGCTTTTCCGATAGACCGAATTTTCGCATCGGGGAGTTTCACGCTGCGCTCGGACGCCCGACAACTGCTCGCTCACGACCCAGCTGCGCACCGGGTAAGAAGAGTGACATTTTTACACGAAATCAAGTTACGGAGCGCGCGTTCAGTGATTCTCCAATTATTTCCTCGAAATGCATTTTCCTCCCCGCGCTGGGATTGAAGACGAAGCGTATCGAGCTATGATTGGTTTGTTTCGAATTGAAATATCAATCGAATCTGCATTCGCCCGTGCGCAATGCCAGTTCTGATCAATAATCGTCTTTACAATCGCGTCGAGGTATATTTCAATTGATGAGCTGCTGTGCGCGCGTCTATGGTCATAATGAATTGTTGCCGCGTGCAGCAATCGGGAAAAAACGGGCAATTTTCACGAGGCATTAGATTTAGCATGGCCGGCGCCATCAATTGGCAGCCTTCGCCTCGATGAGAACCAATTTTGATGAGTGGCTATTGGCAAAATATTTGGACTCACGACTGACCGACTGTGGTTACGCGGCTCGGCATTTTCCGATACTCGTGTCCGCGTGACGTGCGTTCAACGCGTTTTTGTTTCGTTCGTCGGCTCGTATTCGCCAGTCGAAATACATACGAATCCATCAAATTCGCTGCTGCGATAAACTGCGTCATTAATTGATTGTTTTAGCGAACGAGAGCGAGAACCGACGACAATGAAGAGGTCGTCAGCGGTGAGTTTCAAGTGAAATTGCGCGCTATGACGTAGTTATATTTTTAAAATCCTATTCCGTTGACTCATGTGTGCTCCGTGATTGTCGGTTTATACAGACATTGCCACCAGAGAAAAGTCACGTGGAGACCAAAAAATCCAAAGCCAAAGATGAAAGTTTGGTGAGACTTCTCACTTTATTCGCAGTCTACATAAATAAAACGCATATTATAATTTGTCTACTGTTTCTTTTTGCTTTGTGCACTCGCAGGTTATAGATACGCACGACTATTTAGATCTGATACTAAACAGAATTACAGATCTGCAGAGGCAAATAAACCAAGGAGTTTACGTGACCGATAACGTTATCAATCTCGGTGGGATTTGAGATTTTTATTGAAAAATTGTCGTATAAGTATTGTTGCGAAACAATGATCTCGCATAGAAACGCATTTCGCGATTATATCGAGACACCTCGAACCCGTTCGTTTCGCATACTGACGATGACCTACTAATTTTACAGGGGAGTCAGAGGCAGATGGAAGCATAATGAAAGAAGTATTGACTAAAGTGTTCAAAGATATACCCGAGACTTCGAAGACAGTGGCCAACATTATTGACTCTACATCGAAACCCAGCGTAGCTCAACTTCGTGCTATTCGCAACAAACGTTATCAATTATCAGGCTTCGAGGTTTGTCGGAAAATTGCCACGCATTTTGTGAAAAATATCGTTTGCTCGTCTGCATTCGAAGCAGTTCCGAATTCCAATCAGGTAAAACCAAGAATAATCATAATAATGCCGAGTTACATTGTAATCAAAACTAATATAATTTTCTTCTGCCAGAAGAGGTGTGATAATACCGTAGAAATGAGAGCAAAAATAGCAGGGCAGCTTGATCTTCATTTAGCAGTCAAGCAGCGTGATTACACTGCTCGATTAATGAGAGAATGAGAACTATCACAGACGATTTAATGCTACCGTCATCAATTCTAGTCATCTCAATTTTGGGAAAACCATTTACTTTAAGTTTAACTTTCGAGAATACACGAGCTTGGGGAGAAACACAAAGATAATTATAAGAATTTATGTATTGGTTGTAAACAAAATATTTTTGAACACAGATATGATCGGAATTGGATTTTAGACTACAATAATTAAATAATTCTCAATGCATTACTACAAATAAGACTGTTATATCATAATCATGTCAATAATCTTTTAGTGATTAAATTGATTTTTACAAGTTAAAATAATGTGAAATATATTACTTACTTCAAATCACTCTAGTCATTAGTTGTAGTTTAACATAAGGAATCATTGTTTAAAGATTCTAATGTCTTAGCAAAGAATATTTCTCAAATCTTCTTGTAATGCGTAAATTAAATAAATAACATGTCAATAATCAATTATAAACATAAGCACTTTTCCTATTCAACAATTGAACTTATACGTGAGGAGTCAAACTTACATTCCAGTCAAGGAAAAATTATTTGAATACATAATAAATAAAAAATCAATTTATTTATAATAAAAGTATTTCGCCTGCCACTCTCAAATTTCAAATTTAAATAGAAAGAAAAACAATCAAGGTGAAAAAGAAAATTAACTGCATGATTTGTCTTATATTACAAAAATGTTTATTGATTCTGTTGCAATAAAAAAATTATATAGCCTAAAAGGTTTTAATTATAACATATTTAAGCACAAGTAAACAGCCCGTTAATTAATCACTCATTCATTGGCACATAGAATCTCAAACTCGTCAGTCATCATAATGGTAGAACATACTCGCACACAAACTTGTGCTTATTTTAACAAGTATTTGAAGCGACTCACTATAATTTTCTTTACAAAATACATTGATATCCTATAGCGGTAGTGTCAACTAGAACATTTATAACATAGAAATAAAAATCAAAAGAAATAATAAAAAAAAATTCAATTAAAGCTTTCTGAATATATTAAATATAATTTAGGAACAATCATACTTTCATTCATTAAATCTACACTATTCAAGTAAAGTTGCAAACGCTTGGCTCAACAGCTCGAGAAGACGTTTTGCTTAACATTAATAATTATGCGTGTTTATGCCTGTTTTTTTGTAAACCAAATCGTAAAAACAGCATCACCGTTGAAACTACAACCATTTTTATCGTGTTGTTAAATCCAAAACTAACTGTAAGTATTAACATTGTTATATTAATATGTTAGGCATGTCAATATTTACTGCGTAGAGAAACAAAATCTTTTAAAAAAGATTGCCAATTTGAAGAGAATTGAAACAAGTGATTTTCTATATAACGGTGATACTGATTTATGTTAGTGATTTACAAAAATATACCTTACAATTATTACATGAGCTTTTGAAGTTTCACGTCTATTTTTAACCATTTTTACGAGTATAACTACTCGCGCCATTAATACATACTATTAATAATATGTCAAACTGTTTTATAAAATGCATATCTTTTCTTCAAAATGACTGATGATGATACGTCTACTTTAAAATATTGCATAACGCGAGTCTAAAAATATGTGTTAATTTCCATACTCGATTCTATATGGGCAATCACTTTTAAAATATTCACTCTTTACATTACAATCGACAGACCACAATATAATCATTTTTTTCTTTTTATAAAAAATGTAAATAGCACATGATCAAGGCATAATTATATCCAATTGAATAATTTTTTTGTCTGATAATTGGGTCTCATCAAAACTATAAACAATAACGAAAAGAATATTTTAACAGTGATACACCGTGTATTCTTCTATAATATTCTTAGTTAATATGTAATTCCTTTCATTGAAAATATCATTATATTATATATATTTGCGATTCACATACTTTTACCGTTAATAATACGTCTACATTTCTCCCTTGTAAATTGATTATAATCAACTAACAATCCTAACAATACGATTTATATTTCTTCCCACTGAAGACCATTGTAATTAGTACCATTATTAATTTGGAGAAGGGTCAACAGTTTCTTCAAAATACGTAACTACTCTTCTATTTTCAAAAATGTTAAGTACTCTTTAATTCAAATGTTTGCATCAATGATTATTAGCAATAGTTTTACATCAGCTATGTCATTGTAAATGAATTATCGATCGCCGATCGACATCGTTGATAGGAAAGAACAGTCATTATATGTTTTAACCGAAAACAAAACGTATCGCTTGAAAAAAAAACTCTTTTGAAATCTGACTTTGAACGTGAGAAATTGAAGCGGCGAAGAAAATAAATTCGCAAATTGAGTTTGCTTGCGATTGATTGTTTACATTTGAAAGTGTCAGAAATGTAAAAAAACAAAATATGACGGATAAAAGTAATTGATAAGAAACTAGAACGAAATATAATATGATAATAACGATAAAGTAGAAAAGTTGAAGCGAGCGTAGAACAGCAGGTTAAAATACATAGAGAAATAGTGCAATTACAAGGAACCGAAGGGGACTCGCGGCGATGTAAATATAGATAGATGGTGCTGCACAGATCGGAACAACAGAGCTTGTAAATTATTTTTCGGAGGAGCCTTGTTTGCGTGTCCCCTCCTTTGGTACTCAGTGCTGCTGCACGAGGGTGGGCCCGCTACCAGGATTCCTCCATGGATCGGGAATGTCATAGTGTGCCGGCACAGTAATCAGAGCGTCGTCCGCTGTTCTAGTGACGCTGCAATTCTGTGGTTTGATGCGAGTGGTGTTGACGCACTCAATGCCCAGTTTGATAAATTCGAGTTTGTAGTTGAAGCCCTGGCTGCTGATGCGTATGATGGTGTGCAACGGCACCTCCATGTAGGGCAGCTCCTCGGGTGTCTTGTCGAGGAAATAGCCGATTATGCAGCGCAATATTGCCTGATGGGATATGACAAGCACATTGTTGGCTTGTTGAAGGTCGACGATCACCGGCTCCACGCGCTGCATTGTGTCCACGTAGCTCTCGCCCCATGGGTACCGGTAGCGCAATTTGTCTTGGTCGCGCCATGCGAATTCCTGACAATTACAAGGAAAATTCGTTTTACGATCGCTCGTTCAGATTTAGGAGCTTTTATTAACAAGCTGCTTCCAAATTTATAGTCGAGTGAACGATTTTTCTCGACGAAGACTTTTCGTTTCAATTGAAAACGCCGAATTTTCTACGACAAATAATCAACAAACAACGTACAAGCATAATTCCATTGTACCGCGTATGGCGATAAAATTATTCAACAATTTCAGGCTTTATGATGTATGAGCGCGCCCCGCTGCTATTTGGAGTTGCGAACAATGCAATGATTAAAATAACTTTTTATTTTTAATTTTCAAGTTCTTTTCCGCGTATGGAATGGGAGATTAGATAGGGATTTTTAAGATGATTGCAAAAGTATTTGAAAAACAAAAATCGTAATGAACAAGATTTTTGCAAAACATTTCCCGCTCAGATTGAAGAACAATGACAGTCGTCCTCCGTAACAAAAGAATTTATCAAAAAAGATAAGACAATTAATCTCTCAAAGATATAATAGTCGAGTAGCAGTCTAAGTGTTAATAATATTGCAAGTCACAAGTGAAAAACAAGTTTGGCAATTCTAAGTAGTGCATCCAACAACAGAGTCAGTGAATGACGATTGAATGAAAATTACGGAAGGCCGAGCGCGTAAAAATCTGAAGAGGGATCAGGGAGCGCGCAGGGCGTTGCCAACTAAATTGGACGTGGAGAGGATAATGCGAACGGCGCGCCGTCTAAAATTGCACGCAACGCATAAGGCACCGACCTGAGGATAGTGTTCCTGCATCTCTTCGTAAGAGAGTCCCTCGCAGACTCCGGCGTAGAGCTCGTTGAGCGCGGCGACGTGTTCTTGCGGCGCCTCGATGCCGCGGGCCGTGGCGATGGTGCGACGGAGCCGGCTGGTCAGCACTCGCAGCTCGGGTATGCGCATGGAGTTGATCTTGCTGGCGAGCGCCTGTGCGTAGCGTTCGCCCCGTGCGCTAAGCACGGCGTCGCCGCCGATTTTGCCCAGCACGTTGTACTCGCTCTCGCCGTGCTGCGTGAAATCCGTCACTACAGTCGAGCGCCCACGATTGCCGAGCGTCAGTCGAACGGACAATGCACTCACCCTGGAGAAGTAGAGGGTGTGGGGCTTGAGGGACACGCTGGCGAGATATCCCAGAACGCTGGTCTCGACGTGTCCGCTGACCCTGTAGGCCCTGATCTCCATGGTCGCGGTGTCGACGCGGATGCGCGGATACTTGCTCTCCTGATCCATGGCTTGATAAGTCTTCTGATAGTGCGCGATCTTGAGGCGCAAATCCTCGGCCGCAGCCGAAGGCTCCATGCCAGCGTAGTCCAGACTGTGGCGCAGGATCTCACGACAATTGGACTCGAGCACCTGGGCGTCCTCGCAGATGCACTCGAGGAAGAGCACGCGGTAACCTAGCTGAGTTGAAAAGTAGTCGTAGACCTCGGCACGCTGATCGCTCGTCACCACCGTTGCGTCGAGGATCTAGATTTGGAAACGTAGGCAAACAGTGGCAGTTTCTTATCGGCCACGGTGCTACAGCGCGAACGCGTGCTTCTGATTCTGAAATGACATTGATTACTCACAGCAACGGTGTTCCCAGCTGCAAGCCACGATGCGCAATCTTGCATGGCGTCGCGCTGGGCGAGAGCTCGTAATGCCACATTAGCCTCGTGATCGGGCCGGAAGAGCTCGTGGGACGCGTACGGCTCGAGTCTCTTGCGCCGGTAATCGCTCACGCGCATCACTGCAAACGACACATCAGCTTCGCTGTCAAGCTTTCAAATTTGCGCGTTACGCGGACAATTACGAAAAAACCACTTTCGAACAGCTATCGCGGGGGAAAATACTCCGGTGAATGTTTATCGAAACCGTTTATTGCCGTTCATTTGATCACGTGACCGTGTACGAGGGAGAAACGGAGAGAGCCAACACAGTTATAATGACTTCTTTTTGCTGCATATGTATCTGGCGAGAGCGCCGAATAATTAAATCGTATTCGCATTGACGATTGCCAATCTATACCGCGGATGGCCATTGCGTAACGCTATTAATTGAGCCAGATATACGTGCATGCCAAAGCAATAAGGTAAGGTCAATAGACTGCCCGTTAATTTATCAAGGCACACATATCGACGGACTACATAATGCCGTCTTGCGATCAAAAAATAGTATCGTGACGCGAGTCGTTTGTTTTGCGACGAGCGGCTATATGAAAATTGGACATGCAAATTCAGCCGACGCACGTTACGTAACCGAGGGCTTTCGCTATTAACTGAAGCACGCGAAGAAGAAAAAAAGCGAAACCCGCGACGACATGTAAGAATAACAATGGCTTACCCTTAGCCGACTCGCTATTCCAGTTGAGTCGTCGCTTCAGGCAATGGGCAATCTGGCTTTTGCCTCTGGCCGGCAGTCCAGTCGTGATGATCACGACCCCGGCGAATTTGCGCGGTGGCTTGGATATCCCAGCGGGCGCCCTTACGGCTTTATCTTGCGTGGCTTCTGCACAAATGAAATCCAAATCCACATTCAGCACTTTCATCCCGCAATTCCATCGGATTTATTCGCGTGTGTAAGGGAACGTGGATGGGATAAGCTTGGGAATATACAATAGCCCAGGGACAGCAGCCGTTGAAACCTGACTCTAGAATCTTCGACGTACGACATGCGATTTCGTAACGCGAACAGCACATATACGCAGACCTCCCCGACATTTCATCAAAGAGCTTTTCAATGAACAGAGACTCATGGATACTAAATTGATCGTATATGTAGCTTGTTCTACATTTTCTTGACACGTGCCATTGTACACTCGTATCACGAGTTATAGCATGCTAAAACGATTTCCATTTTCGTTGTCGAGGAGAGAAAAAGAAAGAGTATAAGTGCGCTTCTGCATTCAGCAGTGAAAAAGACAAAAGAAAATCAAGACGCTTTGGCGTATGCCAAGAATAAACGTCCGCTCCAACTAAGTCACAAATCTACTTTTGGCACGCGCAAAAACAAAGCATATACCTGGGCTTTTCTTTTCTCGACTGAGTAGTGTCAACACTAGACTGCATAATTCAAGAGAGAAGGAAAAGAGACGAACGTTAAAAGTCTGAACGAATTCGCGCGTTCAGCGACACGACTGGACGATCGTGTGCGCAAAAAAAATCGTCTGTCACTTTGATACGTGAAAATCAAACCGAAAGAAAAAAAAAATAAGGCTCAGCTGGCCGCGAGCCAGTGCACGCATTCCGCTGCGTTGAAATAACCACGCGAACTCGTTTTCAGCAGCACGCACAGCTCGCCGGAGACGTGGAAAAGGAAGAACGGGCAAAAAGGAAGAGAAGCGATAATGTCGATCATTCGCGGATTTTAAGCCAAGAGATGCTCGGATTGGTTTGCATACAAATTACAATTAAGTTCGGATCCGTATCAGTCGAATCTATATTAACGATGTGCACGTGATCATCACGCCGCCAGTAAGTTTGACTTTGTTAAATCGGGTGTTGCGTTATCAGCATTGTTTGATCGAAGAATGCATCAAATCGAACGAAAACTTTGCGCATGCATGTGCGCACAATTTCTCAGGAGCTGCACGATCTCCGAAAACGCGAATCGCAACTTTGGTTCGCAAGCGAAATGTCAAGGAACGAACGTGGCGTCGGTTCGAAATTTTGCGAGACAAACAATAATCAAAGTTGCTTATATTGCAGTGCGTATTGATTTATCTTCGATTGTCGAACACAAATAGAGATCCATAACATAGATTGCTTACCGATGTGACACATGTTGGCAAGATATTCACGAAGAGCTTGCTCTTGACAGGAGTCGTCGAGTGGTATAGATAGAAGAAACGAGAAGAGCGAAAAAGCCAGTTCCGGAAGCGTGGAAGTGACGTTCAATACGTATATGTAGATATTGCACCAAAAACAGTATAAATTGTTGATCTAGTTCAAGGGAACTCCTTGGAGAAACGAACGTGCGACACTTGGCGACGGATAAGCGTCGAGAGGTCGTTTGACAGAGACATGCGTGATGTGATCGTTGCGAAAGTCAATCGCTCACTGACGCTCCTTGACTAGATACACCGGAATCTTATATTTAGAGAGACAGTCCGCGAATCACTACAGTCACAAGAACTACAAAAAGCGCGCAGTACAAACACACTCGTGCGAGCGCAGGCGACAATCGATGCAAGCGCGCGACAGACATTCGCACTTGCGCGCGATGAAAGCTTGGCTGCACTTTTTTAAGTGCAAAGTCCATTTCGATGATCCTCGGGTCACAGACTTTTTCTTGATTCACCAGTAAATAACAAGATTATCTATCCTTGTGTTAAATCATTTGCTCGCTTGCCCGGGAATCTCTCTTACAAGACCCTGCATTTTTTCCCTGAGATAAGTTGACCGCGCTTACAAATGCCTCGTTCAGTAATCAAAATATTTCAATGAAAGAGCGCTGAGGGAATGGTTCAGAAGACCATCAGACGTAAAATATCATGATTCCGCGGAAATTATTCGTATCGCTTAGCTTGGCTTGGTTTTCTTGGTGGAAACGGGACAGGCGTCAGTATTTTCGCTGACGGAGACGCGCGCGCGAGTCAACATAAAGTTGCACCAAAACGCTTTCGTTTACCAACAAGATGCACAAGCAGTAAACCAAAAGTATCGAAATGAAGAGCAATACGAACGCGCAAGCTCCAGAAATGCCAACTGAAACTCTCAAAATTTGAATCGAGAGCCCATGAGAAACAAGCGAGGGCAAAGCAAATAATGAATGGGGGGGGGGGGGGCAACGGGATAGGTTGTAATAGTGGTAAATCAAAACGCGGACAATGGCTTAGCTTTTTTTTTCGCTGACACAAACCTCGAAAGCTATACTAGGTTGTAAAGGTGTGCGCGCGCGCGTATGTGTAGACGACAGCATGTGGAATTTCCTGTTTTCATGGTCGTAAGTATAATAGCTTTAGTTTTTTCCGCGTTAGCTCGAGTGTAGTCTTGTCTTGCCGCGATCAATGACATAGAGCGCAACCAACATTTATCTTGTTTTATGACAGACTATCATTTTACTTGCGAATACTTCCGTGGCTTATTGAACGTGGCGATTAATATTTGCTACTACTGCGGGCAGTCGCGTAACGACCAAATTCTTTTGCGTAACGCTCCAAGTGATTTCGCGAAAAGTTACGAAGGGGTAAACTTATGCTAAACTTATATTTAATCGGTACTCGCGCCACGAGATTCGGTGGAAGACGCGCGTTGGTGCAATTCGGAATTTCTGACATTAGTCGCGCCGTACTGTGGAAAGTGCATCACGGAAGCTGACGAGTAAAGCTTCAGAAAAACACTTTAACTAAATACCTGTATTTAAATGACGACCAGTCACAGATTTCATTAAAAAACACGTTGATTCGGTACTTGTAAAAAAAATTTGCGTGAATTTTGCATGCGGAAAAATTGTGTTTTCTCTACACGTAACTGATTAGGTTCGTGAAAATTCATAGAGCGAGAGAACAAACAAATAAGCGTTCGATGTATTGAAAAATAGACAGATACGCGTGTGCAATAGCACACATCGGACGCATGATCGGGCGTAGACGCCAAGTCTCGAGACGCGAAAGAAAACGCGACGTACATACAAGACGTTGATACACACGCCGATCGAAAAGATTCTCTCTCTCTCTCTCTCTCTGATCTTTGATTTGCGTTGACGTCACTTACATTGCTTTTTTTTCCATCGCGCATGTTGATAACGTGGATGATTGCACTGACGCCTTATACAACCTAATACATAATCGGGTTTTTCTCTATCTTTTTTTGTAAAAAAAGAAACGAGACAATTGAATTCATTGATAGTATTTTCTTTTGTCTGTCGTGCAATGGAGCTTTTGCAATTTTCAACGAAAAACACGAAATGAAGATATTTTTTATCTTCACAATGGCAACATCTTTTGTTAAGTATACTCGATGGTTCGTGTCTTTTATCAAATTAACATTATTGTACACCGAGCTTAATCATTTATCGTTGATAACTATAGGAATATTTTAATATTTGTTAAAGTTTCGGGTTAATATTGCTTGAAAAACTTTATTTACCCACAGTGAGCTTATATAGCATACATGATAAGAATGATTAACTAAATTAAGATTGCAGGTTGTAATCGTTGTATTCAAAAGTGAAGATAACAAAATGAGTAAATGTATTTGTGATATGTTGAAATATTTTTGTCGTCTGCACACTCGTGTTATCAACAATGAAGCCTCAAAAGATTACACTAGACTAGAAATTTGAATTTCGCGAAAAGTTTCAGTCGCAAAACAAAAAACATAATATATTGAGAGCCAGAAGAATGAACCGTCGTAATCCAAGCTTAAGGTGCGACACACTCATACCTTTACATTCGATGCAGAGTGTCGGTTTTGTAAATCTGATTAATTGGGAATAATACACAATAAGTCATAGTAGTGATTTTATGATCGTCTCGCTAGACACAAAGCTTCATGAAAACACAAAGGTATATTGCAAAACAAGTTGAATTGTCACTGCCATCAGTGAAAAATCAATCGAATCCCGGAAAAATTACATACGATCAACAATTAACACACGTGTAGGAATGCTAGTCAGTCAAAGAGAGAGAAAGAGAGAGAAAAGCTATATAGTACCGCATGAACACTGCCAACCGAGATCGATGTGGAGGCAAGCCAATTTACCGACGTGAAGTCCAGAAGCAGTGTCTGCTTTTCTCGCGAGATCGTGGCTCATAATTGCTATAAAATGCTACGGATGAACGATGAAAAAAGGACGAAAAACAGCGAAACAGTAGTGCCGAGGAGGAGATCGCGCAATCTTTGTCTGTGTCTTTTCCTTTTTCTTTAGCGCGACAGGACCGACACAAAGTCATAGGTGCTCGAGTCTCGCTGGCTTTTTGACTCGATCTTTTCACATCCGACGTCGCGTAAGTCTTAACTTGCCATACATTCAGCAGATACGCAAAGCGTATTTGTTGGCTACGATCGGGCTTTCAAGTCATTCTGTATATCTATATTTCGCACGCGGCCTCGCTCGAGGTCACTCGCGTGCACTGCGACATCCGACATCCGCAGATGCTGCTGCTATACTCACTTGATCTGCCACATTGCAAATACCTGTCCTTGGCGAATCGTTGCGTAAGAAATAAGCCCCCATGTAATTCGTCAATTGTAATCATTCGAATGGTTATGCTATGGCTTCAACGACGACTATTTTTCGATAACGAATAATTCTTCGTACATTATTAATCGCTATCAGTCTCAATTGAATACAATCGACTTATCGATCTAATGAGGAACAAACTTTTCCAGATACTCTTAATTGAGTTGAGAATACAAATGCCTTACTAATAAATTATGAGGTTTGTTATAATAACGTCTTTGGTAAAAAATTGCAATCATCAAAAACAATAACGTTGTTACATTGCTATTCGTCATGTCATTTGGGCGTAAAAGTGCTGTCAAGAGGTGTTTAAAGTTTTAACAGTAGCTTATGACGTTCTCGCGTTGACCTACTTCTTCAATTCGAGCTACTGTATTACGAATAAGCCTACCATTTAAAATGTTAATGGAATTAGTATCGAACAAAATCAAGCGTAAATATACGTCTTCGCGGATTTAAGGCGAGTGGGAGGGGGTATATTTTGATTCTCGTTTCACCTCGAAACTCATAATACAAGCTAGTGGTCTAATCTTGAATTTGCGTCATTGCAGTTCAGTGGCATACGATAATTAAGATTTAGCAATCGCGAAACGCGCTCAGATTGCAAAATTTTCCAGTATTTCGTACGTGTGTACGATCTAGAGATTTGGAAAAACAAAAGTTACCAATGCGGAATATTTACAGATGCAAAATCTTGCGGTACGCTTTGCAGAGGCAATTATAAGTTTTAGTACTTTGTTTTTCAATAGTAGCGTATGTTTTTTTATTGTTCTTCTCAACAGAACATCTTTTAGCGTTGTCATGTATTTAAATATTTGAATATTTATCTATGTAAAAATGTAAAATCTAACAAAGCAAAATTATTGTAAATTAATTGAAAAGTCAAAAAAATCATTATTTTTTCTGAATAGCATCTTAGTCGATCTTTAGGGTGGTGAGCATAATGTTATTAATAATCAGTAAGTTTAATAAAACTTATTAGTAAATTAATAACTACATTAATAAAAGCTGATTGTATTAAACAAACAAGACTACGCAGAATCTGAATTCGCAATATTTCTTTCATAATCATTTTATTTTTCTCGATCTTTTTCGAAGCAGTAAAAACGAATTTTAATGAAATAAACACTTGTAGTAATTAGATAATATCACTAATATTGCAATAGTGTTATCTCTGTAAAGAAAAAAAAAGAAAATCGCTTTCCCCAGAACCAATGTGAAAACACGCATATCGGAGAAGATACTAAGAAATGTGGCCATCGCAACTTTGAATTTCCCTTCCGCAGAATCCTCGTCATCGAAAATGCCGTTCGCAAAACGTGACATCTGCAAATCTTCGGCACGTGACACGACACGAAAAAGAAAGCCTGGCAAAACAACGCAATAAAATTAAAGGCGCATTAAATAAAGCAGAGAAGAGCAATGAAAGGCGATCAAGCCTGTCGCGTCAGATGCTTGCTTGAGCGAAACACCCTGAGTAGGCACGGCCTCGGTGAATGATAAAAATTCATAGCCGTGCGCGTGTGTGTGTGTGTATGGGCGCGCTTGTATTTGTGCGTCGGAGCGTCGCGTGCGACCAGTTTGGGCTGGCTGTCTTAAATAGCCTGGCGGCAGGCAAGTCGCAACGAGTCTTTTTCTGATTGGTCGAGCCGAGAGGGGCACGGTTCTGTCGGCCGCTCTTTCTCTCGGTTCGCACTGTTTGTGAACCCCGGCGTAAAAATACGCCGCGCGCAGACCGTGTGGTGTTTGTTTGGTAGCTCCCCCCTGCAGCGCCGTGCGTCGTCTGCTACACGCGCAGACACGTCTACTCTGCGCGTTGCGCATAATTCGCACACTCGATCTCTATTCCCGTAGCTGCCTTTGCCACATGTTATTCCATTATTCGTACGCAGCATTTTGCCCATTTTAATTTGTTCTACATCTGCTGCTCTCGCTTCTTCGGCTTCTAGATTTTGATAACTGCGAACATTTTCGTAACAGTAGTACGCTGTAACAGCTTTGAGAGCCACTGAGAAAATTTCGAAAGCAATACGTTGCCCCGCGAGAGAAAGAGAGAGAGAGAGAGACAGGCAGACGAAGAAACCTGTTCCTTATCGTTACACTGATTTATTTTTGAAAGTCATATTTTTTCTTTTTTATTTGCTTTTATTCGAGTTATATTTCAGCGATTATCGCAGTGTCAATATTTATTGATTAACAATCATTTATTAAAGTGTACGACTTACACTTGACGTTTATACGATTGAACTTAAATTACCGAAGACACGAGATTAAAAAAGCTTGACTATCTATATTTTATTTTTTTGCTTCTGGGACGGCTGTCTATTAATTGTTAACGTAACACTTGTTCAATAACCTTGCCTACAATCAGTTTTAACCAAGGATATATTACTGTACGTATAAGATTAATTATAACTTTTGCACTTATAACTGTGCCGCCGTGCAGCTTGCGGGCTATTACCACTGCACTCGAACGACCATTCGGTGCAAATTTTTTTACGAGTACATATGTTATATCAAGCTCGATAACGACAATTAGCTTAATTCATGAATCACATATATTGTTGTTCTTGTTATGAGGGAGACGAAATAATCGCATTTGTACACAATTTTCACGGAGCCACAGCACAAGTGTGTCTTTATTACTTTACGTAACGCTAAAGATAAAAGCCATGACTTGACATGTAATTCAATCGAAGATAGCATGTTTAAAGGAAGGTTCAATATATTTATCACAATCTTACTTCACATTATCGTGTTTTTTCGTAAAATTAAAAAATTATTATTTTGGTAAATCGATTCAAAAGCCATATATTGTTATTCAATGAGAATATTATCAATTATTTTCCGTATAAGTAACTAACTAGGATACCTCTACAAAAAATGCTTTGTTAGTTCTTTATTTCATTATTTCAGCAATAAATTTATATTAGGTTAAACAATAACTGGAACGAGTAGCACTAATGGAATGATAATAAAAAGCAAGTTATTGAATTTAGGTCAAGATAGCTCTGATCGATAATATTTCGTTACGTATACCGTTTACACACACACACATGTACAAACACACCACACCTTCAGTTGGCGAAAGAAGGACAATTTCACCGTTAAATAATTAGTTTCAACGTCGCGTGAATACAACATGGCATTGTAAAATCGATTTCTCCGAAAGTAATTCTCTCGCGTCGTATATAGGAAGTAATTTGGCGTATGTACTATACTGCATGCTACCCTTGAGACCCGCTGTGACGTGCGCAGTAAGCTTTACAGTAAAAACGCAGAATCGAGTAATTTTACTCTAAAAATAATGAAAGTGCTCTGCTTGGAAGTTCGCATTTGTCAAACTTTGGCATGTTCTTTAGGGAAATACAACGAAATTGTCTTTGACGTTGGCGAACGCTCTTTTTTTCTTTCGGCTGTAACGAAAATTTATTCGGAGACGCGGGAAAAAGCGACGTGACTCTGAATTTCAAACTTTATAAATAAGCTGCCTGAATAACTTTGTTTCGAGAACAATGACGGTTTGTTATTAGAATTCACCTTATCTCAATTTCGGAAATATATGTTTAAAAAATTATACGTCTAACGTGCGTTAAAGCATTGCCTTCTGAATTATTTACAAGTTTACAGAGAAAGAGCCTATGAAAACATGTAGCGCAAGCTATATATTTACAATGCATCAGTACTGATTATTTTGAGCTTGTGTGCCATTAAAAAGTTTGCAACGAGAATAGGGAAAAACAGCGACTTTCGAGATTCAATCTTCGGGCGCAAATGTACAAGCACGTATGAAAATGAAGCATAACACGGGCATCGACAGAGCTCTATAAGAAAAAACCTTGCTCCGAAAGTGAGTCGGGTAGCGTGCCACGAAGAAAGAAGACAAGAAGACTGTGTTCCGAAAGCTCTGCCGAGCTACGTTGGTAAAAGCCGCGAAAAATAGCTGGAACTTGTTGCAACGCGACTGATCGATCGAGCTGTCGAGTACTTTATATAACGACTGATCCGATCAATTATAGAATATTTGTCCGGCGTTGCATTGCAAAATAAGGTCGCTGAGTCCGTTTTGGAATAAGCGGAACGTATACATATACATGTATACGTTAGAAAAAGAAGCGTTGCGATGTCGAAGGGCAATGTTAAGGAGAAGGTTCCGAAGAAAGAGCGCGAGGGACCTACCTGGGTGATCCATGCTGGGCGCCATCGGGTTCTGTCCGAAGTGATGCAGGATACCGGCTTGCAGCGCCAGTTTTCTCGCGGCCAGGCAGTAGCCCAGCAGAGGCTCGCTCAGTAGACTGAGACAGGCGGCCAGCCAGGGCATAGCAAGCTGCAGCCACAAATTAGTGCCAATCGTCCCCTCGGCGAGGCACGGCTCTGCTCAGGAACTGCTGGACGGGTGGTCCGCGAGATGTTTGGACATGAGTGGCGAGCTAGAGCTCTTCCGAAAAATGGTCGCTGCTGGTGTGGCGTATTATCGACAGAAGATCCTCCCTCATTCCAATTTGCTTGATCCTCACTTCCGGAGCCAGTTTGCGGACTTCCCTAAGCTTCCGCGCGAACACCGCTGCTTCTGGCTACGTCGTTTGCCGAACTTGCCAACTCTCGAGCTGCGCACTGGCTGCAGTGCCGTGGAACACGCGCTGTATCGGCTAAGCAGCTACTGCTGACCTTGTGTTTACATAGTCGAGCCCAGCTGAGAGCGCGACGGGGCAGAGGAGGCAGTGGCGCTGGCGCTGTCTCTCGACGACCCGCGAACACTCGCCGCTTTTCCGCCGAGCGGGCGCGTGTGCGCGAAAATCCACAGCAGACCTGCCTGCGTCTATTGCTGCTGTCGCCCAGCGACGTTGCTGCTCCGTTTGCAGGTTGCCGAGTGAAGAACTGCAACGGACTCGTCGATATATAAGAAACACGCCGACTTGCCCTATTACTGGTCCTGGACTAAACCGGCGCCTCGCCCCGCAGTCGCTTATACCATCGACCCGCTCGGGCCTGCGCGCAGCGCCTGCTTGTCTCCATCTCGCTCTCTCCCTTCCTCCAGCCTTTCCTATCTTTCTCTCACTCGCACCCCCCCCCCCCTCTTCTCTGTATACATACACACCTCGGTCTCTATCGTGCTAATCTTCTCTCGTGGCTTGCTCGTAATCTTTGCTCTCTCCTCTTCCCTCCCATCTCTCTCCCTCCCTCTCCCTCTCTCTCGTTTCTGACTTCTGTCTTTCCTTTCATCTAAATAATTCAGCCCGCAACTCACTCGAAACCAAACACACTCTTCTCGCCAATTCTCTATTTAATTTCCATTTGTCTCCTTGCCACCAATCAATTGGTCTCTAATTGGCCACATTCACCGACGCTCTGGAAACTTTTCGAAAATCTTTCGTGTCGAAGCACGCAAATACTACATATGTCACTCTATATATGTACTCACTTCCATTTATCCAATTTCTTTGCTTTGATCCAGACTTCTTCTAGAATTCATTTACTTTTTATCGTTATAAGTGTTTGCTAATACTTTATTCGTTAAATATGTCGATGATATACTGTGAACATTCTTGTATTCACTATGGATATGCAGTTACAAGAAAACTTATTATTAGTAATCGGTTGAGTAAACGTTGTTAAATAAATTTTTGCACCTATTTGTCTTTAAAGTAAACGCAAATATTACTATATTTATACGTAGCCTAAAGAAATTATACCATATAATAGTTTAATTAGAAAGTCTAACTAAAAAATACATTTTTCTTCTGACATTAATCTAATTAATCTAATCTAAGTCAAGTAATCTTATAATGACTCTTCTATCTAATACATTTTTTCATAATTATGAATTTTCACAAAATTAACAAAAAATTGTTTTAATTTTTCTCTAACATAGCTTTGGAAAATAAAGGGTTATGATTGTTCTTAGTCATTTGAGTCATTTCTGGAATAATTTTTTGCGTATATAATTCGAATCCGAAGTCAGAATTCGTCCATTATGTCAGGTTTTTTAAATATCCTAACCTAAAGAGGCGAAAAAGGCCATTTTTTGCTATATTTGAGCTTCCGTCACATCGTAAAAATTTTTTTTTCCAAAAAACAGGAAGAACCATTTGAAAGGACTTTTTTTACTCTTCAAAATCTATTTTTAAGTTTTGAGATATCTTTTCTTCATCGAAGTACTGTGGATTGTAGTCAACTACTTTCGCATATACTATTATATTCGTATCCAAAAAATTAGCCGTTTTGAAACTTCTAAAATACTTACTGCAATCAACGGTATTTCGATAAAAAAAACATTTCAAATCTTAAAAATAGATTCAGAAGAGTAGAAATAGAACTTTCAGATGATTCTTGGAAAAAAAATTTTTTGCTATGTTACGGGAACTCAAATATAGCAGAAAACGGACTTTTCGCTCCTTTGGGTTAGGATATCTGAAAAACCTGATGCGATGAACATTCTCTGACTGCGAATTCGAATTCTACGCAAAAAATTACTTCGGATGTGACTTTCAGTTGGACAAAAATAATAATAACACTGGCGATTTACCATAAATGTAAACAAACAAGTTATTGAATTCAGTAGTCATATATCAATAGATATAACGAATTTATATCGTCATTGTATCCAGATTAAAAACTGGAATTATTGTATTTTAACTTCTTCGTAAATTAATAGTTCCTACAAAAATTGTAATGACAAAAGATGAAGGTGTCAAACAGTTGCAGCAAGCACTTAACGCCTGTCTTATTAATACTATTTAGTACTGTTTCTATCTATCTTCATAAACACAAGCACAAATAAAAAATCTGGTTTTATAATTCATTAGTTATAACTAATTTTATCTTAACAAAGTTTATAAATGACAAATATGAAAGTATTCATGGAATTTTCTGAATAACAATGAGAATGATTTAACAGATGAAAAAATATATGGTAGATCCGTTTCAATAATAACACAGGCCAACACATTTTCACACGCATAGATCGAACCTAGTGTACCCGAAGAAATGGGATGGGCTGAATCCGAGTTCAGGCCCAGAATTGTTTCATCACCCTCAATTTTCGATAAATCCTAGCCTAAAAGTATCAAAAATACGTTTTTTGCTGTTTTTTAATTACTGTAACTTGATGAAAAAATATTTTTCTGCAAATTTGATGACGGTGCTTTAAAGAGCAACTCTTGCCCTTCCAAATGCATTCCTCATTTTTTCAATATCATTTTTTTCGATAGAGATATGACACAATGCAGTATGATAAATTGGCATTTTCACAAATGTCGTTTAAGCAGAATAAAGTTTCGCTTAAAGATAATCTTCGCTAAAAAATAAAATAATATCCCATGTACCTTAACCAAAGAACCTTGTATTCTGCTAAGCAGTAACCCCCGACCACTATATTCCAAATTCATTAACCAAAGAACCCTATACCCTGCTAGACAATAATTTCAGCCCGCTACATCCCAAGTACTTCGACCCAATATCCCTGTACCCTGCAAAAACTCTCGACCACTACATCTCAAGTTACTTAACCTACTAATTCTGTACCCTCTTAGGTTTACCACTATTATCTTTCAGTGAAACTTTTCTCTGCTAAAACAACGTTTGCGAAAATCAAAATTCAAATTTATCATACTTTAATGTGTCATATCTCTGTTGAAAAAATGAGTGCGTTTAAAAGAGCAAGAATTTCTCTGTAAGATGCCGTCGTCAAATTTGCAAAAAAACATTTTTTCACAAAGTTACAAAAGTTGAAAAAGAGCAAAAAAGGGTTTTTTACTTTTTTAAGTTAGGATATCTCGAAAACTGAGAGTGATGGAGTAATTCTGAGCTCGGATTCGGATTCAGCGCAACAAATTCCTTCGGAAATACCTCGTCTAGTTTCTGGATGTGAACTTTTTTCAAATTTTGTCGGCGTATAATTGATTATTTCAATATAATAGCTGTGTGGCTGTATAATTAATTATTTCATTAATAGGATAGGTTCTAATAAAGTTCAGATTTTGGTTTTATTCTATGGGACGTAAATAATTCACTTCGTAATTATTTAGCTCTTATACATGCTAAATAAATGCACGACATTTATTAATATTTACGAATCATGTTCGTGTAACTTATTTTATTTTGTTTAAATTTCTTTGTAATATCTATAATCACTTGTACATTTTTCTATTGGAAATGTTATATCGCTATGCGATTCAACAGATCAATATATTTTGACAAACTTTGAAAGTTGGATATAGGGATTTGTCGAGATCAATATGCAAATCATGAAAAACCAATTACTTTCATAACTATACCTTTTAATATTTGGTATACTCGTACATCGCCATTAAAAACTAGAAATTGGATAAAGTTTTGTATTTTTATTCAGTAAAGACAATTGTTTCAAATCTTTATCTAAACCTAGTTCCAGCAAGGTCTTTCATCTTCGCATACTAAGATGAAAGCTTTCTTACACAATAAAGCGTCTTAACGAGTATAATGAGTTGAAAAAAAGATCAATAACGAAACCATGATCATCTGCAAAGAATGCAAATAAGATTAAAACATGTTATAATATTCTTGGTATTTATAATTTTTCATATCTCTTAATTTAAGAAAAATATAGAAAAAAATATAGAAAAAAATTTATAGAAAAAATGTTGTATTTTAAAGCTATTTTATTTTCAAATATACATGGATAAATGTACAATTATAAACTAATCGAGAATTGCCCACCACATGTAATAAAAATCGTTTCAAATAAATAGTAATAATATTCATTATCTAATTGGTATCGAAAATTTCATTAAAAAGTTACTATTATATCTATCATTTATTGTTAACACTAATTTCTACTTTATCATCTGACAATGAAAGGAAGTTTATTGTTTGTGGAAATGTCGCATATATACTTTCTTAATGTATCATTCGTTCATGTGCGGAGTTTGCTTTTAATAGAAGTCTTCAAATTTTAACACAGACAATTTTTGAGGGTACATCTAATAGTAGCAAAAACTATTTCTTATATAGTACAAAAAACTTCTTATTTTGATGAAAGGTCTTATTATCATTTAAAAAGAATAAGTAATTGTGGTATCGAAAAATCATTTTCTATCGTAATACGTATAATTTTCAACATTATAAATTTTAATGTTTTCATATAACATATAAAAAACAAACTGCCTTTCCATCATATCCATCTTGTTATCATTATTTATCAAAAAATTGCTTTTAACATTTACCTATTCACGTAAAATTATTTCGTTAACAAAGTTGATGTTGCATTAAATACGTGATATAAAGTACTCGTATCTTTGATACATTCTGATAATTAATTGTGTTAATTAATGCATGCAGTTGTTCTGAATAAAGCTACGATTATAGAAAATATTATCTTAGTCATATAAGGATAATATGACAAGTAATGATGAGAACAATTTATACTAAGTCGTTACGGTATAGTTAACCGATTATAGGCAATGTATATTATCAGGAAAGCCTTTACGTAGACCTGTGTTGAATTAATACTCAGCGTGACTGGCAAAAATATCTATTGTAAATAATATACCACGGATATAGCTGATGAATTTTTCTTCTCTGTCCAGGGATAAAAGTGATAAACATCCACAGAAATCTTCAGTATATATTCAACAATTCCTCCGAGTCAAATTAAAGTTAATTATAAAAACTGAAACTTCAATTAATGTGTCTTCTTGTGGTATGTGCACATATATAAATACTATTTTATATTAAAATTTAATCAAATAAGCAATGGCATAATAGGCTGTCATTATTTTATATACTGAAAAAATAATCAAAATTTAGTTTCAGTTATGATAAATGAATTCATTCTTTGACATTCCTATACTCGATGTTTTTTGTTAACAAGTCAATTGATTATCAATACTATATACATTAGGTATTTATTAGTTGATTTTAAACGACAAATAAAATCATGCAGATATCTTAATCTTTTTGGATAAGAAGCTCTTAGAATCGTGTTTTGTTCGTTCTGCCACACTTCAATTGCAATTGTTTTTATAAATAAAATGATAATTGAATCGTTATAAAATCTTTTTCATGGTTTGTTTATTGTGACAAGTGATCTATTTTTTTCTGATAATCAATTAAATGAAAAAAGAGCAATAGGTAGAAGCGTAAATTTTGTTTATATATCGTATAAACTAATGAGTTTTAATGACAGTTTTCTTAAAAATATCATAGATAAGTTATTGAAGGTATTGCCACTTGGTCCAGAAAATAATAGGTGTAGTAATCCGTCTTTCTAAATCAAAAAGGTAAAATAAATAATGAAAAATTTTTCCACGGTATGCGCCACGTCACTTGGAGCGACGCGGCGCCATCATCAATAGCTGTATGACACCTTGAAACTTCACGTAAGGGAGATTTTTGGTCGATTGGTCAACCACTTATTCGAATTACTTCCAAACTTCATATATCCTACTATTTCTCCAGGAACGGGATCAGTATTAGTCTTTTATGTCAAAGAAAAATTATTTTACAAGTTTAATCCCCAGCAAGGGTTAAGCACTGATCATCTTAACCCATTTTATCGAAAACGTCATTCTCGGTATACCGGTCTTTGAGCACTCAACTATAATTAATGTTACAGGCATCAAAAAAATTGTAAAAGTCATATTCTCAAAGTTTAAGCTCTTTCCGATGGTGTTCGCGATATTTTTTCAACCAAATTTTTATGCGAGTAAAATGCAGTTTAAAAGCACGAATTTTTCACACCTTTTAAAATTAAATCGAGTTTTCGGAATGTTTCTGATATGCTATGATATTGGAACCTCACTAACCGGTGAAATAAATGTATAAATTTGACGAATACGTGATTCCCGGATCGATTTTTCGCCCAAGGTGTCCAAAATGGTGCCTCGAATGCGTAATTTTTTCCATTGTATTCATGAATTTTTTTACTAAAATACTGATCTTATGAAAAAAAGTACCAATAGAGAAAAAGTTCTTAGAAGTATATAAGGAATACACTGGATTTTTTTCAAAAGGTTTCAAGAACATTTTTTGTTTTTGCAGTTGATCAATTTTTGCACAATCAAAGAATTACTTAAAAAGTCCGGAAAAATACTCATGTATTATTTAGACAATTATAAGAATATTCTATTCTCAAATAATTTTGCTGGAACCGAATAGTTTTTGAAAAAAAAATTTTTATTGTTTATTACTTTGATATTTATTTCTTTTCCTTGGAAGCAATGCACATATAGAAAAAATGTCTAAGAATAAAATATTTTTATAATTGAAGGAATATATGAAAATTTTTTTCAACAATTTTTTTATTTTTCAAAAATTGACCAATAGCAAAAACAAATAATTTTCTCAAAATCTTTTGAAAATATTTCAGTGTATTCCTTACATAATTCTAAGAACTTTTTTCTCTCGGTACTTTTTCCATAAGCTAATAGTTTTTGACTAAAAAATTCATGTATATAATGGAAAAAATTACTCATTACCCCCATGTCTATTTGTCCCTCAGTGTTAACTTTACAATCAATACAGATCTGTCTGTTCACACGAGGATTGAACCCATTAGCAGATTACATACCATTTACGATCTGCTGTGTATGCGAAAAGTATATACAGAGTAATTCAGAAGGATTATATTTCCCTAAAACTGATTGTAGACTTTTTCTAAAGTGATTGGCATTTTCAAAAAAAATTTATATTTAATACCTTCCAAGAGAATTAATTTCGAAAATTAATCAAATTAATCAACTTTCAGCATGTGTTGTATCGATAAGACTTATTTTCTTTTTTGGCAATCCAATCATTTGTAATAATACCAAGTAACGAATGATTTAGTTATGGAATTATAAATTTTTTCGGTCAATAGGATAAAAAAGAAGGAGGATTGATTCGTATCAAACATGTATTTTTTCAAATATCTTTACATATATTTTTTAATCATTAATCTGATTTAATTAAGAGCTATCTCATTCGAACGATAAGCTTCCAAACTCTCAAGAATGAAAGTTATCAAAAATGTATATAAATTGTCGATGATAAGCATTTTAATGTATAAGTGACATCAGTGCCATTTTCATAGATTTCATAACTTTCAAAATATTATAAATAATGTTATTGCTATTATGTATTTTTCATTAATTTATTTCAATAATGCAAGGTATTGAAAATTAATTAATATAGTCATGTCATTTTTATAGATTTAACGATTTTTGAAAGTTTATAAACACTTTCGAGCCAATCATTAAAGATAATTAACAGATATAATAAGGTTTAAGAATAACAGTGATGGAGTAATAATTTAATACAAAAATATAATTATTTTTAATTTTCAAAATGATACTTTAAAAAAACTATTCATACAACTATTTATTTTATGAAAAGTTTCTTTAAAGTATGTTATGGATATACAATGAATGAATAGTTGTGTAATTTTTACCTTGTATGTATTATATCGAGGTGAAAAAACTAATTCTATGTTCAATATCTATAAAGTATTTCGTGATTGTGTAGGACGTGATAATAATAAAGTATAAGATCTGTTATTTTACCATTATTAGTATAGCAAAAAGGCAGTTAATTATTTTTGCTCACCATATTACATGTAACGGCTAATATCGGGTATCCTATGTCTCTTATCTAGGAAAACCTTTATTCTTACAGTTTAAATATAAATGTCAAATACAATATACTTATTCATACAATTATCAAAACTTTTTACATTAATATTATTCTCAATGGTTTTTCTAATCTATTTATCTTTATCATCCTTATTTGATTTTATACAATGAGTTTTCAATTTTTTTCATTTTACATTAACAAACTCTTTTGCAACATGTACGCTTGTTATTAAATTTATACTTATTATTAAATTTTATTTTATACATTTTTATTAAATTTATACTCAAAATATTTTCCGAGAAATTTCTTTCAATACTGCGATTTTAAGTGCAACCTCAAAATTTTTTTTATAATAAAAAAAATATTTTGCAGATATTCAGTTGATTCGAACAGTATTTGATACGATGGAGTATGGTAGCTACGAAATATTACTAGGTTTTTCTGTGCTTTTCTTGGCCGTTTATTACTATTTGACATCAACCTTTGATTATTGGCGTAGTCAAGCAATTCCTGGGCCTGAACCAAGAATTTTATTTGGAAATTTAAAAGATGTTATATTCGGCAAAATATCTCTAGGAGGTTATTTGACAAAACAGTATGAGAAGTTTAAAAATGAACCAATGATTGGCATCTTTGTTCGTCGGATGCCAGTTCTTATTTTACATGATCCCGACTACATAAAGGATGTTTTAATTAAGGATTTTAGTATTTTTGCCGATCGAGGCATGATTTTTCATGAAAAAATCGAGCCTTTATCTCAACATTTGTTCATGCTCGAGCCAGAACGTTGGAGACCTCTGCGCGCTAAACTATCACCCACCTTCACTTCAGGAAAACTCAAAGAAATGTTCTATCTATTAATAGAATGCGCTGATCACTTTGAGGAGGTCTTAAACGATTGCATCGCGAAAAATTCAGTTATCGAGTGCCGTGAACTCACCGCTAGATTTACCACTGATGCTATTGGAGTTTGCGCTTTTGGGCTAAAGATGAATGCTCTTAGTGAAGAAGACAATCAATTCCGCAAAATTGGGCGTCAACTTTTTGCAACGGATGGTTTGAAAAGTCTCAAAATGAAATTACGAGAAGGAGCTCCCTGGCTCTACAAGTTGCTTGGGCCTTTGATGTATGACTATGAAATTAACGACTTTTTTATTGGACTTTTCAAGGATACAGTAGAGTACAGAAAGAAAAACAATGTTAAAAAAAATGATTTTGTCGACTTATTAATGGAAATTAAAGAGAATCCAAATAAAGTTAAAGATATTGGTATGTACAATTTGCGCAGTTCAGCTTGAGTAACTATAATGTCTATGTTGATTTAAAATTCAAATAACAGAAAAACTTGTTTTGAAACATTAGAATAATAAATTTTCCAAGACATACGCGGACATACATTCGAAAGAAAATTCAGTGAAAAAAAGATACATTTTCATAGAATCGCCATAAATAAGAATTTTGACCAAAGGAAAAAGATTAAAGTAAAATTTGTGCCTTACAAAAAAAGAGTAATTGAAAACTTAAATGTATTAGATTTGTGATCAATCGAAAATTAGCGCAAATGTAAATTTCTAAAGATTATAATTATAATTGTTTATCCATGTTTCAGAATTGAATGACGCATTTCTTACAGCTCAACTATTTGTATTTTTCATTGCTGGTTTTGAAACGTCATCTACTACAATGAGTAATTTTTTGTATGAATTAGCTTTGAATCAACCGATACAAAATAAACTTCGAGAAGAAGTCAATAATGAACTGAATAAAAATAATGGAAATGTGAAGTACGATACTATAAAAAATTTGAAATATATGCATAAAGTATATTCTGGTAAGCGCACTCGTTATGAGTAAACGGGAAATATGTCTGATAAATTTATATTTAAATAACGTCTATTCCATATGCTTATCACTTTTTTTAGAAACTTTGAGAAAATATCCGCCGCTCATGGTAATCATGAGACGAAGCACGGAATCATACACGTTTTCTGGATCAAAACTGACAATTCCAAAAGGAATGAGAGTCTGGATTCCTGTTTATGCTATTCAACGTGATCCACAAATATATCCTAATCCAGATACCTTTGACCCCGAAAGATTTGACGATGAAATTTCAAAGCATCGAAACTTATCATTTTATTTGCCATTTGGTGCTGGTCCTCGAAACTGCATTGGTAGTTATAGTTTTAGCAATACATTAATGTATGAAGTATACAAAATTACTCATCTTATTTTTGTATTATTTAACTTTTTAGCTGCTCGATTTGCCAATTATCAATCAAAAGTGGGCCTTATTAAAATTTTATCGAAATACAAAGTTGATGTATGTGATGAAACTTGTGTTCCATATGTAATTCATCCAAGAAGTTTTTTATTAACACCAACTGAAGGTATTAAGCTGAAATTCACAAAAATCACCTAGAAAAGCACTCGTAAAGTATGACTCAATAAGTGACAACACAGTAACTAAATAAAGTAATTATAATTGTGTTGTTAAATAAACAAATAATGCTGAATAATAACCGAATAGATTTGGTTTCATGAAGTTTGCTTTCATTTATCGGGAGAGATATTATGACTCGATATCCATTAATACTTAGCAATATTTATATTTATGATACAATAATGTGTATAGTTAACAATTTCAAAATAAACGGCGTTCATCTTACTCAACACTCTAGATCTAATCTAAAAAATTAGTTGTTGACTTAAATTAAATCCTAGGATGCTATAAAACAAGGAGCATGTAATTTCTGTTTATAACAAATTTGAAAATTAACTATGAAGTGGAATTGTTACATTACTTTAATTTTATTTCGCCAGTGCTTGTGTCTTATTTTTCTGTTTAGTCATTTCTTTTTGACGAAAAAATATGAATAATTATAAGAATAATAATTTTCCTATGTAACTAACGGCCATTCGAGACTTTCTACATAAAATTCATTGGACAGCGGACGTCAGACGTCAGACGTGTATCAAAGTGTAAAAATGAAGTAATGTATTAATTCATAAAATAAAAATAAATGTCGCACATAGCTTTTCCAGACCACGCACAAATCTTTAATAATAACTAAAATTAAAATAATAACAAACAATTAATTTTTTCTACCTCAATATTCGTCCAATATCCGAAGTCCAATGGCTCATATATCCCTTACTTCTATGTTTACAAAGCTATTAGCAACACATGAATTTTCATTATTTATACTGAGCTTTCTTGTTCTTTTAACAGTTCAAGTATTCTAGTTTTTTTTGTTTTCGACCGTAATGAAAATTTGATTTTTAATATTACGCCATTAAAGAGCTGAAGCTCGATAAGCTATGAGAGTTCGAATTGTTTGAGCTTTTTGAAACTTTGCATAAGTCTAGAGTTATGCCTTTTAGCCACGTATTTATACATTTTTATAAGAGTATCGATATTCTATAAAATTTATAGAAGCACAGCTTTCCATCATTGTACAATTTTTATTATTCATTTTCAGCATAAGACATAATAATCTCATGATTTTACTTAAATTTTGCCATATTTGGTTTTTTTGAAAAAGAAGTTTCTTTTTTATAAAATATCGGAAAGGTTATTTCTCCACACCACATATACAAACCACCAATCCAGTTTTCAGCATTGTTTTTTATTCTTATCAAAAATTATTGGGTCAGGAGCGTAGAAGTTTCATCGTCATTAAAAATAAAAAGCTGCTGGCTGTCATTCTTTAAATTTATTTTCGCAATAATTTACTTTTTGCATAGCACTGGTTTAACGCTTCTACTTGATGGTAATTTATTTATTCTTAAATCAAACGTTATTTTAAAACTAGTCCAAGTTAGACCTTTATTTCAACTATCACTGAAGAGGTATTATATATTTACGTTGTAACACCAATCGAAGAATCGAGTGAGTAAACTTATCGTCAAATTTATTATTAGATACATTTAGATGAACCTGCAGTCGTTACAAAGTGAACATCAAGACAAAATAATTGAAAAATTAAAGAAAAAAGACAATAATCAAACGTATAAAGCAATCAAAAGTGTCGGTCGAATATTATATATATGTACCGAGAGCATAAAAGAAGTCTTGTGCGTTTCAGCTAGTGCTAATTCACCTCGAGTGACATTGCAATCATATCCACCAGGCGTAAAACGATTTTCACGGTATAATACAGATTTTGCGCCGACTGTTCGGATAACACGCATTTTGAATTTTCTATTGTGGACGCGACATAGCGAAAACCATGCTTGTTTGAAAATATACATTTCTTGCAGGCAGACATTTATCAAATTTTTTATAGAATGTCATATTTTTTTACTGCTGCATGCTGGTGTGCTACTTCTACTTCCTGTATTGCTATAATTAGTTTATACTTGTCGGCAATTATCGCAAGTAGCTTTGATAACAAGTTTCGTAATTGGTCTATTATTTCCAACTAAACAGTGAACTATTATTTCTAATTAAACAATTATTTGAAGCAACTTTCACATCATTTTTATTTTTCACTTATACTTTGATGTTTTCGATAAATTTACTTTGATAAGAATTATAAACGTTCTTCATTATTTGTAGTACAATTCCATTCTTTGTATGGTCTTAAAATTTTTTTCTAATTAGAAAACACAAAACAGACCACAGCATATCATATCATCAGTAACAAGCTGTCACAACGCAATTCAACTAAAAAAATCGAAGAACCAACTAAACTGAAAAAGTAACAAATTACTTACAACGCAGTTTTTTTTCGACAATCGAGCAACGTTTAACAATATTACTCAATCAAAGAAGTTGACAGCGATTTTTTACTATATTATTTTTACATGTGCCTGCTTTTTCGAATGATTTCTTTTTAAGTTAAAATATTTTTAGTCATAGGTACGTCAATATTGTACCATCTATCGAAATTAAATATTTGTACAAATTTACCTCACATAAAAGTAATAATAAAATAGACGGTTGTAGATATCTAGGTAGTTCAAACCACATATAAGATGGCGTTTGATATTTACGAGTTCTTAGCCAGCTTGTCTGTACTATTCTTAGTCATTTATTATTACTTTACACTAACCTTTCATTTTTGGCGCAGACTCGTTAGAATATCTCTAGGAAATTATACGTAACAGAACAATATCTGAAGTTTAAAAATGAGCTAATGATCGGTATCTTATCTATACTACGGACTACATAAAGGATGTTTTAAATAAGGACAATATTTTTGCCGACTGCGTGATTATTTATGATAAAATCGTTATCTTAGCAATTTTTTTACTTCGAGCCAATGGTGGATGCATTCATGTAATAAACGTGCACCGACTTTCACTTCGGTCAAACTAAAGAAAATGTTTAATTTATTGACATAGTGTGTTGATAACTTGGAAAAGCTTTTAGACATTTCCGTTTATAAAAATCCATTTTCGAGTGTCATGAACTCACCGCTAAATTTGCCACTGACGTTATTGAAGTTTGTATATTTGGGATGAAGATGAATGTCCTTGCATAAGTCAGACAATTCCGCAACATTAGGCATCAAGTTTATACAACAGATAGATTGAAAATTGTTAAATTAGAAATAAAAGAAGCAACTTCCTGGCTTTACAAGTCGCTTGAATCTCTTGGATACAATTTTTAATTGACATGGAAAGGAGAACAACGTTAAACGAAATGACTTTGTTGACCTAATAATGAAACTCAAGCGAGAAATTAAATAAAGATGGCAATATTACTATAAATATTCACAATTTTCATAGAATCAAATGTTAAAACTAAATAATCTCCAGTAGAAATTAATAACGTATTACTTATGTAAAGTACTTTGAAAAATACTTTATATTTTAGTAGTATTGGTAAGACAATATAAAAGTATATATAATTATAAATGGCACACGCAATATATTGTTTAATATGTTTTTGTTATTTTTGATTCTGTTATAAATACATGTTTTATGAATATTTTTTTCGATACATTATTTTAAATCCACACTACGGTTAAAAGAATAATGTAATTTAAATTACTATAAATATATATGCTCTTTAAGATGAAGAATTTGAGACTATAAAAATCCAATTCAATTCTAATATATTATTGCCATAGTATAATGATTGTTAAAAATAAAATAATATTATTGTAATAAGAGAAAAAAGTAGGATAATGTCGAGCAAAGATGGATGAACAAAGAAAAAAATTTTTACTGATTATCTACTTGATCTCAGGAACGTGATTTACCTTTCTTATTCAGATAATTTGCTAAGTTTTCCCAAACTTTATTCATACCTTATTTTTTTATACAATTATAATTTATTAGAAATAAACAATGTTATTTACTGATCAAAGAAAATCAAGGTATTTTTTATCATTATTGTTTCAGAAATGATCGATATATTTCTTACTGCTCAAACATTTGTATTTTTTGTTGCTAGATTTGAAACATCACATACCATAATGATTTATGTTTGGTAATGCTATTTTTCAAGCGGCTTACACTGAGGATTAAAATGAATAAGATTTTTTCAGGTAGTCGTATAAATCTTTCCCTATGGAATCTTTTTAAGCCAAACTTTAAAGTATACGTTTATTTGTTCTCATCAGCCTTGATAAGAATAATAAAAAAACGTCACTGAACCGCCGGTAAATGTACCAATAAAATTGGGCTTAAAAGGATCCTACAGGAAAAGATTTATTTGACCGAAAAAACCTTATCCACAATGATTTATTTTGTATGAAATGGCTTTGAGTTCAATGATATAAAATACATTTCAAGAAGAAATCAATAAAGAACTGAACAAAAATGATGGAAGTGCGAAGCACGATGCAATAAAAAATTTGAAATATATACATGAAGTATGTTCTGGTAAGTGTACTCATTACGAGTGAATGGAAATACGTCCAATAATGATATATTCTATATGCATATTACTTTCTTACCAGAAATGTTTAGAAAAAGTTCACCGCTCACGGTTCTTGTGAGACAGCATGAGATGATATATGTTTTCAGGATGAAAAATATGAATTCCAAAAGGAATGAGAGTTTAAGTCCGAGCTCATGATATGCAACATGATCCACAATATATACTGATTCAGATACCAGATATATTTGACCTCGAAAGATTTGACGACAAAATCTTGAAACAACAGATCTCTTATTAAGATTTAAAAGCCATATGTAAATAATTCAAGGAGAATATTCAGCAGTTTGAGGTATCAAGCTAAATTTTACAAAAATTAATTAAAATCGAAAAATAAAGTAAAAACCGTCATTAAGTAAGAAACTAAATCAATTAATTAATTATAATATTCATTATCGTACTTTTTTCTAATTTATAATAATTACAATGTAATGTTATATCTATTTATACTTTAGTAACATTAAATAGTAAATAAATTTGATAAAAAGTCAAATATGTTGTTAATATTTATGTATAGAAATTCAAATAACGATTATAAAATAGAACATTTACAGAACTATAAAAAAAGTAACATTAAGTTCAGTATTTTGGCTTTCAAAAGCAAAAATTTATTTTGTATAAAAATTTATTTTGTACATTATGTATAAGTAAGTAATAAATTTTTCATTCTTTAAACCTTAATTTACCTTTTTTTACAAAATAATACAAAATAGTAGATTTAACATTTGATTTTTGTAATAAATATTTTACTTTATACATGAAAATTCCAGGTAATTAAGTTATGTGTTGATATAATACAAAACTTTTTTACAGGTATCCACATACTTCATTTAATAACTAAAATATTTTATATTCTTTACATCTATGGCCATGACGTTCATCTAATAGATTATGTTCTGTATTCTGCTTATTTGCAAAACCCTACAATTGTTTATCATATTTAATAAATAAATATTTCAAATAATTGTTTAGGTATAATATGTAGCATACCTGATTTGAGACTGGTAAGATAGAGCAAAGTTTTTCTGAATTACATGGCCCTTTTATATTTGAATAGAACTTGTATCTACATTAGAATTTTTGCCATTATTCATACCTGAAACTTAATATGCAGTTCATTGTTCTAGGAATAAAAAATTAATCAACTTAAAATAATAAATACCCACTTCTTGTGATGATCTTTTTCTTTTTCTCGTGGTAAATATATTTTTACTATCACTGTTTGACGATTTTTCATCATATTTGACTGGGCTATGAGATTCATTCTTATATTTTACTGTATAATTAATGTTCTGATATTAAAAATTATGAAACATATTTTTTAATAGTATATTATAACAATAGCAAATATAATTTTAGTCTTTTAACAAAAAAATTACAGCTATAAGTAATCAATATTATAATTTTTGTTCATATTATATATATGATATATCTTTAATATTAACATTTTATGCTATTTTTTCAGCCACGACTTACCTTCTTTCTTTTTTACAAGATGAGGTTGCCTTTCATTAGCCATAGCAGTAGTCAATGATATACTATTTGCAAATGTGGTAAATGCAGTACGACCTTTCAGTCTTGGAAATAAAGGAACTATTCTACGCCCTTCCACAGTCCATTCTGAATCAGTATTTGGGCCAAACAACCTAAAGAATTTATGAAAATATCAGTAAAATAAAATATTGACAAAAAGGATTAATTAATGCTTACTGTTCTGCAACCAATGACAGTTTATCATCATTTACAGCTCTCCTTATTTCTGCTTGATGCCGATCTTTGGATATATGTAGAACAGTTGCTATTTCTTCCAGTAGTTTTTGCTTTTCGTCAGTCAAAGAACCTTGAGCTCTTAAAACTGATACCATTTTTGCATATGCATCAAGTTCTTAAAATAAAATATGTACTTTTACTACTTGATAATAGAAAAATATCTCTTATGTTAATTAAAATTTAACAAATGTCAATTTAATGCACATTCAATGCACACTACTTGATCTGATCAGTCTCATCTAATAAGTGTAAAAAATTTAAAGTAATTAATCTCTTACCTAAAAAACGCAAGTACTTTCTACAGTCATCGCGCGACATTTCCGAATTTGTGAATTCGATTTAATTATTCTAATTAGACAACAATTGGCATCTATTTTTCCAGAGTCAAACTACGTATACCGCGATAACATAAAGAACTTTTAACCATCTTAATTTGTATAGTACATTATTAACAAGTAATCCATACTACATAAAACTAATTCACTTCAGTATTCGTATCTTTTACATTTTGCAAAATTATAGATCTAGTATAATTGTTATTTACAGGGTTATCTTTTTCGAAGTGTAAATATAATGCTATACATGATATATGATTCTTAACCTAAAAATTTAGATTCACAACAAACGTTGCAACTTTGTAAAGCGGCAAATTCAAAACTGCTGTGACGTGATATCTCAATAAATATTTAATATTATCTTTAATTATGAAAAACTTTAATTTTTAGATTACAAATATTTTATTGAGATAATAACAATTATTTGATTTTCAAATTTTCTCAATAGTTACAAAAATACTATAAAATTGAAAATAACAAATAAACGCTTATTTGCAAGATTTCAAGATCATGAAAAGTTTTAAATAGAATACTATTTTGAATTGTTATAAACATGTCATTTAAGCTTCTTCATAAAGTATATTTATTGTTTTGTTTATTTATTTATATAGTCATGAATCAATCATTTGTTACTTCGAACGTAGTTTTTTCTTAAATTAATGTCTTTTTTGATCATTATATTACTGTTTTAAATACCGAATAACATTAGTGAAACTTATATATGAAAATCCGCAATAGCTTAACTTTTGATTCGATTTTGTAATTGTCATTTACCAAAACATTCCGCGGACAAATTTGAATAAATATTTTATCATATTATCAAAACCTCTACGAAATTATTCAATTTATAATGCGCTATTATTCGCATATTCATTTATAGTTTATATGCTTATACGCATTGTAACACATTATAGGCATAGAGGAGATGCACACACAGTGTCAGTATCTATACCGTTGCCAGCGGACGAAGGAACTCAGCGAGAAATTGACGAAAATCGATCCGGAAAAATTATAGAAAAACTGCGCGTGATTGGAAAATATAGCAAAACTTATTAACCTGTTAACCGGGGAAACCCTTTTCTAATTACGCAACATATAACGGGCGCGTCCTTTTCTACTAAGACGTGTATGAATGACGTATTACCAAAGTAGTAGCAAAATATACGTCCCGCCCGTTCCAGGGCGCTATATAAATATCGAGGACTTATTCATATGTCCTACCCGTACTTATTGTTGTTTACTTTGGACGTATTTATACGTCCCGCTCGGTTAACAGGTTAATAAGTCTGCCTAATTTAGTTTTTCTTAATAAAAACATTCCGAAAGCCGAACACTCCCAAATTAATAGAAGTAAAATCTGCATAGTGTTTTAATACGATTTTTATAGAAATGAATGTGTTGAATCATTAGCAAAAATCACTTGCAATTTTTCTATCCAATCAAAATATTATTATAACCATGCGTTAAAAAATAAATTATGAACCTGAAAGATCAGTCGGTAACATAGATCTGTACTCTTGTGTGTGATACGTGCGTATATCTAAAAATTTTATATATATATAAAATTTAATAGCAATAGGACACACCCTCTCGAGATAATAAAAGCTGTATTAATGAAATAGGTTATTTTCTGAAATAATCATCAATGTCAACTATTAGTTAAATGTGGATTTTTTAATACTTACATAAGTATTAGAGTACTTAAAATTATTGGTTGTTGAAAAAATAAGTCATTCTTATTAGTATAGCTCTTACACTGGCATTCTTGGGAATGTATTGTCTATGTTAAAGTAGTTGACATTACTGTATATTTGAAAAATAACCCATGCTTATGAGCAGAGCCCTTTTCAGCGGGTAGTACTTCTGGCGTCTACACGTTATCTTAAATGTTTATCTCTTTTTGATATTTTGATTGGATAGAAAAATTGTGCGCGATTTTAGCTAACTATTCAACACATTCATTTCTATAAAAACCAATCGAAAACGCTACGCAAATTCAATTTCTATTGATCGGGGAGTGTTCAACTTTTGGAATTTTTTTATTAACGAAATCTTAATTGCGTAAAATTATTAATGAGTTTGCCTATCCTTGCTAATCACACGCATTTTTTCTATAATTTTTCTGATTTCATTTTCGTTGATTTCCCGCTGAGTTCTTTTATCCGTTACCAGGCCACGCTTACACTGTGCGTTGAAGTCATAACAAAACAAGTCTCACACGATCTTGAACATTTAAAAGTTTCTCACTCAACCTTCTGCTTGCCAGAGATAACTTGTATGAAACATAGTTCTCACGAAAACAGTTGATTGCAGGTGACAGATGTAGAAAGATCGTTGTTTTTATTCAAGTCTCTTTGTTATTGTTTTAGTGATTTTACATTTGAACCTATTTTCCACCATAATGTCGTCGGCGATGTATAATAATAACGAGAGCGCTATAATCGATCCAAGTGGCGCACAATACGAATTACCTGCATTGTCCGAAAATTTAGAGTTTTGGATGACTCGACTACCTCCAAAATTGAAAGCTCTTCCTATTATACAACTAGCTATTCCAGGTAACATTAGATTTATTGGAATATAGCAAAAATCTTTCATATCACGAGACTTAAACCGATTAGAACTATTCTAAACTTGTTAATTTTAAAACAAATGGGAGTTTAATTTGAAATTTTTATTGCCAAATGTGTACTTGTTAATTTCATTTAATTAATATGTTTATGCACTATAAAAAATAATAAAATTAATATTAATAATATAATTATAATAATATATAAAATAAGCTATAAAATAAATTATAAGGTGACCTTCTTTATAAATACAAATTACTAGCGTACATTTCTGAAGATGACTTCCAATATTATGTCCTTGTAAAATTTTAATTTATCTATTTTTTTCTAGTACATGTACGATTTTTCTTTGTGAGTGTCTACAATAGACAACTTGTCTTGTTGAGTGGCCTATTTACATAATATGCATATATGACTCACATCCGCTATAGCATTTCCTATAATAATCATAGATAATCAAGCATGAGCTGGTTTCTCACGGTTTATTCAGTTCTGCTGATTATCACATTTGTATCACAGGTTCCCACAATACCATGACATACACAATCGAGAAAAATAACGATATTGGACCCGACGAGCCTGTGCCGATACGTAACATTGGACGTCGCCTTTCAATTGTCATTAAGCCCATCATTTTTAATTGGTCGATTAATCAGGAGGAAAATGTGAAAGATCAACTCGATGGTGGAATACGTTACTTGGATTTACGTGTCGCAACTAAGCCAGGCGATAACAACATTTACTTTTTACATGGGCTTTATGGAGATAACATCAGCCAGCCACTGCACATCGTCAATGAATGGCTCAACCAACATCCGAATGAAGTGATCATAGTGGATTTCCAACATTTTTACAATTTCGATGAAGCCAATCATCGCAGCTTGATTAATCAAATAAAATTCATATTTCGCGGTAAAATGTGCCCTGTCTACAACAAGTTTGACAACATTACTCTACAGTGGCTGAGCTTACAAAAATATCAAGTGTTTGTTGTATACCGAAATGCTATTGCTCAATATTACACTGATCTTTGGCCTGGTGGCTTATGGCCAACTCCTTGGCCAGAAACAGTTGATTCTACCAAGCTCGTTAATTTTTTGAATAACGGTCTTCAGAAGCGATCTCGAGATGCTGGATATGTTTCTCAGTGCTTATTAACTCCTACAAAAACCTACGTTACGAAACATATCTGCGGGAATCTTCGTCGTAATTTAACGCCAGTTTGCCGCAGTGTCACAATGCCATGGGTGGAACAACATTCTCCTGGAAATGGAGGGATGAACATTGTCATCACTGATTTTGTAACTTATGATAACTTTTCATTTTCAAGAAAAGTCATTCAACGTAATGAAACGCTTCTTCAATCATAAAAATACATAATTACTCAACTCACCTATATGTATCAATACGAAATTAATAATAATTATACTAATTTTTATACGTGGTACTGTAAACATTTATTAAAGATTGAATAGTATTAAGTGTAATTTATGTCAAAAAAAGTATTTACATATTTTATAATAAGCTATATATAAATTGTATCTATACTCCATGGCATTGAATTATGTTTTTCATATTTTAATGGATTAAAATTAATAAATAAACATATATCCGTACAAAGGTTCTGAAAGAACACAGTTCAGACTTCATAGTTTAACTATGTCACATGATGATTTTCAATAAAAAGTTAACTGATATTTATTATTAATTATACAAAAACAATCATACTCTAAAGTCTTCTATGATTCATTCGCGAAAAGGTTTACAAATATATTAACAAAATTGTTATTTTAAGTATGGTTTTCAGTATTTATAATCAACAATGATCTCTTTTAAAAATTGTGAGTAAGAAACAGTTTTGAAAAGTCGTCCATAATACAGGAACCTAAATTGTAAATGTTGGCTTTTGATTGAAAGTTGTGTTATAAATACGACAAGTATAAAGAATGATAATTGAAACGTTTTTATGGCTGAGCTATTTCTAAGACTTTTTACGAACTGGGTACCTGTTCGTTATTGGAAAGAGTTCATTTTCCCGACGTAAAACGACAAATGATCTCTTAATTTAAAGTTCTGCAGATCACAATGCTTTAACTTTTAATTGCTTCATTCTTGGAGCTCGCTTTTTGGCAAGTCTTCGTTGCTCCTTTTCCTCCCACTTTCTTTGTTTGTCTGGATCTTCTTCCTGGAGAATGCGTTCTTTTTCCGCACGTCGTCGTTCTTCGCGACGTGCTGCGGCTGCTTCAGCACGAGCAGCATGGGTAGTTTTTAGAAAAGCTTCTTCAACTTTTTGTCGATTTTTATCAGTCTTACTTTTACCCTACAAAATACATTAAATTAAATGAATACTATGTTTTCACAAAATCTATGTACACGTTTTGAGTCAAAAAGTGGTTTACTACATGTACATGTAAGGATTCAAAAAAATAGCCATACAAATTTTTAGTTAAAAATATCATATAAGCTATACAAAACTTTGCTGTGTAATTAAATGAAAGTTACTTTTATTTTTACCACAAATAGTTACCTCTTTCGAAAGTTTAAAGCGACGTATTTTATCCAATAAGTAAAACGTTAACTGAAGCAATGGCTTAAGTTTTTCTTGACTATCTACATTGCTTATGCGTCCTTTTATACTAATATTCAGTCCAACCAGTAACACCCTTTTCACTTCAGGCATAGTGAGCTGAGAAGAATCTCTGCAAATATTACATTTTTATAGTTAGTAAACATGGTTTAAGCAAATATAAAAAAGTAAGAAAAAAACAATATTCAAATAAATTACTCTTGTTGTTTTGGCCCACTGTACTGGTCACTTATGTGGATGTAATCAATGTAGGAGGCATATTTATTAAAGGTCTGAATAACTCTTGCATCTAAAATAGCAGAAGTTGCTTCAGAAATTTCAGACATGACATAAAATCCAATTGGAAGATTAAACTTTTCTCCAGGTCGTCTTTCTGGGCAATAGACACTAACATCTGCAATATCTTTTGTTAAGTGCATAGCTGTTTTCTTAGCGGCAATAGCTAAGACAAAATTATCAGTCTCATCTTTGGCTAATTCAATTCGAAGATGTGCTTGATCGTTTTGAGGACGCATGAGTTGCGATAATACAGCAACCAAGTCTTGTCTTTTGATCAATTTTAGTTCTACTAATAAGGAATCACATCCAACACGACCAGAACAGTAGATACTGTACTGAGATTCACTTTCTTTAATAGGACCATTGATAGGTTCATCATCATTGGATTTACCAGTATCACCAACCAATGAAAAATTTTCAGAAAGAATCAATCTGTGATCATTGAACCATGTTTCAGCAATACGATAATTTTTGGATTTACCCGCAATATAATTTATGAAATAAACAAGTAAGCCAACAATCATTAGAATTTCAAGATAAAAGCTGTCCCATCTAGCTCGCAAATGCAAAGGTACTTTGGTAATTGTTAAGGTAGAGGGTTCTTCAGCTTTCACATCAGAATTTCCTCCAGTTATATCTAGTCCCTCAAATTCTTCTTCATCTTGAAAATGATCAAATTCATTATCAACATCTTCTACTGAGACATCATCATCTGCATAATTCTTCTCATTTTCAATTTTGTGAAATTCAGATGGGTCATGATCTCCAATTGGCACAGATCCCCTTGTAGATTTGTCTTCTTCAAAATCTTCAAACTCTGCAAATTCATTGTCTTCTAACGATTCCTCTTGAAAATGTGCTGTGACCCACAATCTAGTTTCAACTAAAATAATATGAAGTACAACTAGCCACAATTTCATATTACCTAAAACAACAAAAGGCAAAAGTTAAACATTCGTTATGTAAACTAAATGCAAAATCATTTTTCAAAAAAAAAAATGTTTAAAAAATATGCAAATATTACTGAAAGTGTTAAAAACAGTTGAATATAATTAAGAAAATTAAATGAATACTAAAACTAATAAATACAAATTATTTAGGTTATTTAACATAATCATTTGATGATAGTAAAATTTCATTGTGACATACCGACTATTTTATATGATCAATCTTACTTCAAATTTTGTAAAACTATATATAATACAATAAATTTACATGAACTTTTGAAAATGTAAAAGTTAAATTATAGTTAACTCGACTGAGCAAAATCTAGCATAATGCAAAAGAGGTGACGGCGACTCGTGACTTATGAAAGTGGGCAAACCTCACGCTTCCACCGTGACAAACCTCGAAATACCAGACAATCCAATCGATATAGTCGATGCTGGATAAGTAGGAAACTTGAACAGCTTGAATTTAGTAAAATATTGTTCATGAAGGTATATCCAGCACGGCTAACGCGGCAAAAGTTGCAAAATCAATTTAGTTTTAAAACCACAAATGCAAAAAATATAGTTGACTAAACAGTTTCTGTGTTACAATACAAGATAAATATACGATTTATAAGATTTATTACGAATAACATTATTTAGTGTTAAAAGAATTCAAAATTTTTTTCGCGAAAGGCATGGAAGCATAAAACAATATATAAGAGAAAGAAACAACCCTAGAATTAGAAGTCTGGACGGAGGGGTCGCATTTAGCTATCGCCTATCGCGTATGCGCGATTCGTAACGATTAAATATGCGATAGTGTGCCTGTACTGTCAGTGCATATCCTTCTGTTGTTGAGTACAGTAACCGCATTATGCATTTTTTGTGTGTCGGCAGTATTATTTTTTACACGTTTCTAGTCTCAATAAAAATACTGTAACTCTTTATTTCAAAAAGTCAATGTGACATAATTGAGTTGAGAATATCAATTTTAGTAAAGTTTTTACTTATTCTACAATAAATCTATTGCCATAAAAACAAACTATTACTATAGAAAAATTGTATGTTTAGTGTTTGCACTATTTAACTAGAAGTTGTCAATAAGATACTATAGTTGATGTCAGTAATCAATTCTGTTGCTTTCAATAAGAAATTTGTAGAAAAATTCATCCATTTTTTATCTTAAAAGTTGTGAAAAAGGAACTGTTTTTTTGCATAGGTAAGAATTATTATAAATAACTCAATATATATATATAGCAAAACTAAATATTTTATTTTTCTCTTTAGTTACAACTAAAAAATCATGGAAAAAGCTGAAAGTCAGTCAAAGACAATGCGAAAGAAAAGTAGTAAAATTGTGACTGCAGAAGTTGCCACTCAGCGTGTCCAAGTAGTAGTTAGATGTCGTCCTATGGATGATAAAGAAAGTGCACAAAATTTTTCTAGTGTTGTAGAAATAATACCTGCTAGAGGAGTTGTGGAAATTCGTAATCCTCGAGACGAACCAAGTAAAGATGCTGTTAAAGTTTTTTCATTTGATTCAGTATATGACTGTAAATCCACTCAGCAAGAAATTTATGAGGAAACTGTAAGGCCTTTAGTATCTTCAGTCCTTGATGGTTTCAATGGTACAATTTTTGCATATGGACAAACTGGAACTGGAAAAACATATACAATGGAAGGATCTAAAATTGATTCAGAAAAAAGAGGTATTATACCTCGATCATTTGAACAAATTTTCACTCATATTGGAAGATCCAAAAATATACAATATCTTGTGAGTGCCAGTTATTTAGAAATTTATCAAGAGGAAATAAGAGATTTACTACAACAGGATCAAAATTTACGTTTTGAGTTGAAGGAAAGACCAGATACCGGAATTTTTGTTAAAGATTTGTCAAGTACAGTTTGCAAAAGTGCAGAAGAAATTCAACAACTAATGACTTTAGGGAATCGAAATCGAACAGTAGGTGCTACAAATATGAATGAACACAGTTCACGATCACATGCAATATTTATTGTAACTATTGAAATGGATGACAATTGTGGAATTAGAGTAGGCCGTTTGAATTTAGTAGATTTAGCAGGAAGTGAGAGACAGAGCAAGACTGGATCTTCAGGAGAAAGACTGAAAGAAGCTAGTAAAATTAATTTAAGTTTATCAGCACTTGGCAATGTTATTTCAGCATTAGTTGATGGTAAAACATCACATGTACCATACAGAGATTCAAAATTAACAAGACTCCTTCAAGATTCCTTAGGTGGTAATTCAAAAACAATTATGATAGCAAATATTGGTCCAGCTAGTTATAATTATGATGAAACACTTACTACGCTAAGATATGCTAATCGAGCTAAAAATATCAAAAATAAGCCAAGAATCAATGAAGATCCTAAAGATGCACTGCTTAGACAATATCAAGAGGAAATTCTACGCTTAAAAGAAATGTTAGCTCAAAAAAATTTGACGCGGCAAGAAAAGCCACCATTAGAAAATGAGGAACCTGAAGAATCTACCAATGAAAAACTACAACCAAATCAGGAGGCATCTGATGCAGAAAAAAAATTAATCGCAGAACAACTCAAAGCTGAAAAAGAAGAAACTGAAGAATTGACTAAACGGATTTCGGAGTTAGAAAGCAAAATGCTCTGTGGAGGAAGAAATATTATTGATCACACAAATGAGCAACAAAAAGCATTGGAACAAAGAGCTGTTGAAATTGCAGAACGTAAAAAACGCGAAGTTGAAATGCAACAAAAGCTTGAAGAACAGGAACTTACAAATTTGGGTGTGCGTGAAACTTTCACCAATTTACAACAAGAAGTTGATGTAAAATCAAGAAAACTACGAAAATATTATGCAAAGTTGCAAGTTCTGAAACAAGATTTAGATGATGTTACAAATGAATATAACAGAGACAGAAGAGAACTTGAACAAACACAACATGAATTGATGAAAGAGCTTAAATTAAAATATCTTATAATAGAAAATTTTATACCTGTGGAAGAGAAACATAAAATTCTCTCTAGGGTTAAATTTGATGAAGATGAAGATTGTTGGGTCGTTAAAGAACTAGAAACATCAAACTTTGAAAATATCAAGCGCCCAGTATCAGTTCCTAGTTTAAGAAGACCAATATCTGAACATGCATGTACTGCTTTAGCCATGGGTAAAGGTCCTAGATATGCAGGTGAAAATATATTGAATTTGGATCTTGACATGCCTGCTCGAACAACATTAGATTATCAAAAACCAGTTATTGCACCAACTATTCAAGCTGTTTTAGAAAAAGCATTATGCGATGAAGGTGATATTGATGTTGATGCATCTAATGCAAGTTTCACATCCAGATCACGTACGCATACTGCACGAGCTAGACCAAAAAGTGTAGCTAGAATGCAACAAATTCCAGCTCCAGTATATCCCAAAACAAGAGGCTTAGTTCCAAAATAGTCACATTTTTAGTGTTTATTTATATGCAAAAGATATCTGTAAATAGTCATTAAGCTTTAAAATGCAATTAACATTACGAAATGGCATTATTTACACTTATCATTCATTGTTTATGTGATATTGTCTACTTGAGTATTTAATAATTATTTATTAACTTAAATTACCAGAGACTTAAATTATTATTTATTAATTCAGTCAGGATGCTTTCAAATTTACTATATATTCAAACCATTAAATTTTACTGTATTTTCATATTATTGTAATGTCTGCTTATAAAATTAAATCAAAATCTTAATTAAATCTGTATAAAAAAGTTTTTATAAAAATATTTTCAACTTTCTTTAATAAGAATTCTTTTATGAAATTGAAAATATAATTGCAACATTTTGCGTTGCCCATTCAATTAAATTTGCAGAACAAATTTTATATTGCAAATTTTGAGTAGTTAAATTTGTAAAATTGTAGAAATTTATTTTTTAGTTATTATATTCACAATATTTTATTCACAATTTAGTTATATAAATTCAGTTTTTTTTGGCCTATGATAAGCTATGAAATTCATAAGTTGGAGTATAACAGCATTATGAAAGAATATCATAATTTAAAACAATTTTCATCCTCTATAAAGTAACTATGAATTCTAAATATTATGAATATTCTAAATTCTTATTTTAAATAATTTTATGTAATTATTTCATCAGAAAAAAAATTTTTAAATCCAACTGTCGACATTAATAAAACGACTACTGTAAAACACTTGTTCATTGATTTATTAGCTGGAATTTTATTTGCTTTTTCTGAAATAACGGTAACATAAAATCATTTAGAATGGCTTTATCGCAAACTACATATTAAAATGTATTCATGATTTAATTGATACTTAATTTTCCCACATCAAAGAATCATTAATTTTTATAATTGCTATGTATGAGAATAAGTTGACCCCTATACATTCCACTGTAGAAATATAAAAATTATTCCAGTTTTAACAAAATTAACACTTACATACATTCAGAGTTACATGTATCTAAAAACAATTACAGTATTAACATTGTTCTCATAGATGCATCATTTCAACAAAATAAATTGTTGTTAAAATAAATGATAATCTTATTTTTTAATTTTCAGAAACAAATATAACTAAACAATGCTATTTAAAATAATAAATGAATTTATACTGGAAGTTCTGGAAAAAAATAAAAATCTAAGATAAAAAGATATGTAAAATTTGATTTGTTTATAAATAACTTACCTCATTTGAAATATCACATTGATACTTTACATTCAATTGGTTACTCATTACTTGGTTGAAACAAATGATTATTAGTTTTATATTAAAATCTCTTGAATAAGCTTCTATAAAGTTGAGTTATATAAGTATTTATAGCATTGCATCACACAGATAGTATAAAATAAGAAATACTATCTACTTTGCAATTTGTTATTACAAAATGTAAGCTTTACAGAACCCCACTAGGGAAAGAACTGAATATTTTATCGACGATAGTTTCAACGTCATGATTGTTTTTAATATTTTGTAATAATATTGAAACATATACGATGTTAATTTTTTGAAGAAAAAAAAAAAAAAAAAATCTACTTTACAGTAAAATTTAGTCATTTCTCACGAACAATCGTTCGTTCAAGACAAACAAATTATAAATAGTACATGATTACATTATTGACTAATTATAAATTATTTGAAATACTTGTAACTTATTTCTGAAGATAACAGAAAATAATTTTCATTAGCTGTAATATTTGTCAGTGTAAAGAAATCTAAAAATACCATGTAGATTATTGTTGCATTTCTTCATCATAATATTATAATACATCAATACGTGCTGATTGTTTAAACATAGAATATAATTACAAGTCCTTTATGAATTAAAAATTAATTTTAAGAAAAAAAAATGTCAATTGAACTTAAAAAAGACTTTAATTATTTTTGTTTTTACAAAAATGATGTCACGCAAGTTATCTTTGAAAATACAGCTGCATAAAATATACAGAACCTGCATGAAAATTACATAATCGTATATTTATACAATAGTTCAAAGAATTAATTTTTTTAATGAAATTAGTAATTTTTAACACTAATCATGTGCATTAACTTTCATAATGGTAATGAGTAAAAATTAAATACCTTAAGTAGACTTTAAAAAATCGAAGTTCGACACTACCAATTATTCAAATTATTACAGTCCTTGTGTAATATATTTTAAAATATAGTCACTAAAGGTCACCTTACTATTTAAAAGAATCTTTGCTGCTGAGAATAATTTCCATACTGTTGTGATGGGTACGACGAAGAAGATCTGCTTGACGAAGCTCCACCGTAATTCGAACTAAAGTTGGATTGAGGTGGAGGGTACGGATTGGACGAAACACTATTGTATTGCGTTTGACTGTTCATGCTGCTAAATCCTTGATTAAAGTTGTTATATCCATTGTTTAAAAATCCAGAACTACCAGTGTAGGATTGTGATTGATGCTGTGTTGGATAATTTTGGAATTGATTAGAGGAATAAGGCATCGGCGCGTTACTTGAAGAAGAAGTCATTTTATTATAGCTTTGGCTGAAATTTCCTGCAATAGCGGGTATTGAGTTTGGCGGTAATATTGAGCTTGTTGGAGGTGGTGGATTCGACAGCTGAGAACTTTCAGACAACGGCGATAGATGAGATTTCGACACGTATCTACTAGTTGGCAGTTCACCCATGATATTCGCAATAAGGCGTTTCGTCTCATTTAAAATAGCGTCGTTCGACTGTGGGTAATCTTTTTTCTTATGAGGTGGTGAGCGTGACCTTGATCGGGACCAACACTTGGGTGATTTCGATCTAGATCTTGAGTAAGAACGTTTCTTCGCTTTTTCATTTTCGATCACATTTTTATCGGCCGCTTTGTAGATGTCCTCGAATGTGTAGTCATCATCGTCGTCGGATAAATCCAATTTAACTTTGGACTTATCGTCGAACTTTCTTCGCTTTTCTTCCTCATCATTAGCAAACATATCCAACTTTGGTTGCCATTTATTTTCATCATCACAAGGATTATGGGTGCCTTTACGACTGGAAAATGGAGACATACTCCTGCGAGAATTACTTATAATATTTTCATCGTGCTCACTAATCGGTGAGATTGATTTCAACGGAGGAGATTCCACTTTGGAAGGACCTAGATTTACGTAAGCTCGAAGCTTTTCAACTCTCGCAGAATCTGTAGCTTCCAACTTCTTCAAAAAATCAATGAGGCCGTGTTGTTCGTCATTATTTAGATCTTTGAAATTTTGCAAGAGGGCCTTTAATTCCGAATCAGATAGAGCTTCCATTTTTTCAGCATAATCGATTGGTTTTTCCGGCTGCGGCGTCGGTACTCGGAAAGTTTCTTTAACACTATTGATGGTTTGAGCGATATTCTGAGAGATGCTTTGAGTGATGCTTTGAGTGACGCTTTCAACTTTGTTCGTATTATTAGTGGTAATATTAGTGTTACTAGTCAATGGATTGTTAGTGCTGCTAGTCAACGCATTATTAGTGTTACTGGTCAATCCTTTAACAAAGTCAGCCGTGGTAACTGGTTTGTCGCTATTCTTTGAAGCTTCCGCCATGCCCACAACGGCATTGATCAGTGTTTCCAGTTCTTCTTGCGACACATTTGTCCGACCCTGGGCTATCAAAGCAGCAGCTATTTGCTGAGCTATAGCCACTTTGTCAATGGTACCTATACCTGGTACACTCACGGGCTCAGACCTACGAACAGGTTCTAATTCGACTGGTCGCGGGAACGTTGATCGATTAAGGAAACTAATGGATTTAGCTTTTTCTAAAATCTCCTCTTGTTTTTTCTTCTCTTCCTCAATCTTCTTTTTATTTTCCGAAGCGTTATGGACTATACGAGCTATATTTTGAATGGCGTTTTTCGTCGCTGGTACAGCCACTTTCTCGATCATACCTATAAACAGTCATAGTTGCTTTAGTATAACATTTAATCGAAAAAATAAGCGCAATTCGAAAAATCAAGGAGGATACATATAAAATACAAATGAAAGCTGAAATAAAGAAAACAATTAATAACCTGCGAATAATTGGCCCTTCAATTTTTCTTTAACTGTCTCAAAAAGAACAGCCACTTCCTCATCGAAGAGTAGTTCCTCGGCGGAGTTAGGCTTGACTTTTTCAGCAGCTAGAGCCTTAGAAAGGAGAGCCACAACCTTTGGCCCAAGCGAGCCTAATTGGTTTTCGAGGGCGGTTAGTAGCCTGAGCAAGCCAACGATCTCCAGGTTCTCGTTCATCTCTTCGACCGGCGGGGCAGGTGAACCGGACCTATCCGGGACCGGATATGGGGTGGCGTATCTTGGTTTCATCGGTGGTCTCGGAAGATAGTACGGCGGCGGCTTGTAACCGCCTCGACCACCCCTCGAATAAGAAGGAAAATATTCGCGTTCTCGGCCCATATCGCGTTCCCGTCCTAGCTCACGATCTCTGTCCCTGTCCCTCTCCCTGTCCCTTTCTCTGTCCCGTTCTCTATCACGATTCCGGTCTCGCTCACGGTCGCGATCCCGGTCACGATCCCTTTCCCTCTCGCGGTCTCTTGAGCTGTAACGATCGTGGTACTTGTCTGGCTTCTTCATAGTGCCGACGTACTCAACCTCATTGTCGCTCTCGTTTTTGGCAGCGGCTGCGGGTTTCTTTTCCGCTGGTGAACGCGAACGACGTTTACGCGACAAGTCGTTCGGTGGCTCACCCTCGAGGTCTAGCTTCTTCTTAATGTCCTCTCGCCGGAGCTTCACCTGCTCGGCGTGCAACTCACGCATACGCTTGTTCCAATACTCGATCCATTCGGGCTTGAAGTCGTGTTTGCTCGGGTCTTTGCCCTCAGCCTGTAACTCTTTGTATCTGCGATTCCAGAATTTCTTCCACTCGTCTGGATAAGCCGGATGCTTTTCCGGATTCTTCTCGTGGAACTTGAGTTGCCTTTCTAACGATTCCTCGGCGCGCTTCACTTGATCTTTGTACTTCAACCACCTGTGACGTTCGGCCGATCGTGACCGAGCTCGTAATTTGCCACTGATGGTTCGATTCTTACTTTCACTAGGCCCGCTCTTTTGATTGTTACGTTCAGGGGATCGAGATTTTGACTTTCGAGGCGACGGACTGCTCGAAATGCTCGATAAGGAAGACAAAGATTTCACATCTTCCAGCTCTAAATCATTCTCTTTGTTGGATTTATCGGGCTTTCTAATTGCATTCAACTTTTCTTTAGTTAAAATACGAATCTTGAAACCACTGAAACAACAAAAACAAATATAATCTTTTTATCTTTCATATGCAATTGATTAGGGTTACGAAGATTTGTGTATTTTCTAGTTTTTGTTTAATATTTATTGATGTTAATACAAATTCATTGTTACTTTGAAAATTGCATATAGAAATATGTGCTAGTCTTAGAAAACTATTTAGCTGCGATTATCACCAGTTTTATAATTATTGCTTAAAATATGAAATACTCTTGATTAAGAGATTATTAATAAAACAAATAATCAACTTACGATTTAGTAATATCCGATTTGTTTTCCGTTTTTGATGATTCTTTAGATTTTGTATCAACAACACTTTCATCTTTTTTTGTCAACTGTTCTTTTTCTTGTTGTTCTTCACGCACGAAAAAAAATGTAATTTTAGCCGTGCATAATATGTGTTAATGTTAATTAATTAAAATATCATTAAATTTAACTAACCTTTTCTAACAATTTCCGCCATTTTCTCTTCAAAATTCGTAACCCAACGTACGTCATAAACATCCATAAAAGTAAGTTCTGGTGTTTCACTGTATTAAACATAAAATATATTATATTATTCGTTTTTAGTCTTATGATTAATTTATAAGTATAGTGATATTCCATCAGCTATAATATATTAAATTAATAATATAAATAAAATAGAAGTAACTTAAAAATGAATTCATGCAGTAGGAATTACGAAAATATTCTAAATAAAAACTTACCGAAAATGATAATCTTGATAAATTCTTTTGATCAACTGCACTTTATTTTTTTCATATTGATTTTTATCCACTAATTGAGGTGTTAATCTTCCAAAATGTTGCTCAATTCTTTTAGCAACCAACACTGAAATTTCATTAGCTCCACGCTTGTAATTAATTGTACGAGGAAGATCTGTTATGGCTCGCGAAATAGTAGGAAAATGTCTATTTAAATATGTAATGCGATGGTTATAGCTAGTTATGTGTGCCATGACTGTTCTTGGATCACCACGCTTATCACATAAAACACATGTATAGCTTGGTTCATTACTTTCAGGATCAATTAATTCTAACAGATATTCCAAACCAACTAGAGGTGAACTCCTATGTCTATCTAAGCTCATTTGGATAGTAGTTGTTCGAGTAATCTGATCTTCCATACCAGGTGGAATAGGCTCTCCTGGTGCTAAGTCTCCTAATGTATTTTTTGCACTTTTCTTCAGAATATCTGATCGTTTTGACCATAACAATACCGGATAAGGCCATTCCTCTAATTTAATTTTATGTCGGCTACCGATATTGTGAGTTAATAACTTGTGTGCACCAAAGAGAGCAATATTGCAGATGTGACACCATATATCACCGTCTGCTGTTTCTGAATAAACTGGTCTAAGAGTACCATCTTCTGCTGTTACGCTACTTCTCATTAACCGTTTTCGATCATGTTCTTCCTGTGGGAATCATATATTTACATGTAAATACAAGTTCAACAAATACATACATTATATACACAATGTTTCATAGTAATAAAATTACTCAAAAATTAGGAAATAGTTTACAATTTGCCTGATAAGCAAATTGTATTGCATGGTATAAAAATAAAAGAAAGCTTTTGTAGGAAAGAAATGCTGCCAAGTTGCCATTTGAACACTTTGTCAATGTATCCCACATCACAGTCACTGTCATAGAAAAATGTTTCACCTCACTAAAGCATCTTATTACACCTAGTTTTCACTTTGATTAAAAGAATCAAAGCAAAAATATTCGAGGTAAAATTTACACTTCTCAAAAAATTTTGGTTCATTCACAGAATCTGCCCTTCACTAATAATACAAAACACTTTTTTTATCATATAGGAGAATTGAGAATTCACTCAAACAAAATTACCTTTTCTCTATCTTCTTCAGAGATGAGGGAGGGTTGTCGCCCCTCGATGTCAAGGTCATCAAAATTTTGCATAGCTTGTCCTCTAATGGTTTAACCAGCAAGGATGTATTCTGAAAATACCAAAACTATTGAGCTTCTATTTTTTAGGAAAGCTTATTATAGATGATATTTGAAAAAACTTTGGTGTTAGATGATGTGAATTCTAACTTTCAAGTTTTAAGGGCTAAGAAAATAAAAATAAAATATGGATTCCTATGATAGTATGATTAAAACAAAATACTTAAAAATTTTAATTCACATTGAAAGTAGCCATAAGCTCTTCAATGATGAACATATGATTACCATTTACTTACCACATATACCTTGTAAGATTTACATCTATAAAGGTTATTTAAGTGATTGAGGGATAAATCAACAAAATAACTATATACCTATTTACACGCACCAATTATGAAGATTGTGAAAATTCAATATTTGATTGAAAAATTTATTCAATTAATCATTGAAAAAGGAATGTACACATTTTCTTATTTAACAGATCTGTGTGTAACATTATCATTATATGCTGTTTTGCACACAAAATAGTAAGCAAAGAACCATTGATCTAGCATTCTGTCAATAGTAATACATCACTAAAATACATGGATTCGCAAAAATAAATTAAGCTATCAGTAAAATTGAAACGTTTCAACTTTACAAATGTAGCCAATAATCGCTAAAATCCAATTTTAAATAGGTTAATTAAAATGTGAAAATCTTAAACTATTCACGGTGATTTTTAAAAATCCGCAATAACAGTCTAGTAACAAAAAATAAGATAAGATTTGAAGAAACTAGAGATAGCTCGATCAAATTATTCTAATAATCACAAGCGATCTTACTTCATAAAATTGTCAATGAAAGATAGTTATTTAAATAAAAAATCTTTCATTCTTGCGTTAGCATTTATAAAAGTGTGTAAGTGTGTTGTGCGCGCGCGCATATTGTGTATGTCTGTATATGTATGTATGTATGTATGTATGTGTACCAGAGGTTAATAGAATCATAAGTAATAAAATATAAAAAAACTGGATAACAGCAATTATTCAAGTTTCATGTTATATAAAATAAATAAACCGTTATGTGTACTCGAATAGTTGTGAAAAAGAAATTAATCGCAGAGTTTCAGACCTTTGAGGTGGGTATACAAAGAACCCAGAAGTTGTGTCCTAATGGCGACTGCACGATAGCTGGTGTGTGGCCGGTATAAGTCGTCAAAGAATTCAATAAACTAACTACGACCGTGTCTTCGCTTACAGCTTAAATTTAAATAACCTTACTTATAAAACCTTTAAAACTTACCCTTTCACCTTTGCTTTCTCCGTAAAATTGAAAATACTTGTAAAAATATAAAAATCCATCAATTCTTAGTCGCAGCCATTTTCACGTCAAAGCGTATACGGCGTGGCTGGCTCTCCTGTAGCGATGCTAGCGCCTGTGATGGTATCATGTCGCCGCCGCGTGAGAGAGCGGAGCGGCTGCTGCTGGTTGGACGATTCTATGGTTGTGTGCAAATTGCGAATGTGTGAAATTAAACATGGAGTCACTCGTTCTCTTGCAGCTAGACATACTGTAATAGTATTTGGTACTATTGATAAATATTCCCAGTATCGAGAACGTTCTTTGCAAATAATAAACAATGCCAATCCTAGATTATTATATAAGTGAGTGTATTATACAATATGTATATAATAGCTTATATGAAAGTTTTAATAAACCATTGTGACGTTTATCGATGAAATATAATGTTTGTATTGAATCTGCGATTTTAAGGCTCAAATCAAAAGAAATCACGAAAGGCCAACCACCATATTTTATTGAAATCCCGATAAACTTTCTAATCCGTAATTGTGTCATTGTGCGTCGCGTTATACACATGCGTATATAAATAATCCCAAATGAGATTGAAACTGTTTCTTTATTAAACTGCACAAATAGTTGAATATTTGTTATTTGAAATATGAAACATGACTCGCTTTCAAGCGACGTGTGGAAGTAAGGAGCACTACATTACCCAATTCGAGTATTCTCGGTAAAATCGCCTGTATGCTCGCGAGTCTATATGGTGTGCATTACCAGCAAGTGTTAAATATCCGAAGAAATGATTTTCAATATATAGGAAGGCCTGTAATAATTAAATCAATAGCTTTGCATTTTATTTTATTAACGTCGGCTCATTGTTTGAGTAAAGTATTACATTCACATTTTTTCGTGCTACTTCACTATAACATGCTTTTAAATTGCGAATTAAACTATTTAAGATACATTATTGTTAAATATAACTATGTAAGTAGTCATAAGATATTTTGACTAATTATAGGGTATAATAATGTTTTTATGCGCGATCCTTAAATATTTTGATAATTGCTATAGCGGAAATGGAAGTGAAAAAGGCTTATTGCTATTCTCGTAATGGAATATGCTAATAAACAATTTGCTACAATTCAGTATTTCGATTTAATGAGTACTAATACTGTATGTTATTAAAAATTTACGGCGTTTCTCACAGTTTGTTGTTGTGAATTCGAACGCGAGGAAACTAGGTTTTTGTCAAATAATTCATCAATAATAATTAATAGAAGAAAAATTGTAAAGGTAAAAAATATCTTGATCTATTGAATCGCTACCATTGAATTAACTAAAGGATGGAATGCATAATAAAATGGAGACATTATTTAAGAAAACATATATTATTGAAGTGCACGTATTGAATTAATTCAATAAAACTGAAATTGATTTGTACAGATAATATTAATTCCTAGTTCCATTTGAATTCAGTGATATAGTATATACACGTATAGGCATTAACGAGGTAGACTGCTATTCAATAACTTAATTGTGAAACTGTATGATCCGTTACAAGGCTTATAACGGTTTATGATAGAAAATAACATTTCGAAGTATGAATAAGTGATCGATCACTAATTTTAGTTGGTAGTCACTGTAAAGCATATTTCGCCGAGAATTGGGCACAGTTGAAGAGTGTAAACCAACAGGGAGGCATTTTTCCTAGTTGTCTCAAAATTTCAACTTTTTGCTCGTTAAGCTTGCGGTTCGTTGAGTTCTGATACATCGCACGTACCTTTCGCATGTGCGCGTGCACATAATATATGTTCTCGCGCGCGGGCAGTTAACAAGTTGTACGTTGGCGCTCGGAGTTGGACGATGCTGTTTTGCTGTGTGCACGGGACAAAATCGATGGGAGGTGCACGAAATAGGTAGCCAGTCAGCGTATGTGCATTCGCGGGCTGCACTATCGTTAGCGAATCGAGCGGCGGACAATTCAAGTAATTACGATGTGTGCTTGCAGAATTTACATTTAAATATGTTAATTTACATTCGCCAAAGATTCGACCGAAATATTTGGCAAACAAACAGCTCGCGTCACGTTGCTTTCAAATTTTAATCTCGCGTAAAATGTATGACTTTCGCAGTGTTACGCATCATTGCACCTACATTTATATACGAACTCAGAAAACGATTCGTTTTCAATTAGTCACGATTAAGGCGAAAATGGAATACACAAAAGTCGTTAATGAGGGAGGTTGAATTCAATTTATTTGTTCCCAGGGAAGTATATACGTTTTTGCAAAGCTCTCTCTCTCTCTCTCTCCCTCTCGACCTAGTTTTGAAAGACGATCGCATTGAAAACTTCTAGTCTCGATATTAACTGGTAAACCAACTCAATCTGTTGTTCGGTGTTCTATCGAAGAAACTTGGATAGTGCGAAGCCTTGCCGAGAGCTTATATGCAGCGGATGGCTTAATACACAGGATGATCATACAAACGGATACAAGCAGCATCGATTGCGTCGCTTCGATATTTAGCGAGACAATCGTGTATAGTGATATATAACTGATTGCGCGCTAGTTGCGCTGGCGAGCGTCACGATAATCACGACAGATTGTACCGCGTCGACAAGAGCGTGTGAGCAAACAAGAGCAAACGAGGAAATAAGCGCGACGAGGTGCCGAGCGGAGCAACGGTTATCGCGTCGCGCGCGCAGGGGAGCCGCCGAGCAACCCGCGTCGAAAGTGGCCTTCGTCGAATCGGCATGTACGTACACGCGACTCCGCGAGGAATCTCGGCCTGCCCGGTGGAGAGCGAGCTCGTCAAACGGTATATACGCGGCCGGAGAGGTGGAGGGGGCACGGTGACGGGCCTCGCCGAGATGCTGCAGGTGGGCCAGTGCTCGCACGCAGTGTCTCGGCGAATTTCCATTGCGCCATGTCGCAATTGTCGCCGGCAGTTTCGCTCGTCACTTTGCTGCTGGCGGCGGCGCCCACCTACCAGTGGCCGTACCCATTTTGGTCCGGTGCGTCCTCCAGCAAACAGGATACGGTTGTTCCCAGGGGTAAGCGTGCATTTGTGCTCCCATAATCTTGAGCGCAATATAACGTAGTCCTTCGCGAGTACACGATGAGTCCGCAGCTGCTCGTATATCACGCACCGAGTAGCCACGGATTAGTTGCGTCCTGTGTGCAGTCCGTGTGCGTGTCTGACTATGTACCCATTCACGTCCGAGCAGGCATAATCACCGCTTATCTCGAGAGTTATCCGTGCACCGTTCGACGGCTTCGTAACCGGATTATGATATGCGTGTGTCTTGCTCGTTCTTTGTATATTTGCCTTCATCGGTTAATTTTTTCATCTCCATAGGAACGATCACTTATTTTTATAAAAGTCGCCATGAAACAGGTGCATTTTTTTTATTTTTACAATTTTTTTCTTGTGAATGGGCATATTTGGCTTAGGTGAAACTCTTCAAGAAATTGTCGAGCACACAACATCTAGTTTACAGTCATAAATTACAACTTATTACGAATATTGCAATGTTCTGTTAAAAAATTTCAATTACGAATAACATTAAACTCGCATCAATACATCCGTTTTGTAAAATGCAACTTTGAAATTCACCGAAATGTCGATATTCATTCCTTCATAACAAAAAGCCATGCTGTGGCTAGAGATGACGTATGATATCAATGTGCAGAGCTTTCCAATTACGAACATATCATTGTAAAAGGTAACGATTTTTTTTATATTTAAGTAAAAGCCATACAACTATTTATTATGTCGGTGTACAGTATTCTCGATATTACTGAAACATTTTTCAATAAAAGTTTTTGTTTTCATTGTAGGGCTTAGATAAAATTAATTATAAATATATTTTGAATATCGTACGAATTTTATTTTACGATAGTTTTTCACCAATATTTATTGAAATATTTTAAATGTGCTCGGACACTTTTAAAAAGTTTCGAAATTTGGGTTAATACAATCATTAGTATGCAAGAAGTTCTATTATGATATTAATGTAGTATTATGTTTGTGGGGCGAGTTACTGCCAACGACTTCTAGATGAATAATTGAGCCTTCACATTTACACGAGAACTTGCGAGTATACTACAGAAAATCCTCTTACCGAAATGTCATCAGCGAGTTGGGTATCAAAACTTTCTTACTCATTTTATCATTTCACGTTATTAAATTGATATCACGACAAATTGAGTCAATCATTTTCAAATTTTATCTGATTCTCATTTTATTCTTTTGCATTTGAATATATACAATTTTTATGAAGTTCCCAGTTGTTATTTCTAAGTAATTTTTGTTGATTATATAAGTATGATATGCAAATAGTAAATAAAGATAATTATCAATAAATTAAGAAAACTTTTTTTATCATGAAAAATACTTCATGAAAAAAATTAGAGTTTGAATGATTTAATTTCTAAATAAAACATCTATCATTTCAACAATAAAATTTGCATTATATTATAGTAATTTTATAGATCAAATAATTGAAGGACGAAAATTTGTACACGCACAAGTCATAACTGATATATAGCTTTACTAATTTTAAAATAGAAATGACAACATATAAAATCATATTTACTTTTATTCCAACTGACAATTATTCAACAAATTAGATGCAGATGAAAATTATATGTATATCGCGCAAGCAAACGCAATAAAAAGTATTTTCATCAAAAATTATTTGTATAAATAAAACATACATTTGAAAATTTAAAGTGCAACAAGGTATTAAAATACGCTAGAACAATTTAAAATATAACAATTAAAAATATACAATACGAGAAACAAACGCTTAACAATAAAATACGCAACAGACTTGTAAATTAATCGTATCACAAAATTGAGATATTCTCGTAACGTTAAAAAAGCGCAATTATTAAAATTAGTACCAACAAAGTTACAAAATGAACAGCTGCCTGAGATGCACCTGAAAAAAAAAGTAAAATCATTGTATACTTGGCAGACTAGCGTTGTTAGTTTACGAAAGTAAGAGTGGCTATTTTACTTGAAAACTCGCAATGTTGACTCTCCTGGTTGTAAGTCCAGTGTTTCTTGCATCTACAGCCGTAGTTTTTAGTGCAAATCAACAGATTCTCTCCCATCAACGTATTTTTATCGTAGCAGGCGTCTTCCTCGACTTTGCACTGGTCTCCAAACCCTGTAAAAATCGAGAAATATTCGATTTGGGAAAATGATGATGGCAAAACTTTTACTCGCACGCCATTCAAACGAAAATTGGCAGAAGTACGAAAGTAGTACGAAAGTAGTACGAAAGTAGTAAAGAAAGATACGTGTACGGTAATGTACTAAGTTACTATTGTTTATTTGCGCAACAAATAAAATTTGATCCGAGTCATATCTGCCGAATTCCAATTAAGCGTTGCTATCTCACATTTGCAATTTAAGAAGAAAAGCGAATTGACGTAATTATATCCTGAAAAAATTTCAGCGAAACATTTCTCTGACGTGTTAAAACGCAATTAAAAGACTGCAGCGAGTGTGGAAAATGCAAAGTGATGAAACGACGACATACCTAAATTACGAATGCATTTGAAGTTATTGGAATGGTGAGTAGGTTTGCAACGGCATTGTGCATCCGAACACTCGGCGCCGTCTCCAAGTCGTTTGGTGCATTGTAAGTGTTCCAGACACTTCCCACCAACCTCCACAACCACTGGTAAACACGACTGGCCATCCTCACTTTCCACCCTGTCCGATTGACATAGACAAATTTTATTAGATTTGTCCTTCGAGTCGTTCTGTTCTGGAATCAGACAATCCGCTCCCTCAACTAAGCTACAATCCTCACGATCTGTACAGTTGCGCCTCAGTCCTGAAAGCAGAATGTACTCATGTTGAAGGATCAATTAGAATGATCTGACGGCTACGTGTTGACAGTCGCGCCTTGATTGCTGTTTCTTCTGACAAAATCGGATTGACCCGCTCGTTCATAACATGTACGTCGAAGGTTACGAACAAGATTTCGATATACTTGTTTGCGGAAGTAAACAAACTTTTGTAACCAACTCCCGTTGTAACGTCAAGATCACATACGCATATAATATTATTGAACATTTGCTTCCATGGTGACAATATTTTTAGGGGGAAATTTTCAACCACATTCAACTAATTTTCTAATAGACATAAAAACCGTGAATGTAAATTTACTATAAACTTTTACGTTCGAATTTGAATTGAAAAAGAAGAAAACTATGCGAGTAAACGATGGATCTACCTGAGGCCCCAGCTGTGAGAATCATGTCCTTGTTGGAGCACAGGTCGTACGTTTGAGTCGTCATATTGGCGCACAAACAATAACCCTGGGCACATTTGAACAAATGTGGGCTTTGCGCTGATCCCAAAACACTTGCACACTGCAATGCCGAGCGGCATGGAATTGCCCAGCCTGCGAACATTCGTAACACATTGATTACTTGTACGCGGAATAATCCATCAGCTTGGTGCTTTCAATTGAATTCGAAAGGCCGTGATATTTCGCATCGCACGACTTAACGGACGCACGGACGATTGAACCACACAAATTCCACGGTCGAAAGTAGATGCGATAAAAAGCTCAGCCGGGGATAATCCCGAGGAAAAGAGAGCGCCATCACTTTTGGTTGGTTGAAGTCGATGTTGCTCGTCGTTTGACGTTGAGTTATAAAAAACAATACAAGAGCTACTCACTGTACTCAGCCTGTGCCTGAGAAGCGAGTAGCATGAGGGATACAGCGAAGACTACGATTGCCATCGTGATATAGATAACTTAATCCGCCTGATATCTGCTAGATTAGACTCGAGAGTTCGACGGTCCGTCGATGAGAGACTGGCCGTTTAGCTATAAAGACGTCCGTATTTATATTCCCCGTTGAACAACGTTGCCGGGTGTAGTGTACGCGCGACGCCGACAATATTTTCCTCGCGCGCTCGAGTGCCGACACGCGAGTTACTATGAAAATCAGCCGTAAATGGTTTAGCTAACGAACGACAGCCAGGAGCGAAAGAATCGTGCGAGCTGATTTATCCGCGCGCGCGTGGCAGGCGAAGCTCGCGATGTATAATCGGCGCGTGCAGCGCCGACTTTCGGCGGTTTTGCCTTGTGCGCGCGTGGCGATTAATCGTTTGCAGCTCTCGCAGGTAGCGGCGCAGAGCAATTCGAGAGATTTCGCCTGGGGATTGCCACCGCTGCTGCTGGCCAATTATTCAGCCGTGGCTCTGTGCGGCGCTTGCACGCACAGAGACCAGCAGCCGTCCTGCTTTCCGAGTTGGATCGCTGCTTTCTTGCTTTTCGCGTATCGAATTAATCGGCCGTGCTGCTCGCGATGCAAGGCTCTGTTTTGTTTCGCTGTTGTTGATAACGCGCGCGAGGCCTACACAACAGGACGAAGCGTGTAATTGAACGGGATTAACTTGTTGTTTGCTTACGGAAGCATCGGCGATCGTTCGCGTATCGATCGCATCGCTGGGAACAATGCTGCTTATCGGCGACCATCTGTCTGTAAGCTCGTCGCAGTCGCCAATTTTGACCATCGGAATGGTTCGTTTTTGTTTGGATTCACGGCCGACGACGGGCAGCGGAAAAAAAAAGACAAAACACAGAAAAAAGCGCGTGGAAGGCCACTGACAGTACGAGTTGTGTGTCGCGCTCGTAAAACACGTTCGAGATATATAATAGAAAGCGGCGAGCCGAACAAGGGCGAGGATGAAGGCAACGAGGGAAAGGAAGGAAAAGCTTAGGTAGGTACAAATGAAATGGTTTTAGTGTGCGCGAACCCACTGCTGCTGCCGCCGCCGCCGCCGCCGCCTCGCGTTAATGGAGTCAATTCGCTAACGAGGACTTTTAATTTAACGAGCTTCGCCTCTTAATTAATCCTGGGCGTGTAAAGTTCGCGGCAGCGGTGAGCGTATAACGGCATCGAGCGAGCATTCAAGTGGCTGCACGCGGGGATCGTTCGCTTGAAAAGAGCTAGCGCCCAACGAAAATTCACCGACGAAATGTCTTCTCTAGGTATATAGCCGAGTCGAGCTTTCGCGCACTTAAATGTTTTAATAGCTTTATCGTGTCCCTCGTCTCGCTCCTTCTCTCTCCGCGAATTATTTATTATAAATGTCCTTTCTGCCCGCGCCTCCAAGCATAAAGATTACTCTTCATACTCCGGCAAAATAAATATTTATTAACGGCCATATATATATTTCATCGATCGAAATCCCCTTCTTTTTGTTGGAACAAAGATACTGCAGACGTATAGTATATTATTATATGATGAATGTATAAAGCTAGCTGCCGTCTTACTGGCTAATCAAATTAATTTTCATACTTTGAAGTTTTAGTATGAGAAAACTGAATCTTCTTATATATCGGCCCATTATATCGTCTCTTATGCTTTGATCGCTACTCAAATTTTGATAACTCGGCACTTCGCGAACGCAGCGTAGATAGAGCTCGTAGGTTTACGACCTCATACCTCGTTGTTAATGGAAGGAGACTCCGTTCAAATCAGTTCGTTACGCCGATTCTTATCGACGGCGAATTAAACGCTTAAATAAAACTACGGTAAGCTAATTGCAGGACTTTATTCGCTTTAAAACCATCTCAAACATAGTACTCATAAACTTCGAAGCAGTCAGTTTTTCATTTACGCTGCGAATAAATACTAGCCAATCAAGGAGTAAACTTTTCTGAGCAAGTAAGGCTCTTCTGAAACTTCAAGATACATTAGTTAATTACCTCGTGGAAACTTATTCTTGAAGAAATCCAAAGAAAAATGTATCACCTTCTCAATACATATAAATCGTTGAATTGTATCCGAAAGCTGAAAGATCGTCATATTTGGTGTTATAATTCTAAAACTTAAATTATTCTAAATTTAATTTATATAATTTTAATCAATCTCATGTGTACGATCAAAGTGAACATGAAATTACATGATATGTCATTTGAAATTTTCCAATAAAGTTGTAATTAATCTGAATGGGTGGTATAAGAATGATCTCAATTGGCAGTATTGAACAATACGATCCACTTGATGGTCTGCTTGTTTTAAGAAAATATGAAAAGTAAGCAGATATTCGCGTTAGTCGATCATCTAATTAACTGATAACACTCTGAGTAAGAAAATATGAAATTAATATTTTCGCAAAAGTAAATGTGATAAGTTTATCAGTAGCTTTATAGGCCAATGATACGTAGCGAGAGTTGTATCTATCATCTCTACAGTTTCCTTCCTACCGTCCTTTGTTCAAAAACGGAATACAAAATAGAACGATAAAAGATAATGAAAGGGTCTAGTTATTTTATCATCATAATAAGTAGCGCGTCTATTTAAATGTATACGGACTTCAGTTAATATAATTAATAAAGTTTATAGAGTAATATAAATGCATTTATGTTGTAAAATAAAGTTAGCAATATAAATGCAAGTATAATTAATGATCAATTTTTTCTCTTCAAAACTGTGATGCGTTCGAAATGTACGATATTATCAAGCGACAGTTACAACGGTTTACTGTATCGTTGAAATCGATTTAATTTGTCGTACTTTAGAGGTACAGTAAATATTTGATTAGATGTAAAACTAATTTGGTATAATTATCTAACCGTCTACAAGCTCGATAGCACATTCATTCGACTGTGCCGCAAACAAAACGAACTGGAGGATGTAGAGCTTGGCGATTGCCAAGTGTAAACCATCTCGAGAACGCTCTCCAATGAAAATGCCGTAAAGAGCAAAAGAATCGAAGCAAGGAATTGAACTGCTGCGGGAGTGGCGTCGCGCGAAGATTCTCATTTGAGAAACCTCGCTGTTATTGTTCGTTTTGCTCAGTTCTAGGATTCTTCCCGGAGCCAGTGGCGGAGGAGTGCTTGTCGTCGGACAAGCGTCGCCGCGGAATATGCATGAACACGTACGACTGCCGCATCCAGCGCGGCAGCTTCCACGGGCCTTGCGCCCTTGGCTTCGGCATCTGCTGCGTCTGTGAGTGTTAACCAGCCTCTTACAGCGGTACGCGTAGCTGCACACGTAGTTTTATCAAGCTCTCCCATACGCGTGCGCGCCTCCTCATTTGCTGCCGGCTGGCTTTCACAAATCATCGCTACACACACAATTCGCGCGCTCGTTCTTTTGTATACTTACAATCTTACATTGCAGTTTTTCTGCTTATATCGGCTCTTCGTACACTCGCGATCCCCGCGTACGCGGAGGTTGACTGTCATCCTCTTTTCAGCGGATACGCGATAAGCAGCCGCATATTCATGAGGAATTTCATTAATATGCGGTCTAACGTAATAACACATATGTCATTATCGAATACCGATAAATTCTACATCACTAACTCACTTTCCATAGCTGCACACAATCACACCGCAACAATTTGTCTGATTTGTCTTTTGGCCAGCGTCGCGTGGAATTAAGCTTCGATTCCAATGTGCCGTTAAACAATCGCGTTCGTTTAGCAGTATTTGAGCTTTTTTGTTTGCTCACTTCGAAACACCCATAGTCAGTTTTTTTATAATCCACGCAGATATTTCATTTATCGATTGCAAGTACAAATTAACCCATTAAGACCCATGAGGATCCATGGAAAATTTAGATTGGATATCAACAAACTATTTACGTCGTCCTTAACAAAGTCGAGAAATTAAACGTACTTGTATTTTACTGTTGTTTATCGTCAGAGCTCAAGTAACTGAAAAATCGTTTACTTTGTAAAAGCTTTATAAATTAAGTGAAACAATTGATTTTTAAAAATGACGAAAACCTATGTAACAATTTTTCATTAGACTCAATTCATTACTGTCAAAGGTTCACAAACTTGCAATCACGGAATTGCTTATTAGCGTTTTTAACTAATTGAACTCTGCCGAAAAATTGTAACATATTATTTTCCATATATTTTTTTTTGTTGTTGCTCTCAGTTGTTCAATATAATCGTTTTCAATGTAAATTGTTTGAATAATTTTTCATAAATAATCGCTAATGACAAAAGAAGAAACACGTATATTCTCGACTACGCAACGGATTACGTAATTAGTTTGTTGCTATCCAATCCGGTTTTGGTATAAGTCTTAGGTTTACGAAAAGAAAAATGACAAAGATAGCCCGGCAAGAATAAAAGTTATTAGAATCTATGTGGATGGGCAAATCAAATTTCAGGAGGTCACTTTATTTAATTATTAATTACATACTTTGAAAGTGAATTCAGCGCCATGCACTCGAGAGCACGCCAGGGCAATAGATGTCGCTCGTTATTGATCGTATCGAGCAGCGCCATTAAATTTTGCGTCGATTGGCATAATTTTGACGTTCATATAAGCACGCTATATGTGTCATAAGACTCATCCACACGTCTATACTCATACTGTTTGAAAACTGTTATAAATTATCGAAAACTTTAACTGTTAATATTGAACACATGTTTACTCAACTTACGTTCAAGGCATCCGAAAGGAAACAGTATAGGGGACGTTTTAAGATATAGATCCCACTACTTTCAAAAGTTTACAAGCATTCTAAAAGAAAAAAAGCATAGCTATTAAAAAGAAAAAAACATCGATACAACTTGTTACTTTGCTGACAGTTTTTTTTTACAGAGTTGGATTTGTTCAAAGGATAAAAATGTTAAGTTTGATTTTATTTGTATAACGATAGAGACTCATTCAAATTGATATTTCTTATTTGTTTTCCATGTAAATGAGAACGTTTACGTTGTGGACGTTAGCGAAGATAAAATAAAGAAAGAAAGAAAGAGAAAAATAAACGGCTGATCGTAGAGATCTAAAATAGCAAAGTACAGTTAGAATGGAATTGTTCGGAAACTCGAGATTTAATACGATAACACGCGCGGCGAGTGAAAAGCGTCGAGAGCGTGGAAAAGAATCCTAACATTTCTCCGTTCGACTTGAGGAATAATGCGCGTACGGGAAAAAGTTTGGGCCGTTGCTCCGGCGATATTCTCTCGGTTTTGCGCTCTCCGTTGCCCGTTGTCGCCGACATTTCTCGGCGGTATACCGCGGAAACAGTTATACTCGATTGGCTGTCGGGTTCGGCCACTTGCCCTACATAAGAGAGTCGAAACCTGTTGACCGAGGTCTACCTAATGCCTGCATAATTCATACTTCATCGCATTAGCATATACGCGCGCAGTTATCGGCCCACGTTTTATATAGATACTAAAATGTAGCGCGCGATCGTTTGGTTGGTGGGCTTCGCAGCGACGAATGCTCGGCGCGTACTCCAGACGGGCCGGCAAATGGCGCGATTGCTCCACGAATCACGCTCGAGTAGCAAGTCGAAAGCACTTTTTTGCCACTCGGAGCTGGATCTCGAAGATTAGATTTTTACCGTGCACTGCTGCAGCAAAGTCACGCTTTTCGAGCTTTAGGCGGCCTAGGATACACGGGAAAAACGAAGTTTCTATTTGACTGTCGGCGGACCACGGGACAAAGGAGGATGGGCTATTTCGAGAGAAACTGAAAGCCGAGGCAGGCAGGCAGGCAAATAAAGCTGCGCACACAGGTAATGTACGAGCTCGTAAAAAGAGGGCCGAGGTAAGGTCGGCTCGCATTCATAGTCGGGGTGCGCGCGAGCGAAATTCCGTTGAAAGACGAGAGACTCGAGCACACGGGACGAGCTCCAACAAAGACGTTCTCCAGCTATACCGGCACCTCCACGCCCGGGATGATAACGCGCGATCAACGCAAGCTTCGACCGCTCTCTCGCCAGGCAGTTCTGCTTGTGTAGCAAGCGTCGGGCCGGTCGTCAACCCTCGCGCAGCTAACGCTCGTCAAGTCGAGAGAAAGCGCTTGTCCAGTTGACAAGAGCCGAGCCGCGTGTAGCGCACAGAGAATACGGAAGGGACTCGAAAGAGCTCCCCACGCGAGTTTTATCCGAGTGCACCGTTCGCCCATCAGCGCCCTCTATGCGAATAAGTTCCAGTGTCAAGTTTCCAGTTTTCCTCTGTTTCGACAAACTGAGCTTGCGACGAGCTCGTTCAATAATTCACCTCTGACCTTGCGATCGACTTATCACTTCGACACTTTCGTCGAGTTGCATAATTAATTTGTTCAATATTTTTCTTTTAAGTAACTGTTAAGTAAATGTAGCTCCGAATAGCGAACGAAATAGTATTCGAACAGCGGAGAGAAAACGTAAGCAACGAGAAATGAGAAAGAAGGGGCTAATAGGTATCGTGTGCAGTCGGTTGGAAATCCAGTTGGAAAATTTATCTCGCCGAATGGCTGAGCAGCCGGTCGATTCGTACTACAAACAAGTGCTGCTCGAATATTAAAAAGAGTTGGCGCGGCGTGGCCTCTTACCCGGGCAAAGCTTGCAATTTAAGCGCGGCTTACCAAATAAGCTTATAATTCAAGACAACGGCTTTGTTTGGTTGATTTCTTAAAAGCAAAACGCTGCCTCGAGGTTGACATAAAAAAGTTGCATTTATACACCGTAAAATGTTTTTGTAAAACACTTGGAATCTTAAGTAGCTTATTCATCCGTCAGTTTTCGAATATCTATTCAAAGATGCAGGAGCAAGCTTGAAGATCTTGAGCTGGAAGAAAAATTTTAATTTTAGTGCTATGAGTTTTCAGGTATAAGCTATTAATAGTTCAAGACCGCGCGTTGCGATGAACGTTTCTTACAGTTGATTGTAGCGTAGAACGGGCTGCGCTATACTTAAAAGTTTCTTTGAAGATGATGAGCACTTTCATCATCCGGTTATTTTTATAACACGAGTGCTTATATTATGTTTGCATTGCTGAGTGATGGATAGTGCGTATAAGCATGTCGCAGTAGTAAATTTAATAATGATATAACAGACCTCTTAAATATACAGCTGAAAGAAATAACAAAAGTAATGATTTTTTATCTACATAAATCGATCCCTTTGAACTAATCAAATCACTAGCCTACTTCAAAGCTTGATTCAGTTTTTTCGTGTCCTTTTCCTTGGAAACTTCTTTCTTCTCGACTTTCGCCAAAGGGCGATTACATCGAGGCTACAAAAGAAAATCGTAAAACACAAAATACTTATCTCGGGCGGAAGGGCTGATCTTGCCAATAAAAATGTGCTCGTTTTACTCTTCTGGTTGATGTGTGTGTGTGTGTGTGTGTGTGCGCGCGCACGCGCGTGTGCTCGCTTGCGTGCGTGAGCATTTATTTTATTATAGAGTTTTTTTGAAAATAACGTTTCCTTTTTCGATAAATCGAGACTTGATTTGATTTTTTTATTCTACAAGACTTGTTCTAATAAAGATGTACAATTTATATAAGCATACGAATCTTTTAAAAATTGTCGCTAAAATGCATTTTAGTCGCATCTAATAATATCTACATATTTTAATAATAGTGATTCGCATTTTTCAACGATTCGCTGATTGGTTCTCAGCCTCCTCAGAAAATCTGTTTATTCTGATTATTTAAGTTCTGATTATTTAATTATGATTATTTAAGTAATCAGGGTTACGCAACTTGAGATACACATAAAATATAACAATGACGCGGTTAATTTTTATTTACAATTCTAAATATGTCAATAATTTTATAAAGAGCTACACTATCAGTAATAATGATTTTGGACATATTGTTATTCCATAAGTAATATCCTATGCAGTCGATGCGAAGAGTCGTGTAAGTCTATTTGACATCATAATCCCATAGCTGAGAACGTGAATCTTTGAATATTTAGATGACATTAAGGGTGAAGCAAGCTGCGGGGCTTGCTTGCCGCAAAATTATTAACAGAAAGCGCTGCTTGAGGAGTGTATAAGGAAGCTTGGCAGATTTTGATCGATGTGACCAGGATCCTTACGAGAGAGAGAGAGAGAGAGAGAGAGAGAGCAAATTTGTGTAGTCTCCAATTTATTATTTATGTTTAATAAGTCACCACGAGCTGTGGCGGAGAGGTGCAGAATAATTCGACTTACGTAACCAGTCCAGGGTTTCCAGACCTCATCGATCAGGCCATGAATTGCTCAGTGCTCGTCAAGAAAATCGAGTCACAAGTCAGTCAACTGCGAATCGACTTTCTTCACTTCAACATTGTAAGTCGCAACTCATTGCCCCTACCGACTTGCCTGTCGTATACGATATACTCAGTTATAGTCTGCTTCACACTCAGTTTAACTTTCGTAGACTTGCATGATTTGACTTGTATTCGTAACAGAATCGACGAAACGCTGCGATATCTGGAGTATAGCGCTTGAAGAGAATTATTATCGGGAAGAAACTCGATTACGTGTCCTAGCCGCTTCTCCTGTACGACAGCATTCGAGGATAGTGTCAGCGATCGGAGAGGAAAAGGGGGAGAGGATAAAAAGATTATTGCATTTCTTATTAAAGGCATATCCTCTGCTGGCAGATCCTCGTTACGCAGCGCAATATCGCTCGGCGAGAATTGCATTAATAAATGACGCGCGCGCGCAAAGAAGCAAGCTCTGATTCGACTCTAACTATACGCTGCTTTTGTCTCGCTGTTGGTGCCCCACGTATATATGTCCGCGCGCGTAGGGCTTGTAAAAGTTCAAGGAGGCAATCGAGCTCTCGATGCAGCAGCAGCAGTAGCAGCAGCAGCAGCAGCAGCAGCAGCAGCAGCAGCAGCAGCAGCAGCAGCAGCAGCAGCAGCAGCAGCAGCTCGTTTCCCGTTGAATTATAGAAAAGCGCGGAATTCCTAGTACCGCCGAGCGAGAGCACACAGAATGGGCTAATGCACAATACCAGACGTCGTGTATGGAGCGTCGACTTGGCGGATAGCGGCCATTGTTGCCTCGACAGGCATCGACAATAAGACTCGCGGCGGCTTTACTTGCGAGCGCGCACCGCGTCGCCATAACCCGCTGGCGCTGCTCCCCGCCGAGCTCCGCCTTGCTCGTCATGGCTCGGCTTCGAGTCTCTCCTGGCTGTCCGCTTACGCAACAGTCGGCCGCCCGCTACTTTCCGCGCCCCTTATCTCGTGCTACGACTCCTTTGTGCGCGCATCGTTCAATCAGCGATAAGCTTTGCCCTACGACCACTGTGCGCCGACTTCTTTTCACTTTCTTCTTCTTGTTTCTTGATTTTCCAGGGCCAGCCAAACAGGAAGACGGGAGTCTGCGACAACGACGTCCTCCTGGTAAATTTCCTTGGCGCAGTTAAAAGCGCGACGAGCCGCGCGTCACGTCGTATTTTTATTCGACTTTGATACGTCCTCCGAGCGCACATCTCGATTCACTTTCTTTCGACGCATCCTTTGGTATTCGCGCCACGACCTGGTCGCGCTTTCAGCCGGATAAGATGATAAAGTTCGAGCACACGCGAACGAAACGTCACGTTTATGCATACACGGGCAGAGAAAAATCCACGAAACGCGAGCAATAACAGCACGGCATTGTAAGATTCGAGAGATGAGAGAGGATACCGCGACGCAGAGCGAACGAAATCGGCGACACGGAGTAACGCATGAAATATCTGGGAAATGTACTTGCAGGTGAGATCCGGCGAGAAGACCTTCCAGCTTTGCGGATGGAATAGCGGTCAGCATAGTGAGTATTTTTGGCCTTTCCCAGCCGACGACATCGCGCGATCAGGTGATTAGTCTCGGGCTACGTACCTGTGCGAATATCGCACGCGCACGCGGCTGCCGAGAGGCTGAGTCCTCCATCAACTTTCATCCACGGCCGGGCAAAAGCTACACGTGTGCCATACTTTTCTCTTCCCCTGTGTGGCGTATATAACAGCAGTAGGCTCGTTAACAGTGTCATCCAAAAGTTACAACTCGGTGTTTTCGATCGGGAATCGGACGAGTCACGCTGGCGCGCTCGAAGAGATTAGCGAGTAATTGAGAAGTTAGAGCACGTAACAGTCGACCGTGTGTGTGTGTGTGTGTGTGTGCACGCGCTCGAGTGACTTTGAAAGAGGAGTGAGAAAGGATAAATCGATCGTCCGTGGTAGAGAGAGAAAGAGACAGAGAGAAAATTCAGTCTGAAAGTATCGCACGAACGGGTAACTTGCAGTTTACGTGGACATTGGCGAGGAGCCGGTGACCATAAACTTCCGTCTATTGGGCAACTTGACCTCGCGCATGTGGGAGTTGCGGGTGATTCAATTGGGCTTCGAGCAGCGAGCGCCCGCCGGTTGCTTACAGTACCTGCAGTCAGCCAACGGAACCCTCAAGACCCTCAACTACTTGACCAACGGGCGCTACCTTGCCAACCACGACTATCTGATCTGCATACGCCAGGAGTACGGCATGTGCAGTGTCGTCTATACTCCTTGCTCCGAAGACTCGTTCCGTATTGGTGGACCCAGGCAACCCATCAACAATACCTTCATTAGTGCCGAGGAGGATGAGGATGGCTCGGGTACAGGAGCGGAGATCAATGCCGTAACTGCCACCACTTGGCGATGCCGAGATCGAGTTCTCATTCCCTGCGACTTTGAGGAATTTATTACGGTGAGAACAATGCCTTCTTACGTATGTTAACTCCGAACTTGGGAGAAATGTCCGATTATTGATTTTTTTCTTTTTTTCCGCAATTTCGTTAAACGAGTTTTATAAACGGTAATGTATACATGGCTATGCGCCAGGTAGATTATAGATACCGAACGTTCCTCAGATTTGGGTTTATTAGTTGATCCTAATGAAGGCTGATATACTGTGTCGGATATACATTACTGCACGATCCGTATGTTTTTTTATGACAACCTACGAAAAGTTTTTATCCGCACGTTGTGTTCCGAGAGATCAGAAAATGTGCGAGGAAAAGTAACCAAAGAAATTTTTAATGCCGTGCCAAGTCCACTTGCAAGCAAAGCTACACTCTCCACTGATAAAACATTTTGAGATAATGGCTCCTTGGAGGAGTATTGTTCACTTGAGAGGCTTGTCAAGAAGACGGCTCAATTCAAGGATGCAGATACAAATCTCTTAGACAACGCGAACCGTTCTTTCTACTTTTCTTTTTACCTCCTTTCTTCCCTGTCTTAACTACTTACTTAGCTGAAATTACAAGAAAGAAGGCGCTAATAAGTTCACCCTAGAATAGTTAAACTTTTTATCATGCTGCTTTTTTACGCCTCAAATTCCAAACGAAAGTTTACTCGCCCCTTCATACGGTTGATCTGACATTTTTTTAACAGGCGTCGGACGAGACGGGTTTCGGTACCTTCGGTAACTTTGTGTTCTGCAGATTTCCAAAGTACGTTTGGCTATAAAGTTTCCGTTAGCAAAAGAGTTCTTTCGTCAAGCACGAGACGTTTGAATAGAATGAAATTGAATGAACTCGAAAAAACAAACAAACAAGAACCTCGACATTTCAACTTTCTTTATATTTCCCTGTACTGAACAAAACATTTTCAATTTCGTGATGTAGCCGTTCATCTATTCTATAATATAGCGTTGCACGCGTCATGCATCGTTGCGTTCGATTCACCGAGAAAGTGTTCCAATTGCCGGACCTGCAGGGCCAATCTAACAATCGTATCGCTTTTTGAAATGAATAAAATAGGCGAGGACGAGACTCGTTGAATTAAATTTGGACGAAAAAACGACTATTCGATTTGCCAGAGGACGAAAAATATATTCGACCACTGCGGGGTGGCAAAATAAAGGATGAGAAATGAAGGGAAAATTAGGTAGGAAATGACGAGATGTGCTAAACTGCGATGTACAAGGCTGTTGTCGACGTAAGGTATGCCAGTGCGCGAAATTGGAGTTGCAATGAATGGGTCTTCGTGCTTGGCGCGAGGAACGTAAAGGGTAGAAAGCTCTGCTAGACGAAAGAGGCGTGGCTCTCCCGCGCTCTCGCCGACATTCGACTCGAGCGAAAGCTTTCAACAGGTCGGTTATCGTCCGCGGAACACTGACGCAAACACCCATACACGTGTAGGCGCGCCGAGTGGCTGCGAGAGCTCGCCGCAATAAATGTACGTACCTTTTGCAGCCGGGCAACGACGGCGCTGGGATCTGCGACCTTGAGCACTGCGGAAATTCTCTGTGCGAGAGGCCGACGACCGAAGCGGCGGGCAACGCGACGACGAGTGCGAGTGCAGGCTGTCGCGTGGAAAGTTCGGCGCTGCCGTTCCACATAAGAATAGCCTTTGGTCCGGCGACCAGCGAGGACAGCGCAACTTCGCCGGAGGACAAGGCCGGCATGTGCCTGAGTTACGAGCAGTTAGCCTGCGTCCCTTGAATTATTGCGTTAACTCGGGCGACTCGCGCACACGCGCCAGCAGGCAGCACTTCAACAGCAGCCCTACTTCGACTCTCTCGGCGAGTTTCGCACACCGCAGCCTCGTCCACCGAGTTCCCGACTCGTCTCTGCCGCGAGACGGAAAATCCTCGTGCGGCTCCCGTTCGCCGGCGTTCCTGCTCGCTTCGAATAATCTTGATGAAATTGCCGTGCATTTTCGCGCGATCTCTGCTCCATCCGTAGCACCACTCGCGCGCTATACCCCCATCAGCTACGCACGCAACAGTTCTTCCCAAATGGGCCTCTTTGTTATCATGGGAATAGACCGTGAAAGCGGCTTGATAATGATGCAACTATGTCTTTAACGAGCTCGCTATAATTGTCTTATTGTTTTGCTCTACGCGCGACTTCATTGTTTCTTTCATCTCGTTTCGAAAAATTCTATTCCCTCGAACTTCAACCAAGTTGTAAATACGATTCCTCGCTGCTGTGACATTGTCGTAAATCACTAACTTACTTATCGATTTATTATTTATTTGCTAATTTATTTGTTTGATTCTGTAAATATTGTTGACTTTCATTATTTATAAGATCTAGAGATTGTAATTATGAGGCGACTGAGATACATTTTCAATAATTTGGGTAATCAACCGATATTACATCAAATCAGGAAATCTACTTTTATTAAAATTTTGCGGCGCGCCTCGCTCACTCATGGAAACACGTCGAGAGGAAACAGATGGCCAAGAGAGACCACTGACTGCCTTGTATTGTTATTCTATTTCAAATATTTAACAACTTGATTGAATCCTTACTAATTTTATTTTTAGACGTTTGTAACTTTCACGCAACATAATGACCATTCCAATTGATTATTTACTTCTTGAATCGCGATCAATTTTAATTTTTATTGCGAGTAATAGTTATACGCTATCGGCGAGATAAAAACATACGTAGCTATCTACGCTTTAGAATCAATACGTACTGACGGCACGATTTTTCTTGATCGGATGCCAAAAATCTTCTGCCGCGAATCTATAGCCTCGTAATATTCCTAAAAATGACTTGCGGGCGTGTGTATTTCTGTCTCTTTCCTCTTTTTCACTTGTGTTTGTACTTGCACGTACATCAGCACTTCGTACACGCGAATCCGAGCAATCAACGTTTTTTATGACATTGTGTCCTGTCACAGCTGATAAAATTTTTCAGTTTTCATCAACAGCAACCCGATAAGCGAACTCTCAATCGTTCACATAATTATAATACTATGATGACGTTTATTGTAAGCATTGTCATTCTGTATCATGATATTGAATAAAACATGAAAGCTACGGCCTCGTAAATACATTAGTTACTTTATTGTATCATATGTTGCTATATACTTGCTTATTTTCAAAAGTAGCTTCATAAATGAAAAAGTCAAAAAAGATATTTAGAGAAAAGCGACATATTGAAAAAGAATGCCGTTCCTGCTATTTTTCTCTCTTTAATTTTTCGAAAATACCTTCTCTAAGTACCCTTGTCAAAAGCTTAATGCAACTGTAAATAGAACACTCGGATTCTTAACGGACGGAACGGAAATGACGCAATTATGAAAATACTTCCTTCTGCACGAAAGCGCCTCCTATTATTCGTAAAAAACTCTCGTCACTTGCAAGTATTTCAACGCTTTGCTTGCACGTCAGTTTTTCTCCGCGCTATGTGCTGGAAAAAATTTAATGGCCAACTCTGTTACTCGGAGTTACAGCACGAATAAATTGCATTTGTCCAAACCATATTTTTGTACTGAATTCTACAGAAATGTACCTTGGTCAAAATTCGATGAAGTATCGAAAAAAATGACAAAAGACATTCAGAGAAATAAATCTCAACTGTTGTTAACGTGCTTTTATTACTCACTTAGAATTGGTCGCAGTACTATTCGAAAGCATCAGCCACAGTAATTGCTATCACTGGATAAGAATCTACGTAGGTGTATATACGATATCCGAGTTCCTTGCTTGCACAAAATGAATCTTCTGGCGCCAAGTCCAAAGTAGGTCTTGAAACGACCTGTTGTTGAAATCGCGTGTTCAACTGTACGCTTTCTCTCTCTCTCTCTCTCTCTCTCCTTCTCTCGTCTCCTATAGTAAGCCTCAACTAGCTGCACGTATTTATTGCTGGTAATTCGTGAAGCTGATCGTATCGTGTCGAGAAAGAGCTAAAACACTTGTATTTTTAGAGAAGAAAAGCAGCGAAATAAGATAACCACCGAAAAGATAGATAATCGCCATTATGAAAGATTCAAGTAGTACTTGTTTAATGATTTATCGGAATGAAAATATCAACGGAATTTATATTTTGAAAATATATGCTAAGCAAAGAAGTAACGTTTTTCACGTCAATGTAAATTTGAATAATTATTGTAAAGAAAAAAATAAATGACGAAGGTTTTAAAAATTGAAATAAAAAGAGATATACAGGTGAAACAAGAGCAACGGATATAAGAGATATTTCAAAGAGTTAAATAGTTTTATTTACAAACCAGCTAGCTTGTTGTGAACGAAGCACTCGGCTCATCGTACAATATATATTTATACGTATAATTCATTTTTTTGTAATTATTAATTGTGAAAATTAGCAACGATTCGTATATTTTTATGCATTACTTCGTACTCATAAAAGTTAATGCGTACCCATTCAATGTATTGATAACAATGATCGCATAATAGTTACAAATGTAATTTTTTTACAATAATAATAATTGTAATAATAATGAAAGTCTTAATAAATGTAGTAATATTAAGAATGACAACGTTCTTGATAATAATAATGAATAATTAATTCATAATATTCATCATAATAAATATCATTATGATAATATATGTTAAAGCACGCATGTCAGATAATCTCATATTTTTCGTATATGATCTTCGCTAATAATTAAAATCTCTTATATATATATATTTGTATTTATATATATTTATATATATATATATAATTAGTAAACTCTTATAACAGGCGGTTGGCACCGCAGACGTGTCACGCTCGGCGCCTACCTTAATCACAATAATATAATGACAACGCGCGCGTCGGTCGATGGCATCGGCAATATAATGCATATAATGGCAGATATATAATAAATGACTCGCGAACGCATCGTATCGGGCTATAATGTTATTGAATTAGTTTTAAAGGCTAACGAAAAAGCCGATGATGATCCTCAATTGTTACTGGAAAATATTGAAAAAGTCGCAGTATCATTATAGTTTATAATTATAGTAAAACTTGAAAAGCACTTTTGTCGCTAAGTTCTGTACGCAAGTCGTGTTTATATGAGTGTTTGTGTAATAAGGTGAGAGTACATCGGAGTTTCAAATTTATTTATTTATTTTTTTTTTCGTATTTTTTTTTTCCATTTTTACGTCAAAACTCGCGTCTCCACGATGTATCATCTATTTTATACGTATTCTCGCGGAAGGCGTCGTGTAAGAAAGCCCTCTGGCTAAATAGAGCTACGATAATCTAAAGTGTCTTCTGAGCTTGTTGCAGGAATGGTAATGGATTATTGAGGGGCGAAAGAGAGATAGATGAAAGGGAGCTATAAGAACATTGATAAAAGGGAGGAGGTGTTAAAAAGTGGCAATATTCGACAACGATTTTGGTTGGTTTCGGCTTCTCGCAGCCTGCAGCGATTTTTGGTGCGTCTACTATCGCTGAACTTTTGTTTTTTTTTACACAATGTACTGACGAGCTTTGCACTCTGTGCGCCGATCACCTCGAGAGGACGGTCAACGAGTCTTATCCGAACTTTGAGATTTATTTTTTGCAGATGTATTCGTGCTCCGTTATTTGGCTGTCTTCTGAGATACTATAGGCCTTTCGATGTGCTTATTTGTTTTCTTTCATTATTATTGCATGCTCTTTGCTTACTATCATCAGTTACTATTATATCGTCCTTGTAAATTGTTCGATCATTGTCAGTTCGTATTGCTCACGATTCTAGAAATAAAACGAACTTTATTAATGTAACATTCGAGATTGTTAATTAAAAGTTTGCTTAGCGAAAACTTTATATACGATCAAAGTCACGGGAGTATAGTAGTCATCGTTTAAACAAATCTACGATATTCATTAAAATCATCCTACCACAGTTCAGATTATTTATTACTATCGATCAAAGTTGTCGCTCAGCAATCAACGGATTACAGTCGTTTATACCAATATACGCAGACGTAATGTTTAAAAACTAAACGCTTTATGTACAATGTTTTTTTATTGGCGCATAATTACAATTATTTGTTTTGTCGAGCACTTATTACAATATGCGCGTTTCGGGCTTATCAGTAGCAGGCATCGTACGATCTCACTCTGAAATTGAGCTCAAGTGTTTTATTCATTTATTTAATTAGAATACGTATGAAAAGTGCGCAATTACTTCATAAATTTGTGTAAATGTGAAAGTATGTAGGGATGTAAGGGGATCGTTCTGGATTTCAGTACACGGCCTAAGTGAATCATTGTCCCTGTAGGTGCATATTTTTTTTCGTTCGTTTATTCGTTACTTTCGATTCTCACGTTTTAACTTGTCATGCCCACTTTGCTTTATGTTCATCGTCGTTGTCAATTATGTATACCCTGCTACGCTTCCGGAAAAAAAAAATTTGCGCGTGTGATTCGTCTCGTGTGCGGTGTATTATAAATCGTATAGGTACTTACAGCGCACTTTGCATATAGAATAATGTTTTGCGGGAATATTACGGCCTAAGTCTATCGATAAAGTACGTAATAATGATAAGACCATATTTCTATGATTTTTTTCACGCCTGTTTTGCGACGAGGTGCAATGACTGATATGCTTGATACTTTTGAGATATTTATTTTGTACATTGACCTACTTCTTCATTCTAGACTTGTGATTTTTTATTTAAATGCTACTTTGCGATCTCAATTGTACTTTATTCAAATGAAACTACTTGGAATTATACCTATACATATATGATAGTTGTTTGCAAAGAATAACAGAAAAAAAACATGAAAAATAGGTGCGTTTTGTCAGTTTCATGCACTTTTGCGTGATTGTGCGCAGTGAATGCGACACATCGCAAACACTCGTGCTCAACGTTTTTGTATGACCGTAGATTTTTTTTCGTCGCAACTCGCTAGCTGTCTCTCCTATCTTGAAAATTACCCCTTTCGTATAGCGTTTTGTTGTTGTTTTCGTTGCTTTTTTTTGTCGCAAACGGCGCACACGCCATGGAAATTATGGACACCGTTTGTGACGACGATGCCGTCGATACGTACGACGAGGACCAACTGGGACATCAGCCATTCTACGAGTAGTGGTGTTTAAATTCAGAAAACGTATAAATAGAACGATTAACGTTTTGTCTGTTTAACGGCTAACAATATTTCCTGTCTTAAACAAAACGAGAGGAAAGAGCGTATCGACGGAGATTAAAAGAGACAGTAAATCACCCTCGATTAGACGAACTTTACATGCAATGCCAATACGTGTGTGTGTGTGTAGATTACCGTGCCGGTGCCTTCGTGTAACAGAGATTTCATCGAAATTGGCATTTTCGCGGACACTGTACTACGATTATGCCTCGACCAATTAACTTATCTCTCCCTCTCAAAATGACTGATGGTTTTTTACTGCCTGATTACCCTCAACAATGACTTTATCGATCTCCCCCTCTTTGTCACGACAATATTTCAAGTGCGCAATTACTGGAAGAAGAAACTTATCATTCCTTTAATGGAATTTGTCATTTTGAAAGACAATACTTTTAGTATTTTTGACTTTGACGCATCGTTTTGTTTTTTTCAATGATAGGCAGCATTGAGAGAGGGATCTTTCGAGATGTAATATCGATTGAAAAAGAAAAGGACGTCGCTCGTTCTCTTTGACGACAGCTGCGCACTCAAGTGTTACAAAACAGCGTGATTTTTCACGATATACCGATCAAAGCGACACGACGAAAAAAGAGAAAGGAACACTCAAGTGGATACGCGTGCGAAAAAACCGTAAAATTTTACTTGGACTTTCCTTCGGGAAAGAGAGAGAGAGAGAGAGAGAGAGAGAGAGAGAGAGAGAGAGAGAGAGAGAGAGAGAGAGAGAGAGAGAGAGAGAGAGAGAGAGAGAGAGAGAGAGAGAGAGAGAGAGAGAGAGAGAGAGAGAGAGAGAGAGAGAGAAACAGAAAAAGAGGGACTGCTGGACTAGCGAGAGCGCGGGAGTTAAAAAAATTCTGTTTTAAACGGAGAAAAAGGTCCCGCGTCAATCAGCGCCGGTACCTAAATAGCGTTTAAAGTATCGTCTCTGCGTGTCCAACGTGACGACAAACAACGAGAGAGAGAGAGAGAGAGAGAGAGAGAAAGAGAGACAGAGAGCTTGAGTGTCGAAGCCGTCGCTGCCGTTCTCTTGGAATTTGAGCTGAAAAGGGGAGGGAAAACGCGGATAAGAGGCGGAAAAACGCCAAGGAAATAGAGAAGCCTTCGGGGGAAGCGTCTTATTCAACGAAATTCCTCGATGAAAGAGACGCTAGCGTTAAGAGCAATTAATAAACCTTTATGCTCGATACCTAATAAGTCTCACTTTTTTTTCTCTCTTCTCTATAGTCTCAACCAATCTTTTACTTTTCTTCCAACAACTAAAGTCAATGAAAAGCTTATAAGTATGTAGGTACACATATCATGATGGAAGTGGGACGACTAGTCAAAATACGTAGTTTTTGGAATGCTTCAACGTTGCACCTCCTTGTGTTCCTAATGCTATCTTAAATCGTTATAACAACTGCAAGAGAAATGTATGTGTTTGTCATCGTGCGCGAGTAATGGCAATTATTATTCACGAGTAATCTAATGAGTTTACTCAGAGAAACAATGCTTTACTTTAACTTTATTAATTTGTTTTTACGGCATTATCTTCAAAGCGTACGCATCGTTAGAGTTAATGTTAATCGTTAATGTATACTACAGTTTTGATGAAAGATTGATTCCTGTAAGAAAATGTAATGAATTGAATGTCCATCTACAATTAAGCTTATATTATTATTACAAGCAAAGAAAAACGTCCCCTTCTAAGAATTAAATCAAAGACAAAACTTTAACATGAAACTTTCAAACTCGTAAAAAATTCTACACAATTTACAAGATGTTATACTGTAAAAATTTTTTTTCTGTAGAAGGTTTATTCAAATTCAGTCGCTATCTGGTACAGGATTGCGTTTATGCTTTCGCCTAATCGTTGTCTCTAAATATACGCAGTGTAGATAGGACAAAGGAGGAGTCTTTCATAGTAGAGAGAATATACAAATTTGAGTAGATCTTCCTAGAATAAAATATATCTTTCCATACCATTGTAACATTTTGAGAGTGTTCACTTCATAACTACTACGTGCATTCATAACAATTTTATTTATTGTTTCTCGTACCTTCTTGCTATTTAGCTGAAAAATGCTTACAAGCTTGTCAAATTTTATTCACCCATTGTGCTGCGATCGCATTACCTTATTTATCCCCACGAGCTACCAGCGGACACGAATGAATTTGTACAGATAAGCAATCTCTACATGGCGAAGTGTAGATAATATATTTGAACGAATATTTTGTATTCAAAACAAATGAACTTTTCTCACTTCTAATTCAATTACGAAATTTATGAGGATGGCTCGTGCGAGCACAAAAACAATGCAACCGAGGAAAAATGAATGAAAGGGCATGAGAAAGCAAAGTGTACGTAATATGTATAGCAGGGCTGGTTAAAAGGAAGGGATTAAGTTGCAGAGCTTGGCACGGATAACTTATGGCGTCAGGTCCATATACATACAAGCATGCGAATACGAGAATCCATTAATTTATTAATCGCGACGAGTGAACAACGCTCAGTGTCTCTTATTCAGTGCTCCGAAAACCAACGACTATCTCAGGAGCTTTGATACTTTTAAGTAATTCTGACAATCTAGTTTTGCGTGACTAGGAGTTGTGATGCTAACGGCGTTGTCGCGAGATTTGTTTGTCTGCAAAAGAAGAAACGATTGTATTTTTCAACGTCATTTATCTGCGTCAATTTGGCGGAAGCTTACGATCGATTGTGTACATACAGGAGCTTTGGTCTTAGCGCGCTAAACGGGCGATGCTCTGGGGCTGCGTTGGTACAATAAAGCAGAGATGAAAAAAGAAAAAAAAGCAAGCGAGAGAGAATTAGCAGTCGCACGTTCCCAACAGCGAGCACCGAAGGAGTATTTTCAACTCCAAGTGCTCGAGCCTTCCTTCCCTTCACTCCTCTTCATACGCGCTACACATTTTAGATTCCAGAGGAAATTTGAAGAATTTTCGATTTCCTGTCGAGAGCCGTCCTCGTCGTTTCCGCTCACTCTGCCTACATTTCTCTCTGTTTCTCGCTCGCGCGCGGAACTCCATTTTTGGTGCACTAATTCTTATATCCCGTTGCGGCAAATCCAGACGAAATATTTAATCATGTTCAACGTGTCCAGCTGTAAGTATTGATAAAGTCGCGTCAAGAGGATTCAGACACGAAAACTTTTGGAAGCTCACTCAGTGAAGCTTATAACTGAAAAATAATGATTGATCTTTCAAATACACCGACGCCCGCTGTTTGTTTATTCACGTATACGTAAACTTTATACAAATATCATTTTTATTCGCCGACCATGAAAAAGAAAATCCGCAATTTCATTAGCAAGATCGCACAGCCGAAACAACAAATGAGACGGAATAAACACCGGACTTGCGAGCAGTGGAAAATTAAAGCAATTTTCGCGAAAGCTAGCCCGAGGATACTATTGGCTTAACGTTCAGATAATCAACGAATATAAGACTAAAAAAACATGGCTTCTACGCTTTAGAAGTAAAAAAGAGAAGCAGGTTAACGGTAGTTAAAAGCTTGTCTAATTACAAACCACAAAATGGAAGTTTATCCGGGTGCAGCTGTGGGTAACGAGGCGTAAAAAGCTTTGAAGAAGCGGAAAATCGCGCGATTCGCGAGCTCTGGCCAGCGACGGGGGGGGGGGGGAGCCCAGAGAAGAAACAGCGCGTAAAAAGAGATGCGCGGCGCACTGGCTGGATGGACGATTCAGCTAGCAGGTGGCGCGAAGCCACCCGCCGACCGCGGCAAAGCTTCGTGACCTCGGCGGGGCAGTTTCCGCGAGCGAAGCCAGCGCGCGCAACAAGCGCTTGCGAGGATTGGCTTGAAACTCGCTCGCCTCGGTGCCACGCTGTCTTCTCTGGCGACACATGCCTGCGAGAGCCACGCTTTCCCAATAAAGTCGCCTTTTTCCACCGATGCCTCCCTCCCTATTTCACTCTTTTCATCTTTCCGTCCTCCCCGCTCCCCCTCTTCCCACGTTCGTACAATCCTTTTACAACGTATCCTGCTCCCGGATTCACCTATCGTCGTCTATTTACTGGCCCACGGGATGACTATGGCGTCGTATCGACATTAATGCCACTAAATCAGTCACGTAATGATTCAATGAAATGCCTTCTACCAATATTTATTTGTCACCTCGCGCACACCACTGCGTGTCTCTTTTCTCGCGCTAAGAGAATCCACGAGCATTAATAGCAACTGCGATAGAATTGATTATGCATTCAACTTAGTTTATCGTGAACTTGGTGGAATAAACTTGGCGAAGGGAGAAAAATGATGTATTTTTCCTTGGGATTTATCCGCGGCTTATAATCTACCATGCATAATGCATTGGTGAAAGCTGCGTCTTTTTCTTAGTGCCGCCTACTTCGTTACGCGCGCACTGTTGTCTCTCTCTCTCTCGTTCTCTATCTCCCCGGCGTTTTTCTCATTCTAATAAAATAAAGCGTGACTACGCTGCACGCTTTGAATTTCAAACTCGTATAATGCGACCCGCGGGCTGACTTGTTCCTCGCAGAGCAGGCCGAGTATATCCATTTAGCCAAGGACAAGCTCGCTCTCCAGCACATTCCGGCTACGCGGACCCGGCGAAATCTGGCATTCCTCACGGCTAGCTCGAGATGCAAACGCGAACGCTTGCCTCGAGGTTCGGCAGAGAGGTGTATGAACGCCCGTGATGAAACGCAGCTGCGCCCGATTCGACGTGCGAATCGCGAAGGTACGGCGACGCCGACAATAGCTGACGTCGAGTGGGCGAAACGCGCCATCGGATTTTACAGGCGCATATAAGGATTTACGGCTTGTCAGCATATATGCGTTAGCTCTCTGTCGCGCTCTCCCTTTCTCGCTCGCACGCGTGCGGAAAATGGCCCGCCGTCTGAGACGATACGCAAACGAAATTGCGACAGCGAGGGGATGATAAAAAGTGAGACTGGCGGTTGATGTAATAAAGGAAGGGCTGATTGGTCCCGACGATATGAGGCTCGAGAGAGTGCAATACATCAGGTGACGCGCGCGCGTGTGCGCGCGAGCTCACGCTCCGGAGTGCCTCGTATAAAAGAGAGTAGCGGTGGCGTTCGCGTGTGTATCGCAAATTTCGCCGGAGAGGAGGAGCGTTAACCGGCAGGCGACGGGAAATTTTATTGTGCGACGAGAGCGAACGAGAGCTCGCCGATAAACGACGACGACTCCTCGGGAGCACAAAGTCCATTAGACTAATTAATCGCGCTCGAGGCGACAAGTCTCTCTCCCTCTCTCTCTCTCTCTCTCTCTTTCGACGGCGTTGCCAGGAAAACGGAGCTTCCGCGTTCGCGAGATAATAATAAGGAATTATCTCCTGCTATAGCGTGCGCGCTGTGCTTCAAGTTTCGCGTGGCAATGGAGAGGAAATGAATGAGCTTGGCGTCGCGTGATAATCGATTTTACCCGTACACTTACACCCACACAAGCTCTCTTACTTCGCGCGTGTAAATCGAAATACTTGAAACTGTTTGCAGCCTGAGAATTCTCGAGCGCTCAAGAATATTTCACGTTGACAAAATGAGATGTCGATCGTGCACTACTGGCACAGTGAATTCTTGTTGATAAGTCGAACCGTAAGCTGTCTCGCAAGCTCGCAAGTTCACTGCCATATATCTTATTGCGAGCTTTTATTGAAATCTCTCCTTCTCTTTCTCCCGATGTATATATTATACTTTTCAACGACGTTTTATTTTCTCCCATGCGGCTTGCCTGTGTTTCTACTTTTTATATGTATTCCCCGCTGATGCAGCTCATGAAAATGAAAAGAGCTTTCGCCGGGCATTCTTGCTGGAAAATTCCACGTTTTGTTAGGTTGAAGAGTATATATTCCGTGGCGGTGGATGGAATAACGACAGCGTAAGCGTAAGCGGAATGCAAGTATCGTTGCGCGCGTACGCGAGCACAGGTACACGCAAGGAGAGCAAAATAAGCGGGAAAAGACAAGCAGGCATAACGCTATACGATACTCGACTTTCCCATCAAAAAGGAGACGAGAGGGAGAGTGAGAGATAGAGGAGGGTGCACGCAGAACGCAGATGTAGAGCAGCCGAGGCTAAATCAATTTCACGCGAGTTTTCCTCTCGGTTTGCGCTGCTCCTCTGGTGGATTTGGGATGCGCGCGTCTTTCTTGATCGGCTCTCTCGCTCGCTCTCTATATCCTAATGCGCTTTACGTGTACCTATATAGGTATCCAAGTTTGGATCACGAAAAGTAGCAGGCAGCGAGCGGCTCTCGATGACTTTGGCCCGTCTCTCGCTTTAGGGGGCTTCCGAAAGGGATTGCCGCAGTGGGACCAATTCGGTACGGGAGTTTGCCGTATATATCAACTACTGGTGCCATACACTCTCTGAATCCCTCGGTACAAGTGTGTGCAAGTGTACGTGTGTGCGTGTATGTACAGGCGCAATCAGCTCCAATTTTTGTTTCTTTGATCGTTTTATAGATACATAGAGGGCCCGAGCTTTCGTCAATTTTCCGTCCGCTTTTTTTTTATTCCACTTGAGTGGCCAAGTTTCGAGTAAACAGTTTGTAGCATTGCCGTGGTTTAATTTACACTGCCGAACTTTCGCCTCGAGAGACGGAGAGCCAGACCGAGTCAGAGAAATAGGACCGACAATTTTGGAAGTTGCACTTTTAGTTCGGGAAATAGCGGCGATACGACAGAAAGATTGAGCGCGCGAATCGAAAAGATATATACATATATATCTAGAGTACGCAAAAGTATTCCAAATTAACTTCGGTTCTACCTCTACTTCTTACTCTGAGTCTCCGTTCTGAGTCGATTATCGAGCGTTTATAGATGCCTCCGTGTATATATGCGCGCGTACGTATTTGTGCTATTGCTGAGAGGCTGCGCACTGGGCCTCAGCACGCTCGCAGCAGCTGAACGTATATTCAGCTCGGCGTCGTTCCCAATGGAGTCGGCGACAGGATTGGCCGCGCTGTAATGAAACTTGGATCGTAATCCTGAAGCAGACTTCAATGGGGTTTGCCACGACGCCAGGGCTGCAAGAGAGCTACTGCCGTTACTGGGCCTCGGCCTCGCGGTAGCGGGATCCTCGCAGGAAAAGGAAAATTACTGACTCCCTTTTTTTCTTGTTCACTTCTTTGGTTTTCGCTTGCAACAAGCTTACTTGCTCTTGGATATACTCCTGATGTATCGTACACATTTGCGAGTTCGTCTATACATATATATCTGTCTCCGTGTTTCGTAGTCTTGCTCGCGCTGATCAACTGGCTACAGCACTGCTATTCTCTTGACATGGCTCGGGCGGAGCTCTTTTGCGTGAACGGAGCCTTAGCCCGTGCCTGTCTTGGTCCCGTTGGTTCGGAGATTTGCACTCTTTCGATCCTCGTCTGTAACAGTCACGCACAAATCCAGTTTTTTAAATTGTTTTTTTTTTTGGCTTATAATCAGACTGTTATTCATATAATTTTGCGAGACTGTGCGGAATTCAACTCTAGCTGATATTTACAATTTGCAAGGTGCCATGAAGTTCATCTGTTGGGGAAAAACAGACTGCATGTCAGATAAGAGTATGTGCCAAGGAATAATAATGAGCGTTATTTTGGAAAGCTGTGGAAAGTGTGCGGCTAATAGATTACCCCTCCCCCCTCGTAAAGCTCGTTTTTATCGCGCCTGTCCAATGGTATACAGCACCTCGGGCAACGCGCTAAAGTTGTAAGGGTCAAGAGCACACGAAGCTTGCAGATTAATTCATACATAATGTGACGGTTTTTCTCTGTCTGTGTCTGTCTGTCTGTATGTCTGGGTCTCCCTGTCTCTCTTTCGTTAAGCGTCGCAGATGTAGCTGTTTCTCTGATCATCTCTCGCGAAAAGAGAAAGAGAGAGAGAGAGAGTCGACGTCGGCGGTAGATTAAAATCCGATCGAATCCTCTAGCTGTAATCTGACGGCCGCGGGCCACGAGTTCGAGCCTCGAATCGAATGAAAGAAAGGACGCTCCGGGCTATTGAAGTGAGAGGAAGAGAGAGAGAGAGAGAGAGAACGCCCGCGCGTCCTCGGCCTATATATAGCGCAATCGACCTACAGCAGCAGCCTCTTCGTTTTTTTTTTCTCGGCCGGCCGAACGCCGAGCTTCATCTGGTGATGCGACTTCCTCATTCGACAAGTCAACGAAGGCTTTTCTCGTGTCGAGGCGCTGACGTTTTTCATCCCCCTTCGCCGCCCGTCTAAAGGCCTTCGAGCGCAAAAGTTCCTTTGGCTGCTGTGGCTTTACGCCATCGCCGCCTCATCGTCTGTGAAAAAGATTTTTTCCTCTCCCTCTCTCTCCCTCACACACACACACACATTCTATCAAGCGCATGCGCAATTATAACCGCTTGAATAGAGCAGCTTGCGCGCATCTTGGGGGCTCGAAAACTCGGACACGAAAAGCTACAGCGAGCGAGACTCGACTCGGTTCGACACGGCGCGAAGAACTGTGCGTCATGAATATTCAGTCGGCGGTGGCGTTCGCCCGCAGCTGATCTCGCTCCCTCCCTCTCTCTCTCTCTCTCTCTCTCTCTCTCTGCGAAAGCGAGTAGTAGGTAAAGGCGCGGGCATAGGTCAGCCTACAGTTGCGGTACACGAGTTATTTTTGGCTCGTTATACCGAGCTTCGAACCAGCCAGTCGGCCCGAATGAAAATACTGATTTTCCACAAACCCACCCCGAGACTCTTCCACGCCACTTTTCTCTCGCTTCTTTTGTTTTGACGAGCCATCCGCTTCTACGAGATTTTCCTACCGCTTTGTCTTATGCCATCTTCATTTGTAAAGCTAACCACTCGAGTCGTAGTGCAGAAAATCTCTGACGAGCTTTCGCGTGCTATTGTTTTATCGAAAGCGTCGCAAGCTTTGCCTATTGCCGTCTGTGCCGCATCCAAAATCTCATGAATTAAGCTTGATAAATACAAGTAAATTAAAAAAAACAGTTGAATACACAGAGTGTAAAGTTTAGCGTATTTTTTAAATTGATGTATGCTCGCTTGCTCTGGAAAAGAATTCGCTTCATCGACTAAATATACAATGGATTTTATCAAAACGTGAACGAGATTGAACTACATGTAGGAGTTGTATTATGAGTATAATAAGAAATCAATTCTGAACAATGCTTTATACGATTAATATTGAGTAATTTTCTCCGATGAAGAGTCAATCAATAGAATAGAGAGTGAATTAAAATGAAATTTAATGTTAAGAAAATGAAATAAAGCCTTATGTATTATGCAATATAGAGTAATTCATATAAAATTGTGCGGAATTCAGCTTTTTACAGTGCGCTATTGTATGTTACTATGTATACTATATACAGTAAAGGAATGCAGAGTGGGAATTGCGGTGAAATAGATACATCCGTAAAATTATAGAGCTAGTGCCATTTGTTATGCGCATCGAAAAAAAATTGCGGACTGAAAAGAATTATTTTGTTTTTATTTGGCCTCTCACAGTCTATTCTATTGAAAAATTGATGCAGTCGAATTTTATCGTGCATACGTAAATGAAAGAGGGTGCATTATATGGAAATTTTTTTATTCAGTACACAATTGAGCGAACGAAACAAAATGATACAAATATTTTAAAAGTTTTTGATTATTCGACTTTTCGATGGCTGTCAGTGAAAATCCGGTTTTGTGATTTTTACGTTGAACAATTGCACTTACTCCATTCAAACCCATATCAGTTGAAATGTTTGCCTTTATTGTTATTACTGCTAGTACGTGTTAAATCGTTTTTTTACACGAGTTCCACATTTTAAAATTGATAAAGTGAGCATTTCATCGTGCCAAGTATGATATATGTACGTATAAACACATGTGAGAGTACGAAAACTGACATTGGTGTGTATAATAAACAGTATGTTATATATATAAGTATTTTTGCAACTGTACAACTGGCTGGTGTATAGGTGTGTAAACTCAACACAAAATATTGATCTGTATAGTTTGAACTGTTTTGTTTCGTACCGGCAAAAGCAGAAAGTCGAATTTCAACTATAAATCCTGGTTTTTATTTAAAGAGGTGAATACGAAATCCGTGGAAATTTAGCGATATTAAACGTGGCTTCCTACACGAAAAACAATTGATAATTAGAGATTGGAAAGGATGGCAGGTTCGGAAATGTCGTCGTACGTGGTTTGGGCTGGAAAATGGATCGATCGAAAAATTGGGTTGGTGAATTGGAGTAGGAGACGAAAGAGCAGAGCAGAGGCTTATTGGGCTTTCTACGAGAGGACTCATGGGGGATAGAAAGAGATGAGAAATAAGGCACTACTGCTAGCGGTCGGTAATACTACGGCCAACAGGCCTAGGACGAATAAACGGCTGAAAGTGAGCAGCTGCAACGGGGAGAGCGGGGCGGACTCACCCGACTTGATGGCGAAAGGATCCTTGGAGTGAGCGGATTTGATGGCGTTGGCCCTCTGATGCCTGCTAGGAGGCCCTGTAGTCTCTTGGTTGGCATGGCAGTGGCCGGTGGCCGACGGTGCGTGGGCCGAGTGGCTCTGGGAGCCGGGCTGGGCCGCACCGCCGGTCGCCGGGAGCCCCGGCACGCGCACTCGGGGCTGCTCCACGGGAAGCACTCGGCGCCTCTTCTTGGGGAGCTTGGCTCGCGCCTGCGTGTGACTGTAATACATCGCAAAGTTGCTGACGATCACGGGCACCGGCAGGGCGATCGTGAGCACGCCTGCCAAAGCGCACAGCGCGCCGACGAACATGCCCACGTAGGTCTTGGGCACCATGTCGCCGTAGCCGACAGTGGTCATCGTGACCAGCGCCCACCACAGACCCAGTGGTATGCTCTTGAAGTCGTTCTTCGGATTGTACTGGATGCGCTCGGCGTAGTAGACCAAACTCGCGAAGATGACGATGCCGAGGACTAGGAAGAAGACCAGCAGGGTCAGCTCCTTGGCCGACGCACGGAACGTCTGGATGAGGATCTTCAGGCCGCTCGAGTGCCGCGTCAGCTTGAACAGCCGCATTATCCGGATGATGCTGAAGAACTCGAGGATGTCGGCGTTCTCCAGGTGCGAGGCGAAGCGCTGCAGCAGCAGGTCGATGTAGAAGCTCATCGTCGCGATCATGTCGATCAGGTTGACCGAGCTCTTGATGAAGTCGCACAAGTTCGGTGACGCGGCTATCCTTATGATGAACTCCAGCGAGAACCAGGCGTTGCACACGCACTCGATGTAGAAGAACGCGTCGTGGGCGTTGGTGTGGGTCTTGTCGAGCGCCCAGGTCTGTGTGTTGTTCGCGCCGTACACCGTCTTGTTGACGATCACCGGCACTCGCATGTCCGGATGGGTCTTCAGGCAGAACGACAGGATCGACACGCAGATGAAGAACACCGAGATCACGCCGATTATCTGTAAAATTTCAATCAGACTACACTTCAACGCTACCTGTCCCTGCGCTCTTTCCGCTTGGGTTTTGCGCCGCACGACACCACCGTTCGTTATCCCTCTTTTCCATCTTTTTCTTTTTCTCTTTCTTTCCAGCGCGTGCACAGACAAAGCATTTGCGGCATGCTGGCTGCTGAGTTTGCATACTACATCGACGACGCGTCTGAGAAGCGCCGTTGTTGTTCTACGCTCTCTACATCTCGTCACCCTTATTACGTTACCATTACGCGCGCGGAAAAGCTCCGTGCGGCTCCTCTTTTCAAGCACACGAAGCATTCCTGCGTGCAAGTCTTTAACCAAACTCAGCTCGAATATCAGCTCTACGTAGCTATAAGCTTTCTTTGCACCCACGTGTTATACCTATAACTGCGTGGATTCGAACTCGAGCTTTCTTCGTTCTTTCTTTTTACTTTTTAGAGGCAATCAAGCGGCAGTAAAGATCTCAATTAAAGGTGCTGCTCTAGAGCTGGTATGTACATGTAATTAGAACTTTGGAGTAACCAATTTTTTTAACCTCTCTAAGAGAAAATTAGGAATATTGCGTGCTGCTTACGAGCAATTTTCGCTTCCACTGCTTATTTATCCAAAGCTTCGAAGTTCACGAGAGATTTGGCAAAGTCCACTTTATCATAGCAAGTCTATGTCGATGAGAAAAAAAGAAAACGAGTTTTGAATTTTTGAAAAGCACTACGTTCGTTTACACGCGAGCGCTGCAAGTTCAGCGACCCGAAAAATTAGACAAGGAGAGCCAAGGCATAGTTGTAGTAGTCGCTTTAGGAGTTAATTAGGGCGTATTGAGTGCGTGCTCTCGGCTGCATTCTGAGAGGAAGGTGTGATTTATAACACGTCACAGGAGAAAAGGAAAGCTGTTCGAAAGCTCTCCGGAGAGAACGGCGCTTTTAATATTCAAACTTTGCCAACTCTGCTCGCGAGATGCTTCGCTGCCCTGATCAAATACGCGAATGGACGCTTGTGACGCGTATCGCTGATTCATTATTCACTTTTCTATACGGCTATTTGAAAAATGTCTGGGATATGCAATATGTTTATGTACGAGCGAATGTCACAATATAATATAGTTGAGCGTTCCATGCAGAGCAACAAAATAATAATAGTAAGAGTAATGATGAAAGAAAGTTCGTCTTGTCTTCTATTCATAAAAATTAAATGGTTGTAAATGCACGTAACAACATAACAGGCTACTATATAGCATAATCGGCAGACTGAAAAGAAGTAATGGTAAAGCAGTGGAACGTATAGGAGCAACAGATAAGAATAGAATATACTGATACATAGATAGAACAAGATATATGTATAAAATGTACAATAACCTATATAGATTAGATTCGATATAAAAAGGTTGGCATAACTCTTTAAGATAAGATCTTTTACTTGATTGATCGAGAGCGAAAAAGGTTAATGTGGACAGCGTGGACCTTTATATCGCACGATAGATAGGCGCACACATCCGTACGACAGACTGACATGACTGACAAATACTGTTTTTTTTAAGGATGAGCTTGAAGAGCTTAAAGTTTACCGACCTTGGCAGCATTGGAGGAGTAGGGTTCATCGAAAAGGGACCACATTTTTGGTTTGAGCTTCTGCCACCAGTTGAGCTCGTTCTTGTAGTAGGCCTCCTCGAAGCCAAACTTGCGCGCAAGCTCCTCGTCGCTTGGCTTCTCCGTGTCGAGATCCAGCCTGTCTAGGACGGTCAGCGTCTCCTGCGTGTCTCGATGCTGTACAACGATAAATCGACGATAATAACAACTCCCACATCTATCCTTGTATGTACCCTTTCTTATTGTTTACATACACACACACGCGCGCGCGCACTCACGCACACAGACTCTCCTCTTTCTCTCTCGCGTGTAACGTGCTTCATGCTGTTTTTCCCTATTTCTTTTATCGCTCCACTTGGCGATGTAATCTTGGTCTCGCGCGGACGAATGAAAAACCAGCCAAGCACGCTTACGCGACCTACGTTTCTTTCTGCCAGATACTTTTATCGCACACTACTGCTATTAATTTTCTCTCTCTCTCTCTCTCTCTCTCTCTCTTTGCAATAATCGTTATTAATATCTTTTATTTTTTCCTTTTATATTAACATTCGTACGGCGCACGATGCCAAAACACATTTCAGCCAGTCATACATTAGTTTATGTTACTGTAGCTATTGTTGGTCAGTTCAATGCAATCTCCAAGTCCCCGTAACACACTGAAAGATGAAACTGAAAATTATGCAATTTTGAATTGAGCGGTTGTTGGAAGTTATTCGTGGCTGTAGCTGAGCGAATCGGTTCGGGACAATAGAGAGCAAGTTGCGTGAATATTATTCAACGGAAAGTGGAGAGCGTTATCGCGTACGATTGGGGCGCGAGGTCGTTTCATGTATGAATCTTGATGTTGCTTCTAATCGTAACATGAAAAAAGCAAAGTCGTGGTTGTCGAGAGCGGCGAATGTTAAAAAGTCAACGGGACAAGCACTCGCGTGTGCGTACGCCGCGCGATGTAGAATGTAGCTTGGTGCTTTTATTGAGCTGCCGCCTCTACAATGTTTGACCCTGTTAGGCGCGACACTGCCTTTGTGTGTGTGTGTGTCTCTCTCTTCTCCCTTGCGTTTGACGAAAGCCACGTTGTACTCCGTCGAGTCGCACGCCCGAGCCAATTTATATCGAAAACGATTTCTCATTGGTCGTGCGCGCTTGCCAAACGGTTCACCGCCGAAATAACGAGACTGAGCAGCCGCGTCACGTTGTACGTGCGTGATGAATTGCTCTGCTCTGCCTCGCGCAGCGCGTGTACCGAAAAGCATTAAAAAGTCTTGTTTTTTTTTTTGTTTTCGCTTTGACGCTATTGCAATTCGCGTTTCTCTCCGAGTTTACGCTTTTATTTTATCGAGTGAATTTGATTTATACGTCGATGTTAGTCAGATTTTTTCGTGGAGATTTGCCGAAAACGCGTTGCCACACGCCAGACGCTACAAAGGCAGCGAGATCGCGGCACAGCGTACTTTGAGAGTGAAAATACCCACGGCTTTACGCGCTGAAGGGAGGGTTAAAGCGCGCAAAAAGTAGAATAGATCCTCAGTGCACACACTGTCGCGCGCTTCGACAACGTACATCGCGATCGGTTGTATTTCTCTGGTTTCCTATCGAGCCGACCAGCGCGGAAGTAATCTTGATCTTTACAGCTGTTTGCCGTTTTTTTCTTTCATTTCTCGAATATTATTTCTCGGAGCGCGCACTAATCGAACTGAAAAAAATAACAACAACAAAGCTGGCACTATTAGGCATTTCTGTGTACGTGCGTGTAATCGAGTGGTTTTGAATTATAAAGCGGCAGAAAGTTCGCAGCAATCGCATCGAATTATATGTATGTGTAAAATTCCTATTGTTTTCTGGATGAAAGCAACGTGCATCTGGAATTCAATTATAGACAGACGGTCAATTGAATTATTACGATTGTGCTATAATTAATTTGATTTAATCCGCAGGGCATGTAGCGCCTGTAAGCGACGCAGCCAAGGCAGAAAATTAATCGAGAGACGGGGACAAATGAGTGATGTAGCGTGGAGCTGGAACGAGGGAGACCAGAGCCCGTGATATTAGTACAGAGAGAAAAGCCAGTGGCATTAAAGGAAAACACAGAGGTTGACTGCAAGCGGCAGCGGGGCTGCCGGCTCGCGTGGCGCTCGAGCGAGGCCTGATCTATTTTCTTTGTAGAGCGACTAATCGATAGCAGGGGGCTTTGTACGACACGGCGGCGCGGCGAGGCGCAGCTGGCCGAGCGTTGCAAGCTCAACGCCGACTGAAAGACCACCTGCCGGATTTGCCGCGCTCGCCGCTGGCGGCACTTCTTTCAGCGTCGCCGAGGCTTTTATCGAACGAGAAAATAAAGTCGATCGCCAGGCCGGAACAAGGTGAGAGGTAAAAAAAGAGCGGAGTTGCGGCTGCGCGCGGGAGGACTCGCCGGATTAAAGAGAACGAGTCTGACGCGACAGAGGAAACTCCGAAAGCTTGAAATGCAAATGAAGAGCGCGTCAAAGTGACCAAGTGACGTTGGTACCTTTTTTACTAAGAGCCATTTAGTCTCTAGTCTCGGGCACGTGTAATTCGATTGCCGGCGCGAGCCGATTAAGCTACGTAAAGAGAGACTTAATCGCTCAAACGAAGCACGTCAACAAGGCTGCAGCACTGCTAATAAAGTTTCTTCTTTCGGACGACGCCGACCACGAGAGTGTAGAAGCCCGCGATTGCACGCGACGACCACTCGCACTCCTTTTTTCCTTACTTCCCGCGTGAGCGGCCCCGTTCGTTCTTTCGTCTCTTTACGCCGAAGGGAAGAAATGACCGCAACACCGCAATCGCGCAATCGCTTTTTACGATTACGAGGCGACCCGCGTGGCTTTATTACATTTCATCGTGGGCATTATACCTTTTCTGACTTGGCGCGCGCTCTAATGCAAATCACATTTACATCGATACTTCGTTATCGTTGTTGCTTTACCCACCGAAGCTTTTTCCGCGCAACAAGTTTTCATTTTTTTCAAATTTCTATAAATGCACGACGCAAGCGGAGTTTTTTCCGCGCCGTTTTCATGCATAAATCAAAGCGCGATCTACGGGGGTCGCGTGTTGCAGATATACATCGCAGTGCGCGCCGACGATCGATTATTGCACGAATGTTAATCTTGATTCCACGATTATCTTACATTTTTACGATGAAATGCAATCTTGGTATTTTACTGCTGAAAAGAAAAGTCTGATTCATCGATAGAAAGAAAATGTAGCTTGCACCAAATGTCCGTAATATTTTACCAGATCGCGTTCGTCGTTCGATAAAAGTGACCTCATTTTATGTGGACATTATCCCAGCATACTGTGCCGATACTGCTCATTATTTATATGAAATACAGCATGCTCGCGTAATATTCTATGAAGCATGCAATCTTTTGATATAAAATTAATCATTAAACTTGCCTAAAATTACATGTTGTTAGCAGAAATTAAGGCATTATTAGAGGGTGGCTAAACTAAAATTCAGTGAAAATACTTGTAAGACGAGTGAACTTTTTCGATTTGGGTTGTAAGCTGCAAATCTACAGCGGGGTATAAGTTAGCTAGCGTGCCGAGTTGATAAATAGATCGCATATGCGAGCCGCTGGGTAAAAAGGCACGATCATCATCAATCACCGAGCGGCTTTCTCCAACGTGAAAATAAGGAGCGCTAGTATTTGCGAAATGCCGACGCAAAAATTGACTCTTGTGTATGCAGTGCGCTACACGTCCACGTGACGTCAGACCTAGTATTAGTAGGTATCGCATGCTAGTGGCGTAGGGGAATACACTCGAGAGGCAGCGAAGGCACGCTACATCCGGCTCACTCGCTATAGGTATATTACGCTAGACAGCTCGTACACGTCGGCCGTCCGGAAATTACGTTGAAGCTTTTGTTTGCGGCTATCGACACGCGGCGAAGCTCGAAAAAATACAAAACACGCGCGCGCGGGCGATCGCGCGAGAGTGCCACAGTTTGAAAAACCGGCACTCGCTTGAAACTCGGCGCACCGTGTCGGAGGATTATCATTGATTGATAATCGAGCAGCGACGGGGGCTTCATTCTGACGCGTTAGCCCAGCCCAGGTGTGCGCAGGCACGTAGTCACCGGCGCGAGCCTGGTTAGCGATGACTGCGCACTTTGCGGAATTTCAGCGCGGCGCTTATAATCCAGCCCCTGTACCGCGTTCCGTGTTGTTCCCGTTCGCCGCACTGATTTCTCTTTTTTTTTTCCTTTTTCTTTTTCGGTCGGCTGCCTCGAGCGACTCCCGAATTTTCGGCCTCTGTGGCTGTCGGGTTACGATCGGGTCGCAGCCATTTTTTCACGTCGCGCGGTATCGCTTTTTACTTTTATCTAACGGCCCGACGCTCCGTACGAGACAGCGGCTCGTTTATCGAATTTTCTCTTTTCCGAAGCGTCGGCGTCGCCGTCGTCTTCCTCGTCGCATCCCACGGCGTTGTCGTAAAATCCTTTCTGCCGCGCGCGCGCTTAGTTAGACAATGCACTTTTTTCCTTGCGGCTCGTCGGAGCTCGCTCGACGACACACGAGCATTTAATGACGCTTAAGCGAGCTTAAATTTGAAAGGCGCATAAGCGGTCGTAAAATTTAGCCGGATCACTTGGAAGACCGAGGCGTGACGGCGCGGAATGGCATTAGGACAATATTTAAGTTGCGAGATTGCGTAGAGCGCGCGGCCTCGCGGTGACGCGTTGATTATTGGCGAATCAATTTGTGGCCATTAGCTAATCCAATTATCGTGGCAGCGGGCGTTTTGTTTGAGCAAGATTTATTTATAGAGGCGAACCGAGTACGCAGGCGGTTGAGCGCGACGATATTGAATGAAGTGAAAAATCAATGAGTGTCGGATCGACATTGCACTCCTCGAGCTCATTATACGCCAAATAAAGAAGAGCAGTTGACGGCCAATCGCGGCTGGATTGTGTGAGTTTGCGTGTATGGGCTTGCGTTGATTATTCGTTGATTTAGAGGCGGCAATCTAAGAAGACCTGTCGTACTTGATTTGCTTAGGGCAGGAGATAAACCGGCTTTGTTTGTAAAGATAAGTCTGTCATATTTGTCTGGTCTGGAATCGAGTTTAGTTGGCAGCTAACAGCTAGGCGAGGTGGTGGTGGCAAACCTGAGTGTAAGTCATCCAACAGCACGGTTCCACCTGGTTGGAGTCGAGGCCCCAGAAGTCGAGCTCCTCCTCGAACAGCGGCCCGCACACGTCTGTCGGATAGTGCAGTTTGCCCGTGCGATAGTAGTTGAGTACCTGGGCGAAGACGCCGGGGTGCCGGTCGAAGAAGTACTCGTTGAGGATGGGATCGTAGTTGGCAAGTGCTTCGGTTAGCCTTGACAACCTCGTCGCTGGGATCTTCTTCAGGGTCGCCTTGTACGTCTCGTGCCTTATGCCGCCGACGTTCAGTACCACGCGGTTCTCCGCGTCCATGTTTATCAAATTCATTTTTCAAGCCTGCTGCTACTCGTCGCACTGCTACCGTTCGCCAGTACAACACTCTCGGCTGCATGAATTTACCAAATCCCTCGCCCTTGCCTGCAACACGAGACAACCAAATTATTCATCGATGCGTTTTTTCGAATCCTATATCTCTTCTTCCTGCCTTTTTAAACGAACGTTCTTTAGTGAAGGCTTCGGGCGAACGTATTACGTTTTCCTTTTTGCATCTCAAACTCTGCGCGTACATTCTTTGTCATTTTTTTCCATATTTTTAACGCATGCACATACGATTTTCATTGAAAGATTTGTGCGAAAACTAAAAATTGTCAGCCGAAACCCAACTCAAATTTAAGTAAAGTATGCAATGCGCATGAAATAGAAAAAATAGTGAAAAATCACTTGCTTTTCTCAAATCCCATGGTTTTTTCAGTTTGACATCAACTAGTAAAAAATCATCTAGTAAAAAATTCGTAGTAACTTTCGTACGGCTTTTTCTACAGAAAGAAAGTAGCTCACTTATAAAACGCTTATTGTACTGAGAAGACGCATAGTACATTTGTCGTTAAAAATCGCTAAAACAGATGTACAGGCTTGCAATTAAAGGCAAATAAATAGTAACTTTCGTTTAATGGAGCGCATAGTCAAATGGAGCACCCAAAATCCTTCCTCTGAAAACGTGTACGACAGATTAATTGAAAATTTTGCCAGAAATCCACTTGAAGAAAATCTCATTGAAATTCAGTCTTTACGTCGGCGTCCGCAAATTGAAAATTCATTAACGTCGTTCATATCGCTTTTCAATTTTTCCTTTCCTAGTTGACGCACCCCCTGTGTCCGACCTAACTTTATTAACCGAGTTTTTGCGACAAAATCTTGCAGGTCAAAAGAAAAACAGTTTCAATTGGTATTTTAATAAAGCAGTCTTTGGCCACCCGCGGGAGAGGCGCATTCTTTCTTGTTATAATGATAACTTATAATGAAGATTCCGACAAACAGTCCCGTCTCCTCTTTTTATTTGGACGTGCGCGCGAGTCGTTTAGGATTTAATTAAGAATGAAATTTCAAACTAGACAGGAAGAATTCGCGCTGCGGCGGCCGTTCGAGGAAGTTCTAGCTGCAGATTTACGTCAGAAGTAACGCAGCGCGTTAATGAAATTAGTTTGAAAATTTATCACAATAATTAATGCTATCAACGGTTAAGTACTGTTTATCATCACTATTAAATCATTGGAATGTTTATGTGATTGTTTTGAAAACGATGTTTAGCACGACCTATTATGATTTAAGCAATTATGAAAACACAACTGAATTGAATAAGCCGTTATCGTTTGCACGACTTAGAGAAATACTTTGATCGTTTATTAATAAATAAGTATTATCGAATGATAAAAATTCAACCGAAAGAAATAAAAAAGTTATCAAAATATTAAAATACAAAAAATCAAAATATAAAAAATGCTTTTAGCCAAATATGGACGAGCTTTCACTGATATCTCATGATAAATATTGAAGGCTCGGCTTTGTTCACGGATGGGTTGGGTTAGTCAAGTCTACAGATCGTATCCTGGAAGTCGTCTTGGCACTCGTACAACGCTTCTTATCGTGCAGTAAAATGCAGAGAAAGTCACTATTTTTATTCGGCATTGTGGACACATTTTTTCCGGCTTTATTGCCTATCTGATCATAGCATACGGTCCCACATGATTTTCACTCGAACATACAGTAAGCTTGAAATTTTCCGTATGCATTGCGTACCACGAGAAAAATGAAAAATTCGATTAGATCTCGCAAAATGAACTCATTCGAAAATGTATGAAATTGATGTGGGTTACTTGGCACAGGCCACAAAGCATCAATGTTTTTTTCCAGTTAGTTTCATTAAACAAAGTCAACGCATCTCTATATTGTATATGATGTACGCTTTATTATAGGAATGTAAGTTTAATAGACAGTTACGAATACCGTGAAATTTTTTGGAATCGAAAAGATAGATCGCGTAGCCAATATCATGCGCTTGAAATGCAATATGAAAAGGCGATTTCCGGACGCTTGTACAATAATTGTATTGACCAAGTCACAGGGAAACGAGAGTGACTGCCTTAATTTGTATTCGTTCGGGGGGAAATCTGATTCAGCAAGACAATACAATGCGCTCACGTACGTACCGAGAATACGTGCCCAAATGCAGATGTATATCTATGTCAATGAAGTGAAGGTGATTGCGGCGAGCGCGGGATGGAAATAGATAGGACGCGGGTAAAAGTAATTTGTGTTAAAAAGAGAGTTATAAACGAGAATTGCGCGTGCGATCGATTTTATATTTACTCCTTGGCACTTATACCGCGACGGCAAATTCAGCTTACTTTTTCACCTCCCAATCTCTTGTCTACTCATCGCCAACGTTTCCAAATTTACATATACTTTATTTCCAAGGGCCGACACCCGATCCTCGAATTGATATTCGGCAAGGGGAGGAGCGGTGCATCCCAACGGATAAGCCGGAATATATGTGGATCATTTGAAACTCGGTCGCTCGCCTGGCGTTTGGCTTTTACTCATCTATCTCGGTTAATGTCCAAAGGAAAAAGGTAGACACGTCCAGATTTTCGGCATTACAGAGCGTAAGGATCGCGAACATCGGCGAACACTCGTGGGCAAGTTGGCGACCCGTGCATTATCGCGAACAGCGCTCTGAGACAGGAGCCGATAAGCGGTCTCAGGACGTGCTGCGCGGGTCGCCCAAATGCACATGCAGCAGCGTGGGAAAGAGAGCGACGACTGCTGCAAAGTCTCGGCGTTGGCGGTGGTTTGGCTGGCTGACGTGGAGGAAGATCGATTGCAGCCTCGACGGCTCTCGCTCCTACCTACATGTGCATCTACGTCTGCCTGTGTACGTGGCTGTATATAGATGCTGTGTTCGCGCGACCCTAATAATCATCCTCCAGCAGTGTTTCGAGGAGAGAAAGGGGAGCGGAATAAAGGACGGCCCAGCTCTGAAAAGGGAGCTTTTGGTCATATCTTGCAATAATAGCGGCGAGCTGAAAAAAAGGAACAGGCAGGAGCATCTTAGCGCTGATTTTTTTCGCAGTGTCTGAAGGTAGCGTCGACGCCGCGTACTTTTCATATCGCAGAGTAGAATTTGCATTGAGGCGTCGCCGATATTCTCTCCCGCCGCGACACGGCTCGACACAATGCCTCATTGTCGCGCCTCGCTGCTACTTTTGCTCTCGCCGCTCTCTTTTGCCGCCGCCATGCGGCTTTTCCAAGATGCTCTTTGTTATGTCGCGGCTCTCTCGACTTTCTCCTGGAATTCTCGCCACGTGTCAGTCCCCTTATGCGCTACCTTCGTGTTTATCATGGAAACGCGCAAGAACAAGCATCGAGAGAGTCCACCGAAGGAAGAAAGCTTTCGAAAGCTCGGCTTATCCGATGGCGGCGATCGCAATAACTCATGTATATTTATTACGTGGGGATTTTAGAGTGGAGTCTCGGTGTGTGGCGATCTCTTCGCTTGATTCCGGGGGCATCTTGCCGAGGGCGATAAAATCGAAGGGGCGTAAAAGGACGCGAAGCGAGGTCGTCGCCGTCTCGAGCGAGCCAAGGGATGGCCGGGCAAAGGTGAGGGACTCGTGGGAGACGCGGACAAGAAGTCGCCGGCTGTCGGCCGAAAGAGGGATGGCGTGACACTGCCGCACGCGGCAACGCAACATGAATAATTAAAGCGCAATAATATTTTGCATGCCTCGCGCATTTGCACGCGTACGCGCGCGCCGAGTCGCTACCTACTTGAGCAGCGCACAGAGGCGAGAGCCAAGGAAGGGTAGGTTCGCTCGCGGACATTGGTAGGTACATTACGCACTGCTCGCAGGGACTAGCTGCCATTTCACTCTGAAAATTGCTCCCGGCTTATCTCTTTTTCCCCGATACTCCCGCGTCCGCGGCGTCGATCGACCCGCTCAAGTGCGTACCGCGTCCGATTAGCGGCGCTCGGAAAGATGCGTGGCCGTGCTTTGCGCACTGTCGCCTCCCCATCCTCGCTGAATTATTGTCTATTTGCCTGCCTCTGCGCTGGCTGCCAAGAAACCAAGATTCATGCGGTCGGTAAAACTTACTAATCTGTTACAATTAGGAGATGCGACCCGTATCACCGCAAATTCGGCGTGTAGAGCACTCCTTAAGTACTAACAGCTCGTTCCTGTGGTTCCGATTGAAATTAGATGAGCGCCTCGCCGTTACACTGCCTGTTTAGTATTCTATGGGCAAACTTGCATTATATATACACAAGCTACTAGTATAGCCGGCAATAGACAAACAGCTCATTCTACTCCTCTACTGTGTATTATTGCAGTTTCAAAGCATTTAAATTCTAAAATTGTAGATTCTGCACCTAAACGTCATTTAATGCGGATTTCATGAACAATAATAAATCGTAGAAATAATTAAAATTGGCTTAGAACTGAAATAGGTAGTAAAACCGATCATCCTAGTCGAAGAAGTACTGGTCTTGAAACGCAATTTTAGACCTAATTACGCGGTAATGGTACTTGTAAAATGTCAGGCTATAGTTTTTCCAGTTTCGAACCGATTAACAATTTATTTTTGATTTGTGATAATTAAATTTCCTGTAATAACGTAGGTGAATTTTTGAAAATTTATTATAATGTTAGCTGTCAACTTTAATGAATTTTAGAATCGATCCGTTGAATGATTAAAGTTAAAATAATTCAGAATTGAATTTCACTCACTATTCAGAGGTAAAATAGATATTCTGTTGTGTAAAAATTAACTTTGGCACATTTTTGCGAAAAAATTTTTCGATACTGAAAGAAAAATTGATTCTGCAACATGCATTCGATATTGATAAAAAAATTTTATTAAAAAATCTTCAGCACGAAAGCTTATTCGTATCGCAGAACTGGTATATATAATACAGTGTACGCGAATAAACCAAGATCAAAATAGAGTAAAAATACATAGGCTTCACTAAAAATAAGCTTATCATTAACTCGAAGTGGACGCTAAAACATTTTTTTAAGTGAATTCAAAAGTTGATCTTGGCCAATTTTCACATTTTACAACTACACTATTCTTACCAT